TACAACTTTTCTACCAGAAATTTTTCTCCGATTTACAATGATAGTACTTTTTCCGAAAGAAAATTTGACTAGGAAGGTACTTTAAAGAGGTCATTTTTCGATTTTTTTAAGAGTTTTCCCAGCAAATATGAAAACCTAGGAAAATCGATACAATACTAAAAAAAATAATATTAAATAAAATATATAATGCCTAGTTAATTATTTTATCATAATATGACATATATATTGTTGACAAAGCATCTCTATCAACTGACCTGCGCTCAGAATCGTTTTTTCGTTAGGAATGGTTTATTGTTGCTTACAGCTAAACATTAATTACCTATAAAAGTGGCTACACTTGTCTTTATTATTCTAGGACGTCTTTAGTTTTTTTTTTTTTGGAGGGGGGGGGGTGATACTAAAAATTAAATTTTTCACCAAATTGATGTTCCCCACGTAGACAAACCGATTGAAAAAAAATCGAAAAAAGCGCAAGAAAAATTGGTCGAACATGGTGGGACACACTGTATATTATAATATTTTCATTCTATTTAATATTATGTAAAAATGTAAAATCAACAAGATCATTAAATGAAAACTAAACACAGAGCTTATTATATGAATAATTTTATTTGAATATGATTGATGTTAAAAAACTTTTTTTGTAAAAATGTATTCATTTATACCTAGTATTTATTAAGTGCTGCACTCTGTACTTGTTTTCGGGAAACACAATACAAATTGTTATTGAACGGTAGAGGGCACACATTATGATTCAGAAAATTGAACGTGATTCAGTAACGTATCTGACTTAGTTTTATGGAGGGGGGGACTGACACTAAAAATATTATACACAACCTTATATTCGACTTTATTGATCTTACCATGAAATGTTTTTGATTTTATTTTTGTGTATCATGACATTTTTCTAGCAGAAATAATGCTAAATATTCAATTTCAAAGGAAATTTCTGGTACCTAGCAGATTTGGTCTCGTTTATACGTCTCAGAATAATCAGGAAATATTATTATTTATATTTAATTGAATAAAATATGATAATAATTACTTTAATTGTCATTAAAATATAACAAATTATATTATCACAACAAAAACATTTCGCCTACAGCTACGTGTAAAAAAAAGGCTAAGTAAAAAATTACCAGTTTTTACGTATCTCGTAAATGTTTAGCACTATAAAGTTGTAATATCATTTGTAGTGCTAGGTAAAATTTCCTAACCAGATTTCATAACAGTATTTAAGAAGATATAAAGTATTTTAAGTATGTATCTATTTATTTAAACATATTTATGTAGCATCATAATAATAAAATAATTAGTAAATTGTATAAATGTTCTCTCTATTTACTATTATAGGTGTTTAGGTAATTTTATTTGCTCCCTCCAATTAAATCGAAAATTTTACTTAGCATCACAAATGATATTACAACTTTATGATGCTAAACACCTACGAGGTACGTAATAACTGGTGATTTTTTTTTTACACTTAATGAAATATTTTTGTTGTGATAACACCTCTTTTTTGCTAGTAATTTCAACATGTATCACTGAAAAAAAATTATTTTACAATTTTTTTTTTTTTAGTTGATCTATTGTTAGTTGCATTTTATTATTATTTGAGAATATTTTCGGATTGCATTCTAGCAACATCTAAAGAAAATTGTAATATACGCATAAGCCTAATGCTTCATACCAATATCTTTATTGGGTAAACATTTTGAACATTTTTGCCCATAACTTCCGTTCTATTGAACCGATTTGCATGAAATTAAAAAAAAGGCACCTCTCAGTAATATTTTTTATATTTTGACATAAATTAAAAATCAATTGATTCTGTAGTTTTATAGTTATGCGTGCGCAAAAAACATGAGCCGTTTTACATGTTTTTAAATGGGAACGTAAATGAACGTTATTGTTTGATATAATATTCACTGTCGTTGGCTATGCTTCTTTTTTTTTACTTAGCGCTTGCAACGACCGTTGTGCTGAATTATTAATATATAATAAAGTTAATATTTATCTTTTAGATTCTATGTGTAGCTCTGTTATGTGGACAAAAAACTTATATTTGCCATTTCTAAACATGGTAAAAATTTCAAAACATTTTAACCATTTTTGAGATAAAATTATAGACATTTATTTTGCGAGTTTTGTACGCATTTTTTATTCGGTAGATACTTTATGGTAAAATTATTAGACTAAATAGAAATGCTTGAAAATTTCACAGGAGTTTCATTTAATGTCATACTTTGTGGTTGAAAAAAAAATTTAGGCTTATTTAGTATATTTTTTTTTGAAGGAATTTTAATTTTAAATATTAAATTTTGACGAAAATCGTAAGTGAATCTAGTACAAAATTATTTATAACAAATCTAATCTTTAAAGTTTTTGTTTTAAATATATGTGCAGTATATTACCGATTTAAGAAGTCAGAATTAAGCGGACTGACTTAGTTCCAAAATTACAGCTTTTTGAAGTTCTAATATTATATGTCATGTTAAATAATTCAATATTGTCAAATATATAGTATGTCTGTCATAGTTTAGTGATGGTACGTATCTGATGTCATCCTAAAGACGCAAGTTCAAACCGGAGTTCCGAAAAACATTTTTCCATTTGTTCTTCCAGTTACCTAAACAGGTATAAAACAAATGCATTTTGGTTGTACCTAGAGAACGCAGTCATCGTTCGCTCAGACTATTTTAATCGAAAAATACCCATTGACACCTTAACACCTTTTCTGAAAGAAAAATTGTATTTATGTGGTACTTTAGGAAGGTCATTTTTGGATTTTCCAAGTGGTTTTCATAATAAATGAAAAAAACTAGGATAAACTGTCGGAAAAACGGGAACATTTACGAAAATAATGCATTTACAATTTAGTTAAAAATATTCGTAAGGACTTAAAATTTGGATAGAAAACTTTCATTGCCTTTTCTAGCTGTCTAAAATTGAGCCATTTTTGAGCTTTTAATTTGATAGGTAAATACTCTGTGAATACAATTGTTGGATTAAACAGAAAAGCTGTTGGAAATTCAATAGGAGGTTCATAAGAAGTGGTACTTTGTGATCAAAACAAAATAATTGAGTTTAATTAGGTATTTTTTCTTGTATGAATTTTAGTATAAAATTTGACAAAAATAGTTCTAGTCAAAAATGATGTGGAACAAATCTAGTTACTGGGCCATTCGAACGGCTGCATCCAAATTGCGTGCCAAAAAAAAGGAACATGCGCAGTTTTTTTGTGACAGAGTTTAGTTTTTAAATCTAAATCTATGGAATAACTGAAAGTCAGAATATCTATGACAATATCAATAATAATAAAACAAAAACCAATACAATGGTTATAACTTCGAAATCTATTTAAAATAACAATTTTTACTTATCCTTCAATGGGATTTTGCATATTATGTATACAGCTGTTATGGAACCCTAATAGGTATTTCATAATCAAGCTAATAAAAAAAAAACTGTCTTAGGATAATAAATACGGATAAAAGAGACGGATAATGGAGACGGGTGTATCCACTTTTATAGGTAATTTAATGTATATCTGTAAGCAACAATAAACCATTGATAACGAAAAATGATTTTGAGCAGACTTCAGTTGATAGTATTCCTTTGTCAACAATATAATAGTAATTAAGTATGATATCATATTATGGTAAAATTATTACAACAATGTGCGTTTTCTTTAAAACAATTATTATTTAAAAAAAGATTTTATAAAATAATAAAATATTTTTATTACTCTATGGTTCTTACATAATTTCAATAATTACAAATTGTAAACAATTTATGTACCTACAATTTTGAAACAACAAAATTATAATTTTGGCGCTAGTCAATGTGTCAAAAATTGAAGACATCTGCTGACTTGTTTTCATCAGATATGGGACTCATCAAAGCGCTCAGGAAGTGAAGGAATATAAAATGACAGTACTTTGAGTTAATGAGAGATGTCCTATCTTTATCAGTAAGGCTATTTCTTCTCCAAAAGTACTACTTTCTAAGCATAAACATTAATATTAGGTCCAATAATTGTTTTTAATAATTTAGTTTACTAATTATTTTTTATTATTATTTTAAATAATTTTCTGTGTTGTAGATTTATTACATGCATCTTCTAGTAGTTAATTCTAATACAACTTTGACATAAAATACACAAGTTGTACACTTAAAATAATTTTCTGAATCATTATTCTAGTTAGTTTGTCAGTAAAAAAACCAACACCTTTACAAGAAAATAACACAACCAAAAATATTCATTTGATATGATAAATTTGAAGATTTAAAAAACAAACAGTGTGATACAATAAATATAAATGAAAGTCAACTCAAAGATTGGTAAGTGGTATTTTTTTTATTTCATTGATTGAAATTTCTTATTGGGTGTATCTCTTTGAATTAGCTTTAACAAATAAGAAAAACAAGAAGAAAACATGATGATTATACAAGAGCAACTTCTAAGCAAGTTGAACGAAGCTAACAAAATAGAGTTGCCAAAGTAGAATGTTTTTAAACACATACTTAATTTAATTTAATTAAATTTCACGCAATAATTAATTTCCCATATAAATGTATGTATTGTTCTCTCATTTTAAATGCTCTTGGACGTATACAGCAGATAATTTTGGATTTTTTTTCTTATTTTTGTTGAGTTGTACGAATGCTACTTCGACTAACCAGCCTTGTTTATGTAACTACTTCTGAAAGTAAAATACTCAACTGTACGTGTCTTCCATACTGCGTTGCCCTTGAATAAAACTGCTGTTGCGTACCTCGTGAGTCGTGTGGTTTAATGTTCTTATCATAGAGTAATAATAATATTCTTATTACTCTATGGTTCTTATACAATCTTAGTAATTATATAAATTGTTTTAATAAGAATGATTTTATTACTCTATGGTTCTTACATAATCTCAATAATTACAAATTGTGAAAAATTTATATACCTATCTATCTAACTGTTTATAAAAAAATCTTAAAGCTCTTTCTTTGACATGAAAATTTGGACGGCTCAACACATATTTAACCACTCATGGGAGACGGTGGTACAAGCATCTTTTTTCAAGTACCCGAATCCAATGAACACAGCGGTTAAAAGCATTGATGTTATTGATCGACAAGTAATAAATGGAGAACTGCATTCATATCGGTTAATTAATACTAGATGGACGTTACCAAATTGGGCAAGTGCATTAATAGGGCCAATGAGCACATTTTATGCCGTTGAATATTCTAAAGTAAGTCGAGATCAACGGAAGTTAAGGTTGGATAGTCATAACTTATCATTGAGAAAATTCGTCGAAATTCGAGAAAAGCTCACATATGAGGCATATCCGGAAGATCCGCAAAAAACATTACTCAAGCAAACTACTTATGTAACTGTAAAAGGATTGCCATTTAATGGTTGTATAGAAAACATACTTACCAGTAAAATTTCAGAAAATGCAGCCAAAGGACGACAAGCTATAGAATGGGTTATTGAAAATTTGTAAAATAAACAACTAACGTTTACAATATTTAATTTGAGTAATTTGTTTGCAACTTGTAAACGCTTAAATATTCATTCAATTTACACCTCCTACTGGGCAATTTATCAAACCCAATAGTAAAAAAAATGATATGCTTTGCTCGATGGGTGGAGCCACTGTTGTTGGTGAGAAGTTAGGAAGGTAGCATATTATAGAGGGAAAATTAATTCATATTTGTAAGCAATGATAAACCATTGCTCAATAAAAACGATTCTGAGCAGAATTCAGTTGATAGTGATACTTTGTCAATAATATATGTGTCATATTATGGTAAAATAATTAAATAGGGATTATTACATATTTTCTTAATATTTGTTTAATATTATACCGATTTTCCCAGTTATTTTAAGTTTTTTTCGGTTTTCCTATTTTCTGGAAAAACTTTTGTTAAACTCAAAAAATTAACTCTCTAAAGTACGTTTTCAGTTAGATTTAATTTTAGAAAAACTGCTATCATTGTAATTCTGAGCGAAATTGCTGGTAGAAATATCTACAAAAAAAAAAATCATAATATTTTACTAATATATTTCATACATTTTCCTATTTTTTCTTACCTTTTCCCTTTTATTGGAAAAAATATTGGGAAAATCAAAAAATAAAATTCTTTAAATACCACATCAAGAAAATTTGGTTTTAAAAAAAAGTGTCTATATAAGATAAATTGGGGCAAGATTTCTAGCAGAAATTTGTACACAGCATAAAAAAAAAAGCATTTGTGTAAAACCCATACATTCTTCATTATACTCAAAATCTAAAACCAGAAGTCAAAACAAAATTTTAACTACGCCTTATAGTAATTTAAATCGTTATTTTGTCCAGATCGGTTTAGCCATTTTTTCAAACTTCGTTCTTTTGATTTTTAAATTTAAAAATGTAATTAAAAAAAAAGACTGATATACTTCGCACTTGGGTGCAGCCACTTCTGTAGGTGGGAAGTTGAGAAGGTAGGATACAGACGAGAATTTAATGTATATCTGTAAGCAACGATAAACCATTGCTAATGCAAAAACTATTTTGAGTAGAATTCAGTTAATAATATTCCTTTGTCAACAATATAACAATATTTAGGTATGATATAATATTATGGTATAATGATCCAACTTAATCGTACGTTTAGTTAAAATGCATTCAAGTAAAATAACGATTGCAATTTGCTTATCGATTGAAACCCCTACAGTTACATTTTTTTTATTTAAAGGATGAATACTAAAAACCGACTTGTTCACTATTGCGCCCGTCATAATTAGAATTAGAAAATAAAATTAGTTTTAAATTTTATACAATTACCGCTAAAATATACACCGAAAAAACATTTAATAACACATCATTACCCGCCTAGCATTAACTGTAATATTTATTAAATTTCTCATGCTTATAAAGCTTTTCAATTTAATCATGTTAAACTTGATTATACGCAAAATATTAAAAAATAACCGTGGTTGATGGCAGTTAGCCATTGGGCGACATACTTATCACATACCTATTATCTAACTCTATAGTCTAGAACCAATTATATTTTACATACTTACTGATTTATTCCATCTCCCTGAAAATGATCGTACCTATTATACTGTGATTTTTAATCATGCGCCTTATCCCCCTAAGCCATCAAACCACACAAAATAAAAACAGTATAAATATTTATTTAAGTAACACACTTTATTAATATTATAGCGCAGTTACAAATTAAATATGTACAATGCAGCTATAAGCACAATTACATTCGATTTTTTGTTTTTCATGAATTGCAGATTCTATAAATTGGTTGCCTTTTTTATGTAATACGAACTTGCAATTCGGCGAATGGCGTGCATGTTCTTTCCAATGATCGTTTGCAATTGTCCATTCGTGTAGAATTAGCCCGCAATTAAAGCATTATACACAATCTCTTGCACCTAGGAATTTGAAACCAGTTTCACACAATGAAAATTTATTTAGATGTTTCAAAGGGAATGAATCAAAAGTTCTTAGTCTTGACGCAAATGTGGGTGTCTCAACATATTTCGGATTCTGACTATTCCGAACGATGTATAATAATTTAGGAAAATCATCTGAGTATTTTGTTAAATTCATAATGTAAAAATTAATGATACTAGCACAACTGACATGTACAACAGTTACCGGTTAACTAAACAATTTGTTTTAAAAACATAAGTTAATATCCTCCAAGTTAATGAGACAGTCGATGGAGGGGACAATATAAATATAGCTCAATCAATTGTCGATATTTGACTGCTGCTTTATTTCTACTTTTTATAAACTTGACGAATGCCAAATAACATAATACCATTTTTGAAAATAAAAAATGTTATACGAATAAAGAGGCTAAAATTATGTGAGGTAATCGTGTCAATTTATGCAGGGATTTCCTGCAATATGTTTTTTTGAAAAATTAAAGAGGCTAAATTCGTGATTGAAAATCAAAGGGAAATTGTGTAAATTCATGGGGCGTTTTGCTGCGTGATTGAACCTACAAATTAATACTTCTATCGAAATCTAAGTTTCTTTTTTTATTTAATAATGCTTCTTGATTTATGAAGCCTAACAAGTATACTTCAATAAGGAGTCCGAACTCGAGTATTATTATTTTCCCCTGGGAACGTCTCTGTAAGTTATGAACACTAGCCCTCGTCAATTATATGGCTTACATATCTTCGTTTGACAGTGTGTATTTAAAAGTTGATAAAATACACTTGAGCTGATGTCATATATTTTGATATTTTTATTTCAAGTTGTGTAATAAATAATCCATCGTAAAATTTATATTGTCGAATTTTACGAGATCAATGATTATTAAATTACGAAAAATAATATAGGAATTGAAAAAGTTATAAAAGACGATGTGTTTGTTTGGTCAGGTCTGTTGGGCGTGGCTATTTGGACGTATAATATATTTATGGACAATTTTTATCAAATAGGTAACTGTAGTTGCTACTTTTGTATAATATATTATACTCAATGTCGACCGGAAACTGAAGCTCTTAATAAATTATAATACTATATATATATTTTTATTACTGTCTACCACAAAACAATTTAGAGTTTAAATGTTAAAGAAATGTAGGTTAGTATAATATTTACAGGAAAATATAAAAATATGAATAAAAACTAAAATCTGGTTAGGTTCTATTAAGTCTACTATTCTTACTTAAAATAATAACCTTTACTGATCGAGATTATTCTGAAATTGTAGTTTTAGTCCTGTCATAAAAATTTGTAAAAAATATTTTTTCCCCATATTTATTACATTTATATATGATTTGCTTATACTACACTAGACATGCTCGAATATAAATATATGTAAATAGTAATAATCTAACACTTATTACAGTTAGATGGGTATAGTATAGGTTTTTGTTGGGCTAAAACAATATATTTATTATTAAAAATGATTTTACTACGCTCAATTTTATTTTTTACTACAAACACAAATTATGAGTCGAATTTTATGATAAACTGTCAAGCATTTTGGCTGAGCCAAAAAAAATTTATTTACATAAAACCAAACATAAACTAAATAATTTTAAGTGGATATAAGAAATATCTAGCACAAAAATCGCCAAAAAATTTTATATTATTATCAGTTTTATAACATAAACGTCCCTGGCTTTCGTTTTATAGTCTGTGCATAAAGTTTTTCTACGAAAACCCGGACATGTAACATAATCACGTCCTGCAGAGTCCTATTTAACTCGAGTTCTTATTGAACGAAATGTACCGTTTCGATGAATGTCAATTGTATATTTTTTTCTACAGTCTAAAGGCGTCTAATACAACTATACAAACACACGATGTTCAATTCCACGACTAGCGTCTTCTGATGGTAACGGCCTATGGCTGCCAATAATAAATAATTGAATGATGATAATTGTTTTTAATATCTCAAAACTTAAAACGTAAAACTAACATGAAATAATAAGTTATCTAGATTTATTTTGTTTTGTGGTTACACTCAAAATTTAAAATAAATTATATTCTGGCCATTACACGTACAATAAATAAAAAAAAGTATTTCTTCTGGACAATATGGTGTAATTATAGAGCATTAATAGTCAATAACTACTAACAAGTCATTTAAATTTCATATTTTATTAAAAAACATAATGATTTGTTTTGAAAATGTAAGTTATCATCGTATTTTTATCCAAAATAAATAATTGTTTACTATTCATATATCTCGAATTACTTAATTAAATATATTATTTTTGTATATTGTAGAGTTGTTGCCAAAAATTGTTACGAGAAGCCGAAAAGACCATAGCGAGACAACATGAACAATTATGCGAGTACAAGAAAAAAGTTGATACATATAATGAAGTGGTTAATGAAAAAAACAGACTACAAGAATTAGTCAACGAATTTGAACAATGGAAGAAAAATGTTGAAGTTACTCGTAGGACGACGTTTAATGAATTAAATAAATCATTTGAAGATCAAGGAGAAAAGCTCAAGCTAACCGAAATCAACTGGCAATCCAAGTACTGTAAATTAAAAAAAGCTAACGATTGTATAACTAATCAGTTAAACACTCTGAAATCAAATGAACGTATACTACAAATCAAGTTAGAGAACTCTGAAAATAATTTAACATGTTTGCAGAAAGAAATGATCAGTGTAAAAGTAAACAATACAATTTAAATATTTTTAATAATTCTAACACAAGTATTACAAATATAAAAATAATGTTACTTTATCAAATATTCAAAATAAAAAAAATTAAACGGTTTTAGTTTTACTGTGAATGTATAAACATCTATAGATAGTCTATTAATAGTTGTCTTGGCGATTATTATTGAAGGCTATTGAAGAAAAGTAAATGGCCGACTTTTCTTATCAAATAAGTCCGTGGATACATTTTATTTATTAATTAAATCCAATAACGAATTTACTTAGTAGAATGAAAACTTGATTTAACAAATCTAATTCATTTAAAATCTACTACACATATAATATATACCTATATATACACGTATTTATATTATGCTTTAAAAAATTAAAATATAATTTTAAATTATCATTATTACAGTAGAAGTTTTTCTAAAAAAAATTAAAAATAATAATATATAGATTTTGCTGTAATCATATTAACAAAATGTAAACACGAACCACTTTGATTTTAAAATGTGATCCTTTAATAGATTTACAATAGTTTACACTATATATAGTTAGGTATAAGGATTCGGTTATACTGCTTATACATTTGTGGTTTAAAATTAATAAAATTAATATTTATAACATTAATTTTCTCTTATTTATTTATTTTAATATTTTCAATAAATAAATAGAAAAATTATTTTATTTTTTTTTTTTAGTCCGAGTTGGAAGAAACAAATTGCTTAATTCGTAAATTGAAGGCAAAGTTGAAAATTAAGGAAGAGGAAATTTGTGACAAGCGTCAAAAAGTTGAAGAATGTACGAAAACGTGCAGTCTTTTAAATGATGCGAATAGGTCAGTGGCAATGGATTTAAAATGTATACAAGAAAAACTGGATAACTTAAAATTAAGTGTAACACGTACAGAGGAAAAGTTCAAACTTGAGCGAGATAGGTTGTCCAATGATTTCATGATGAAATGCAAAGCACTGAACGATTTGGAGGTACGATATAATGAAGCAAATAGTAATATAGACAGTTATAAATGTAAAATTAAAACATTAATGACAACACTAATGGCATTAAAAGACGCAAGTTTAACAAAATACAATGAAATTAGAAACGTGGTCAAAAAGTTAATAGAAGAAAATAATAAAAAGGAAACAAAATTAAGCGTTTTGAAAAACAAAAACAATCAATTGCAGTGGGAAAACGAATCCATTGTTACGACAATAGATACCCAGAAAAAAAAACTTCAAGAGCAAGAATGCCGTTTAAAAAAGTACGCAATACTTTCAAAGAAAATGGATCAAATGAAACTCAAAAGGAAAAATTCTTCGAACGTTCGATGTGGTGATCAAATTAATTTCAAAACAGACGTATGTTGCGTTTCGTCCGAAAAAATAAAATCGATGGCACCAATCTGTAAACCAAAAAACTGTGTGACTAATAACAATAATGTTTCAATGAAACCTCAAAATGCTCTACTCGAACAATTAGATAAATTACAAAATGATGTAAACCAACTTATACGAAACATATAAATTTATTTTAAGCAATATCACGAAAGAGTGTACCTAACATTTCGTTTTCTATTGTATTTACCATTTATCTATATATAATAATAGATGCCTGCCCAGCGTTGCCCGCGCAATTTTTTACCCATATTCGTTTTTGGTTTTGACCGTGTCAGTAATAAATAATAACAAATAAAAACGAATAGGTAAAAAGTGGGTAGTCTAATAGTTTTCTGTTATAACATTTCTTCATGAAAAGCAAAAGTGTATTTCCAAATATTATCGATAAAAACTTTAAAATGATTGTGAAGCTGTCCTGCTCAGTGTTGCCCGTGCCATTTTTTATTATTTTTTTTTAGCTCAATTATTTGATGTATATATCTTGCATATATAATTCTCTAGCTGTCCCGCTCAGCGTTGCCAATTTTCTATTGTTTTTTTTACCCCTATTCCTTTTGTTTTTGACCGTGTGTGTAATGAATAAAAATAATGGAAAGTGGATAGTCTACCTTCGGCGGAATAAGTGTTCTATTATGACATTTTTTTCATGATTTTCATACGAAAAATAACGAAACAACGATTTTTTTTAATTGGGGAGGGTTGATGGTTTTCAAAGGAAGTTAAGCCTAATCTAACTTATCAGGAAGTGGTGACGCTCAACAGCGGGAAAGCGCGTGTACCGTATTATAGCTAATTGTCGTTCGCAGACGGCACGGTGTTTGTTTATAACTTCATGTGAAAAAAATCAGGCATATCGGTCTATCCGTTTTCAAATTATGACGTTGGTGAAAAAATATCAATTAATTTATACATACCTATATAATATAAATGTGCATATTTGCTGATATATTAAAATTTATATTTAAAAAAATAATAACTCGATTGTATCACTCTCTTGGCGCCCTCTGATGAATCTTTATTTATTAATTTTCTATCAGAATGAACATTTCAATTTTGGGATAACTTAAACGGAATATCTTACTGATTATTCATTTTTTTGTTTTTTAATTTCATCCGTATCATCAAGATAACCATAAATCAAAAAAAAAAAAATCGCTTTACTAAAAATACTAATTACTGTGTCAGCTACCCTTGCAATGTCTTGCAACTTATCGGGTCCAATTGTGAATCTAAATCATCCAGGGACCCATTCAAACACACATAAAAAATTTCGTCAAAATCAATTCAGCCGTTTAGGAGGAATTCAGTGACATACACACATACAGTAGAATTATATATATAAAGATATTAATATTCGAACTATTATTACGATTTGTTACGATTATTACTTCATTGATTATTACCACATGTGCATAACATAATAGTCTAACATGAAGTATTCTATATTTATTTGAACCCACGCAGTCTCAAGAGCGAAACAAGCACTTAACAACAAGACACTAATGTACTCGTATAAGTTTTATAACTTAAATTTCAAGTTTTAACATGTTTTTTTGAAAATATAAAATCAGGAGCGTTGTATCTACAAGGGGGTGGGGCCCTTTTCGTCCAGAATTACTTTTCGGCCATTCCATAATAACTGTTTTCGGCCAGTACACTATTTTGGTCACCAATATAAAATTTTTAAATTCAAAGAAACCAAAGTAAATGATATGCATGCAATTTAATTGTTTTTATTTTTATTTTTGATATGCATAATGTTTACAAAAGATTTTAATTTTCGAACACTAGCATAATTTTACAGCGATTACTTTCAATATATTTTGCCATTTTAACACACGTGACTGCAGTACCTATGCACATACACTACACACGACTCTGCAGTAGGCTAACAAAAGTTATTGATAAAGAACAGACAATTCCGTATGTTATAGTATACAGGCAGTCAGGTATAATATTTTAATAAGACTATATATACTTATCAAACAGTATACGTTTAAATTTACAACGTTTGATATCATTTTAATGATAAATTAATAATACAATCTTACGTTGGTGACTTATTCAACACGGATCCAATAATGTTTATTTTATTTTAAATTTATTTCATATTCTTTTCTTTTGTAATATTACATTGGTGACCAAAATAAAAACGGTTATGCTCCTACAGAGTGTATCAAGAAGATATACCATTGTAATATTTTTGGAGATAATAAAGATAATCATATTCTGTTTTTTTTTTTTTTTATATATTATTCACAGGGATAAGAAATACAAATATTTATATTTCAATTAATTTTGTATGTTATGGTAAAAAACACTAAGACGTATCAACTTTTTATTTTCATTAAATTCATGGTTTTTAATAATTACTTAATTTAATACAACAAATACCGAGAAATAAAGAAGTGAACAGTCAATTAGCAATAATAATAATTAATTAGCGAATGCGATTACATAATTGCAAATGCTGAACAATTAAAAGTACCAAATTTTCTCTGAACTTCAAAAGGTTATTAAAAAGTACGAATTTAATAAAAATAAAAAGTTGATACGCCAACATTTTTAGAAAAATAATCTTTATAAAATGGCTATCTTAACATTTTTGAAAAAAAATAAAAGTTATTTTTTCAAATTTTTTACGAAAACATGAAAAATGAATTGAAATATAAATATTTTTTTATTATCTCTGAATATATTACAATGGTGCACTGCATATTAAACATATATTGCTGATTTTTAAAAATGAACTAAAAATATAATAGCCGAACACAATACGTATTTAAAAAATATATTTCTATACTAAATCGTTTTAATATACTTAGTCTAATCATGATAAATTTAATTTGGTATTAAATATATATATAAGTATAGGTATACAAAATCGATTAGATATACATCCAAATAGGCATGTATATTATATTACATTTTAATTGTATATATTTTAATTACTTTGTTTTAATGTTACACGAACACAAATATTTATAAAGGTAATAATACAATACTAAAAACTATAATATTGTATGTTATATTGCACTTAATTTCGATATGGTATTATTTCATAACAAACATCAATAGTAATAATTATAATAATAAAAAATAATAATATGTTCTTTTTTTTCTATCACAGTTTTAATTTTATACTTTATAATGGAAGGAAAATAACATTTATAGTGAAATGGTCGGATTATTATAAAATTTGATGGGCTAAAGGTCTAATAAGACCTACGTGCTCGGCTCCTTTGGCTGGAAGTTTGTTCAGAGTATAATGTCTAATGAGATCTGGTATAGACTCAAAAGGTCTATCCGATTGGCCCAAATAATTTCGTTCTTCGGATTGAGTTATTCTCATGTGAATAAAACCTTTAGCACTCCTAAAAACAAAGAATAGTTAAAAGTATAACTTTACACATTTATTTAATAGTGAATACATATTATATTGAACAAAAATAAATTTAAAAAAAGACGGACATCCTTCGCACGTGGGTGTAGCCACTAGGATATATAAGGGAAATTAATTTGTATCTGTAAGCAACGATCAGTTGAAAGTGATTCTTTGTCAACAATACATATGTCATATTATGATAAAATAATTAAATATGCATTATAATACATTTTCTTTAGTAATATTTGTTTAATATTGTACCGATTTAAAATTATGTCTCTTAAGTACCTTTCTAGTCAGATTTACTTTTAGAAAAGGGTCTACATCGTATACATCAGAGTAAGCTTTTTGGTAGAATTTTCGAACACAGTATAAAAAAATAAACATCTTTAATAAAACCAATACTTTCTTCGCTACACTCAGAATCTAAAATCAATGAACTATCACTATTTATAATATAATCAGTAAATTATTATAATAAGAACCAGTTTTTTTTTTTTTTTTGATAAAAGTAGATAAAAGTATTTGATGGTCGTTACGTTGAATTTTGGTGATTTCAATGAGCAATTTCAAGTTAAAATTATGTTACTTAAAAATATACCATCTGCAACCACTTCTAAAACAATTCATCAATGGATTGATTTTTTAAATTCAAATAATAGAACTTGTATTTTTCTTCACTTTTATAAACGAATAGTACTTTTCACCACTATTCCAATAACAACTTGCTAATGCGAAAGGTCATTTTCTAAAGTGACGATTGTAAAAAAATATCTCCACAGCACCATGACTCAAGAAAGACTCGACTCTTTAATTTGTCTATCCATAGAACAACAGACGACAAAAAATATTAATTATGACGAAGTTATCGAGGAATTTAAAGTGATGTTACCAACAAAACGATGATTAGAATTATAATATATATTAAGAAAATTTGTAATTATAAAAATAAATATTTATAAAATGTATTACAAATTATATTTAAAAATAGTAAATACAATTTCATATTACCTAGTTATTTATTTATCTGATAAAAGGAATATTGTTTTTTATCCCTGATAAAAAAAAAGTAAAACTGATTTAATTATTATTAGATGATAAAACTTATTAAGAAATTTAGGAGTCATATCCCTGAACCCTAACCTAATTTTTTTGGAGGGAAGGGACAAGGTGAAGTAACCCCTTTCCTCTGAATATGCCACTGTTTTGCAACACCTGTGAATGAAGTCTGGACATGTATTTGATTAATTAACTTTATGTATCCCACCTGCCCAACTACTCACCTACAACAGTGGCCAAAACCGTCCCCAGTATCTACTCTTTTTTTTTTATTACAAATTACGTATATACCTATACAAATATTATTTATTGATTGATTTAATGTTTGAAAATTTATTCATTACTACCTTTTAATTTTTTTATTTATACAACTTTGAAAGTTGATTAAGATTCGGATTGTCAATAACGCATTTATTAGCCAGCTAACTATTCGTTGAATACATTTAGTTGGCGAATTTAGGCCGTCGCCCATCGATACAGTACGGCGGCGGTGCGGCGTGCACACATTAACAATTCGTATAAATAATAATAACAAATAATACCGTCTATCATATTAATATTTTAATTAGTGATGACGACTATCGAATAATATTCGATAGTTTGAATAAACTATAATATTGTACGTCATTGAACGTATATGTTTAACTAAAGCATTAAAAAAAAAGATGTCCTAGGATAATGGAAACGGGTACAGGAGTATAACCACTGCTATAGATAGTTTAATGTATACCTGTAAGAAACGATAAACCATTGCTTACGAAAAAACGATTCTGAGTGGAATTCATTTGATAATGATGCTTTTTCAACAATATATATGTCATTTTATAATAAAATAATAAAATAGGCTTTATATATTTTCTTTAATAATATTTATTTCGTGTTGTCCCAATTTGTTTACGTTTTTCCTGATTTTCCCATGTTTTATCGCGGTTTTTCACATTTGTTGGGAAAACTCGAAAAAATGGAAAAATGAACTCCTTATAGTACCTCCCCACACCAATTTCCTTTCGAAAAAGATGCTACACTTAAAAATCGTAGCAGATCTCTGGTAGAAAAGTTGTCCTCGGAAAAGAAAAAAAAACTTTTCTACCAGCAATTTTGTTCCAATTTACATTGATAGCACTTTTTTTAAAATTAAACCTGACTGAGGTGGTACTTGATGAAAGTAATTTTTAGCTTTTTCTAATAAATGAGAAAAATCATGAGATAACCGTGGAAAACGGGAAAATAGGTACAGTATTAAACAAATATTATTAAAGAAAATATATAATATATATGTAATTATTTTACCATTATATGACATATATATTATTGACAAAGCAACACTATCAACAGTACCAACTGAACTCCGCTCAGAATCTTTTTTTTGTTTTCAATTGTCTATCGTTGCAACAGATATACATTGCATTAAACCTCCCTTCTACTATCTACCCTACTTCTCATCTATAACAGTGACCATTATCCTAGGACAGCTTTTTTTAATTACGTTCTTCGAATTTCATACAGAATTTGTTAATATCTCATATCAAGAACATTTCGTAATATTTTGTTATAATACGCTTTTAGTTTGTATTTTGTTTCTCTCTTTGAGTTGTATCTTGTATAGCATTTAATTTAATTTAATATAATTTGAATATTAATCAACAATTTTAGAGTTAACTTATTTTTGTTATCACTTGACTAACAGTTACTTTCTTCTATGGACATTGGTTTTAGAAGTTTCTGAGTGTATCGAAGAAGCTTATGTTTTTATAAAGATGTTTTTTTTTTTTTAACTGTGGACAACTTTTCTACCAGAAATCTTGCTCCGATTTTTAGTGTAGCATCTTTTTTGAAAGTAAATCTAACTGAAGAGGTTAAGTTAGGTTAGGTACATGAGGTCATTTTTCGATTTTTCTCAACAAACGGGAATAACGGGAAAATCAAATTAACATTCAACAAATATTATTAAAGAAAATGTATGTATCTTACCTTCCCAACTTCCAACCTACAACAGTAGTTGCACCCACGTGCGAAGTATCTTCGTCCTTTTTTTTAATAATATGTTTACTATATATCTTTCCATCCATTTTGTATAATTATAGGTATATATATATATATATATATATGCGATAATAAGAATCTCATATAATCTCATATAATATGAATGAAAATAAAAACGACTTTGCAATAAATCAAATAAATTATGTAAATTTAACAAAGTTTATTAATAATTGTAGTAAACTAAAGTCTACTTACTTAATTGATAACGCATATGATCCCTTGTTTCCTCTGACTAAATAACTTCCTTCTCCTTGGCCGTGCAAAGCTTTTTCTGCTTCAAGCCTGTTCATGGGTCCATGATACCAACTGAAAAATAATAAATGTTTTAGATTCTGAGCTTAACGAGAGATCTATTGATTTTACTATGATGTATTGATTTTGTATTCTGTGTTTTTTTTCTATTTTTGTGTATATGAGCAAGTCAATTTTCCAACAGAAGTCCTGTTCCAATCACAAAATGAGATTTTTTTGTTACATTTTGGATATAGTTGGTGCATTGAGGAGGCCTTTTTTTGATTTTCCAATGGATTTTCATAATAAGAAAAACCGGAAATAAAATAATCGAAAATGCGGATAAATATTTACGGCGTGCCATGGCGTTGTTGATTTAATTATTTAAAATTTTTAGGAATCATGTTTTTAACTAGATCTCTTACAGGGGCGGATTGGGCTATCGGGAATTCAGGAGTTTTCCCGGGGTGCGCTGCTTCTTCAAATAATTATTTTAAAAAGTATTTTACGCCAAAAAATTATGCTGAAATACTTATACATTTTTTTTTTACTAGTGGTTACCTGAATTAAAATAGGTGGCCGGTTATCACGGTAGTCGGCTATTTAGTTGTTTTATTTATCTATGGTACATTCATTGAATTCTACTTGATGTAAGGTTAACCTAACCTGATTATATATAAACGTGATTTTTTTTTTTCATGAACCAGTAATTATCTCGGAAAATTTTATATAAATTTGATTTCTGTTTTTTCTAATTATTATGGAACCGTTTAGGTTTTATTTTAAATGTTTACCCCTACTTCGTGTACCTTAAATAAGTATATACTTTTAATTTTAAAATAAGAACCCCCCATTTTGAAAATAGGTTTAGATTTGAATGGAGAATATTTTCCATACTTTAAAATTCAATTATAGAAATAACTGTACTGTACAAATATAAAAAAAAACACATTAACCTCAAACATATTTTCTATGTTATGCAATATTGTTTACTGCTTTAAAAATGTATGCTTGAAACTTAAATATATTAATTTTAATATAAAAAATACCTTCGTCTATTTATTAGGTATTTAATGTTTAATTTAATATGCGATAATTATCATAATTATTATCATAATAATTATCATAATTTTTTATAGTTAATGTAGATATGTATAAAACGTCAGACTTGTACAAAAATGAGACGGAAATCGCCTTGTACCCAAGTGATACTTACCAGATTTTGAGTTTATAACCAATAAAATAATTTATTTGATGAATGGTAAGAACTTTTTGAACTTTCAAAAAAGGTTCGATTATCCGATACCTTAATCAAAATATTCTTAAAAATGAAAATATATGAATTAAATATTTGTTTCGGCACGTGTCTATTGCCAGATGTCACCTCCCTGTAATACTGTGTATTGTGTATGTATAGTGCGTCAGTTTATTATTATAATGTATAATTAAAGTTAAAAGCTGTCATGGCACATGACAACCTTAACAAAAGTCCTTTCAAGGTTATCTAACAATATCCAACGATGTTTAAAATTATGATTAAACCAAAATTGTAAAGATAACTAACGTCTCAATTAACCGAGTAACGCTTTGTTTCTCTCCGAGAGCGATTTAAACCAGCTTGAATACGGGGAACCAATGGAAGTGGGAAACTCCTCCAGTCATGTCACATCATCAGTGCCTACAGTTCGAGTTGATTCAGCAGTTGAACGTTCGCCTTAGTTGACCAGCTGATCTGGACGCACCATTCGTTGGCCAGTTAGATTCGCGTAACAATATCGCTCAGGATGTGTTAAAATTGTCACCGTTGGATTTTTTAGTCATTATATTATTGTTATCTATGGTGTTCTCGAATACTTGCGAACGGTGTTTCGAATTTCTATTTTTTTTCTCTTGACAGTATTCTTTAATTCATCAGTTCAATTGCGTAATAATATTTTTTTTATGTTTGTCAAAATTTATAATTTTATTTTTTTGTAAATTACATTTATTTTTGAATATTTGATTGAATTGTTTTAAACTTCAATAATTAAGTGGATCGTATTTTGCTCATTCAAAAATTCTCTGTATTTATTGAAATTAATCTTCAGGGAGATACGACCATTTTTATGCTGTATAAAATATTTTTGTACGTTTCAACCAGTAGCGTTTGTTATATGATTTTTTTTTTTATTTTGTCATCTAGGTATATTCAAATGAGATTAATGGAAAGGTGCTATATACTTTAAACCATTTTTGGCTCCTTAGTTCAACATAGTTCAATACGCCACTGAGTCTTGGTTCCACGGAAATAAAATTCCTATTGTTTCGTCGTGTTGATTTATACAAAACGCTCGTTAAAATACAAATTCATATTAAATATACCCATGTATAAAGAAGGCCCATTTTAGTGTTCAGTCCTAGGACAGAATCCTTAATTCGGTAGTGTCTATAGTTATAAATTCAAAAATAGTAATAAATTAGTTGTCAAACTTCAGTATAAATAATACGGATAATAATACTTTTTTTTGCAGGGAATTCAATTTTAAGTACATTTTTGACAACTTTTTCTTTTTATAACTGTATCTAATGTAATTGTATCGATATTATTTATTTGGTCTCCACTGTACAAGTCAATACGTGTACGCATTTTCAAAACTACTGTATATACATAGGGTAAACATAAACATTTGTTTATGTATAAGTGTGCACATTTACAAAATTTAATTTGATTGTATTGAAAACTATACAAAAATAACTTAAGTCCATCTAAGAACCAAGTATATATAATATTATGTATAACCATATCACGGATACTTTTTTATTTATTCAAATCACCGGCGGGCCGTGTACAATACCGTCCAAGGGAAATCAGAAATATATTTTAAAATTCAATTTCAAAGTCCAAAACGTATGCGTATAGGTAAGCATCCCCATGACATCACTTTATCTAATCCCTACAGCTAATGCTTAAAACACGCTCCGTATATAATACGCATTTTATAAATTGAAAAAAAAATCGCATGACGCGATCGGATTATAAACGGCCGTTGGATATTGAAATATTCGTTTTGTGATTTATATTTATTATTTCAAGGTTTATTTATTATTATTCCCGAGATGCATATCAAATATTTGATGGTAAAACAATATAGTAATATAATTACGGTGCACAAAAAACGACGGTGAACAAATATTATGAAACCATACTGTACATGTGCTCGAGACATGTTTTTCGATTTTTTTTCTTTTTTCATAGCAGATATTACAACGAGTTAATACATACATTTTATTAATACACATATTATTATATTATGTAAAAATTATTATACACGAATATTATTAATAAATTATAATTAAAAAAAAAATAATGATAATAATAATAACAAAAATATGCGTGATATATTCGCATGTTTCAAGGACGTTAAAACAGTAACATGCAGAAAGTCATTGCATATCTAATAAAAACTCGTTAGGCATTGATCAATCACTTTTCCGTTCAGTTTTATAATACATCATGTAACATATATTACCTACTTAAGATTTTAAAACAAAAGTAACTGATTGTTGCTATTCAAGTTAATTGTGTACCGATATTGTAATGATTTACAACAGAGACGAATCTAGGACTGGAATAGCTAGGGAGGAGGGTTGTTTTTCAAAAATTGTCGACTATATTATGTTTACAGGTTATCAAGATTTATTATAGACATTATAGCCGATACATAAGTCTAGTTTTGTCTTTGATTCATGATAATTTTAGATTCTGGGTGCAGCAAATAAACTATTCGTTTGTTTTCTTATTTATTTTCTCAAAAAAACACTTTTCCGTTGTAATCCCAAAAATTGACCCCCGTGGTATTAACCTCCCCCTAGTAAAATTTAATAAGACAAATTTTACCCTCTTCGTAATGTATATTAGGTATATTAGGTCGTAGAATTTAATTTGTAATTATTTACCCCTAATATTTATGGTCAAATATCGCGAGGTCAATAATCACTAGCACACTGGTCATCAAAAATGCTCCGAATTTTTCTCGTCGTACTTTATTAGAAATATTTTACGAAATTTCCAATACTTTTTCCACACATTTACAATAGTGGCCTACCCGTGGAGTGAATTCTGTGTGGTTTTTTAATTTTAATTTTATTATTATTCATATTTATACCGCATGAATATTATACGAGTATATATATTATAAACTTTTAGAGTGATACCTAATACCTTTGTTTTAACGTGGGTACCGCATTTTCAACGGTTAATTATTTAATATTGTTCCACTGGGGATAGATAAAACAATAGTGTCTGTGTTTGTCATAATTAATAATTCGCGTATACTATACACTGTATAATATATATGTACTATGTTTTGTGTAATAATATTTCCCCATTGTAATATACAATAAATATCACGGGATCCGAATTTTTATAAAACCTTTTAATGATTTTATTAAAATATCAACAGGAATATTATGATAGACGGAAAAAAGTTAAATTAGTTTTTTCGTATTTTATAATTGCTACACTACAAACCTAATTTTTAAGGGTGGGAATTGTAACGAGCATTTATATCTACTCAAGAATGTTTAAATTCACTTGAAAATAAATTTAATAGTGATCCTTTTGTGATTATCTATTGTGTAATAATCGAATGAAACGCATCAAATTTTCGCTTCAAACGAGGTGAACATTGTGACGAAAAAGAATTATATTTTTTTCGAGACTTGATTCGATTTTATTTTATACGCCTTTAAAAAATGTCTCATGCACATACAAATCATTTAATATTTAATAACTTAATTGAAATTGTTTTCTGTATCGTGTAAACATGTCGGACCTCTAAAACGATTATTATAAGTCTGTTAAAATATCGTGTTTATGTAAAACTGCGTTTGTGGCGCCCTCTTAAATATTCGGAACGTATCGGACAAATTAATTTTCTAATTAGATAGCTATCTATCACGGTGCGCGTAGTAAGTTTTTTTTATATTTATTACTATAATAGTGATTGTCTATCGTTCAAATCTAAATTGTATAAATCATGTAACAGTGTAATATTATAATGATATTTTATTCGAAAAATAACCTACTCCACCGATACATTTTTATAATTGACTGTTTAGAGTCATTAAGTTAACTGTACGATTTGAACTAGGTTTTTAAGAAATTATTCCATGTACGATATCGATGTATAGATATACGACAAAAGTAATATGTATACAGGTATCGATATAAAAATAATTATGAATATGTCACATTATATACAAATGTATATATAGGTATATAACACGACCATTGAGTACTTAACCATACAACGTATGTATAAAACATAATATGAAGAAATTATTATATTGTATATTATATTATATTAATTATTAGTATACACTAATGAAATGGGTGTTGTTTTTTTTTTCACAACATTTGGGAGTTTTCACGGTAATAAATTTTCATAAATATCTATTTTATGTTTATGTTTTAATAATATTGATGAATAAAAAAATAATAATAATAAAAATAGAAAGGCTAAATACTAATATACGACCAAATATGGTTACTGAATTGATTAATATAACTTATACGTATAAGTATAAATATATTAATTAAATTAATTAAATTGTAATAGTAATAAATTTTAATTTAATTTTATTAAATTTATCTAATGGAATTATGTTCATGAAGGCGTGATACTACCCGTAATTCAATTATGAACATTTATTTTGTGCGGACAAAAACTATTCAAATTAAAGATTTAAATCAATAAATCAAACATTCACCATAATAAAAGAAAACTTCCAATACATTACGTTGATTTTATTTTTTTTCGATACTGCAAATATAAAAATTGTAATTATTGTTCTATAATCTGATCATTTTTAGCTTTTCAAACACGAACAACTTTTAATAATGATATTAAAAATTCGGAAAATTCGGTTTCATTTAGACTACAGGCCTCTACTAGTGGTTTTGCCCAAAACGGTGTTAGCGAACCTGATTTATTATTTCACGATAATCTAATATTACATATATTAGTGATAATTACACGGGACCACTTGTATAAATGTATGTTTTGAAAGTGAATTTGAATATTTTTCAGTTTATGCATTTTAATTATAAAATATAAAATATTTCAAGAAAATTGCTTATACGCGACCTCTTAAATACCAACGGTAGCACTCGCCCACTTTAGTACAATTAAGTTCACTAGTCCACTTACACTTACACGCATGTGCTGTATCTGTCTTACAAATGTATGACAGCATATTAGCGTTCATCTGGGATAACTATCTGTTTAATTAGCTTACATATTATAGAGAATTGACCTATAATCCAACTTAAAGATAAGAAAATTATCTGTGGCACTGCGTTAATTTTTTCAGTATTTTAACTTTAATACGAGATATGTGAGTATATTAATAACAAAACTTAATTATGCTTATATATAACATGAAAATTTAAATACAGAAAAAATTGCGCAGAAACAATACACAGTTCTTATCTTCATTTGTTCATAATGTAAATTATCTGTGCAACTACGTCGTTTTTTTCGATATTTTAATTTTCATGCGATATGTGGACATTTTTAAATTTTAGATACTCATATCTCATTTAAAAATTAAAATATCGAAAAAAAACCGACGCAAAGAATAAGCGAGACCAACAATACCATTCCCGTGTGTAACATAATATGTAACCCTAAAATTAGATTAAAAACTGATATTATTTTCATTATTATTATCATACAAAGTTCATAATAAATTAACAACTAATGAATGGCAAATAAATATATTATGTAAAGTAAAAGCAGTAATATTGAAATTTAAATAAATTATTTGACATAATTTAATTAACTAAATAGCCTAAGTAACCTTAATTTTCAATTAGGATTCCGCATTAACGTCATTCCACGAACATGTTACTTAATTTAATGTGGTATTCGTGTAATGTAATCGTTAAAACATGGACGAATATAATATGAATTCGTATATGTTTCGATAAATATTAAACCGAGGACGTGCTAAATCCTGTATTTAAGGGTGCGTATGGGGGATTTTATCGACATTTTTGAGGAACTGAAATTCTATTGACCCAAAAGTACTCAAATTAACTTTTTAACACATTAACAGGTATTCCTGTATCATTATCACAATTATTTATTGTATAAACTTGAAGTTAAAAGTTGTTTTTTTCAAAAAAACTGTTTTCACGGGCAAAAACTACTCGGGTTATGGACTTAGTTAAAAAACAAAATTTCCACCAAGAAACAAAAAGAACTTGCACTGTGCAAAATTGGTTTTAGTTTTTCGGTTTCAAGTTTTAATATTACTAATAATAAAAAAGTAAAATTAAATTTATTAAATTAATAAAGTTTATTAAACATACTTAAAGCTAACAGATTTTTAAGCACTAATAACTTTTTTGTGTTTGTAATATCAAAAAATAAATCCAATGTTACACAATGCAAGTTATTTTTGTTTTTATGATGAAAATTTGATTTATTAATAAAATATATAAAGTCCAAAACGTTTTTTCTCGCACAATGCAGTGGGCGATGTAGCACGTCCTCTTAAAGGTATTTTAATTTCAATACTTATTTGTTTAGTTCAAATTTCTGTTCGTATTTCGTATAGGTATCAACTACGTATCATTACATTGATATATGTATGGATATTTTTATTTGTTTTGATTATTTTAAAATATTATTATACGTTTGTTTAAAAAAGAAAACGAAATATTTTTCATAAAAAGTAAAATAAATCTAAATTAAGGAGTATGAGTACAGTTACTGTTTTAGAAAACATTGGCGATATATTGGCAAGAGATATATTTACATTTTACGTGATACACCCTTCGTTATTGTGTTTCAGTACAATTTCATCCAACATTTTTATATAATAATTGAAATATATTATTTTTACCTTATTATATTTACCTTTTTGACAGTTTTGAGTACAAAAACAAAGCATGCACTCAGACGAGCGTCTGTATATTATAAATGTATAAAATAAATATAGAATTTATTGCAATGCAGTCAACTTTTTTGTAATGAGGATTTTTTATGTATGGCGTGTGCTATAACAGAAGACAATTTTTTAAAACTAATTTTCTTGTGAACTAATGTCTATGTCTGATGTCTAAATATAGGTACCGGAGACCAAGAATAAAAAGTAGTATTATATCTTTGTAAAATGAATAGGTAGCTTCTGTATTATAGTTAGAAATTAAAACACAACAATTCAAAATATAATTTGAAGGAAAGTTTCGAATATCTCGTTATCTTTGTAAATATGATTAATCTGATCATTATTAGTTTAAAACGCTCGATTCCACTTGATTTAAGAATGTTATTAAAATATAATATACGTACATAACTCGTAATAGCATTACGCTCGTTACTTATATTACCGATCAATTATAATAACTTCACACTACCTTGTATACATAAATTTAGCTCAATAATTGGATCATATTTAAATTACACGTAAACTAATTTATTGTCTAATAAATTGTGTTGAATAATGAGCAGGTATTATAATTTTTTTTTTTTTTTTGATAATCATATTATAATGTAATATTTATAATACATTGTTTGGATATTTATTCTTTTTATCTCAAAACCCAACTATGGGATTTTTTTGAGTGTTGGTGGTTAAGAATTTTTAGAATCCGGATCGTTTTTTAGGAAATGGGAGGGCTTTGCTCGTTTGACGTAAACAATCGATCTATATTACCACACAAATTTAAGTTAACGGCAAATTTGAATTGTTATACAATATCATACACAGATCGAAAAGAAAAGTTAAAATTAAATCGTAAAATAATTTTATTATAACTTCAAATGTTGCACTCACAAGAGCAAAGTTCGAATTCTGGTTAGCTATATACTCGATCGTTATATTTGTCTAGTAAATATAAAAACGTGATTTCGAAAATATTAAAATATGATTTAACTTGTACTTTGACTCAACTTTTTTTATAAATCGACCTTAAAATATAAAGTTTTATTTTAGTTTCGTTGGTTTATTAAAATTCCAAACACAATTTAATATTATAAACGTAAGAATACTTACCATTGTTGATCTAAAGGCAAAGAAACGTCAATGTCTTCAACGAAATTCAGTGGTTTTATATTGGATAAACTTAATGTTGGACGATTTGGTTGATCTAAATAACATACAAAAATATAAACAATAATTAATATTATGAACTATTTTTAATTTTGAATAACAGCAGGAGACACAAATAAATATTAATAATAACAATTTCGTTATGATTAACTCTTTCATTATTCAATTAATTAATTAAAATATCATTTAATCATTTAATCTATTAGTTAATTAAAATATTGATTCACAGTAATGACTAAAGAGCATGTCTGTGGAAATGGACAATGGTATTGAAAGGGTTAAATAGGTAGGTAGTGAAAATCAATACTGCGACCTTAAACATTTTGTAAACTATTTCCCGACATTTTTAATTAAGTTTAAAAATGTTGTCTAATGTACTTATATGTTTTAAACTATTTCAAAATAGACGTATTAAAAAGAAATAGATTTTATTACATTTACCATTGGTTCTATGTGATATTCAAATATGATATTGTTATGGAAAAATTGTATACAGATTGTATAGTAATAATTATTAAGTTGTAAAGTAAGTTTAAATAATTATATGTTTATAATATATTACATATATTTGATGTTGTGTTATCGTAAAATGCTTAAGTTGCAATGGACAGAAACAGTAAGAAAGATGCAAGAAGAACTGAACAGAATAAATTAAAATTGAGAATATTTGGTCTAATAGTACTAATGTCATAAGGGACAAAATATGTTTCTTACAAATTGTATCCAACCAAAAAGACACATGTAATTTACTATATTTTTTGGAATTCTATCTTGTGTGCCTGTTCAGAAATAAAATGAATAAATTTGCATTCACTATGCAATACAAATAAATAATAAATAATAGTGATTGCAATTGTGAATACATTCCTCTAAAAATGAATAAATTAAATGCATTTCTCAAAACAATGGACACGGATAAAGATAGTAACAAGAATTTAATAGGGAATTGAGTTATGAAATAGAGGCATGATATGGATATGTGCATGAAACTAATCGGATGATTAAATACGAGTAGAAAAAGAAGACTGTCTATATGTTAATAAACAATGTAAACATTGTAAACATAATAATATTATTAATTATTGTCAATTTATAATCATATCAATGATAATAATACGTATATATTGTACCTATACAGTTTAATTACAATAATTATCCGACTAAACAGTGATTAAAGTGGGCGAACGGAGTTGTCCGTTTTGCTGTGAGTTGACATTATCAGTCTCATTTAGTTATTGTCACTGAGCATTTTTGTTGAATTTTAAAAACTCGAATTAGTTTAATATACCTATTCGATTATACATAATCAGACCGTTTTAATTTTTTCTCACCGAACAGGCATATGCGTAAGATAATATATTTGAGGTAGGGGAGTGCAGCCTGTGTTTAAACCCTGTTAGTGTAATATTTCAAACGTAAACAAATGTGTATGCGAGAAAAACATTTTCTGTTATGTTTAGTCTGTTCTCCGGAACGCCTAATAATTTTCAGTTAATATAGTCCCCCTTCGAAGTCTTTAGTGTTTTTACAACTTTAACCACTGCGTCGAAACTACGCCATAATTACTTAACTACTTAACATTAAAACCATACACTATTGTGTTGTTCGCGTTTAAAAAAAAGATTATTTAATTATAAGCGGGTGTAAAAAACATCATTAATTACCAAATATGAAATAATTATATATCATTATACGTTATTTCCCACAGTTTTAAAATTGTAACCTTTTTATTATGCGCATGCTCAATACAACTTGCATTTTTTAAAATGGTAACGTGTTTTTTTAACACGAGATTTGGATAGACAGAATTTGTTAAAGTCATTTTGACCGTTTAACCATTTAAAATCATAATTGACCGAATGACAATGAATTAAACTTTAAATTTAAATCGAATAATTTATTAGGAAAACTTTTTTTTTTCGAATTTGTCTACGATTGTATATTAAATTGTCGGTAAGGTGATTATTTTTCTAATATTTTATTATATATGTTGTTATTGTATTTTGGACCTATCGGTGGCATTCGGTAAAATATTATTACACTCGAAAGTCGAAATTTCCGACAATAACCGAGGTCATAAAATCGTTCCCCACGACGACCGTGAGTTTTACGATCCCTACACTTTTCGAGTGAGGGGTGGTCCTTAAATAAGGGTGAAACGGAAACTACTAAACGAGTATATATGTAATGGTATCGGCCATTTTCAAATAAAATGCTGTAGTATCACATACCTATACATCCATATACTGGTATAAATCCCATTCAAATAATCGATCAAATAAATAAAGGTATGCCAATAATTGTCGAATTTTCTTCGGAATTAAAGATTATCGCCCAATCTGTTATATTAACTATATAATTTATTATAGTTATTTAGCTTTGCCCGAGTTAATGTTAAACGTAAAATAAAATGTAAACAACAAAAGACGTATTTCCCCGTGACTCCCCGTTTTCATCCTCGTCCATATCTCTGTAAATTAAAAAAAAAAAAAAAAAAAAATGTTTTTTCTTGCCCACAACAACCGAATTAACTAATAATAACTGTTTCTTTTCATCCGTATCGCCAAGTATCGCCTGTATATCAACAAACACATTAATTAAATTTTCGTTCCACTAATACCAAAAACCCCAATGTCGGTCACCGTTTAATGGTTGAATATCGACGTTAGACACCGACCTTCCTTTTGTTTTGAATGCCAAGTATGCAAAGTTTTATAAACATCGGAATAAAATTGTACTTTGTTATGGCGGACAAAGAAAAAAAGAAACATTCATTATATACACACATAAATAAACACATATACTCGTATATATCATTTCCGCTACTTTTCGGCATTTTTAGCAGATTCTACTGGACTAAATGAGCTTAAACTCGGGAATTAGAATTGTTTTGTATAGACGGATTAAAATGACAAACGTTAGGTTGAACTTAAAAACTAATTTAATCACAGTGTTGCGGGTGGAGGGTTTTTTGTTTTTAGTTTTTTATACCCCTACAGACTCTCCGAATAAAGTCAAGGATATAAAATTATGTATATGAGTGAAGTTAGTATCAAGGATGTGCATTTTGGGGGTTTCATCAGCTTTCAAACCCCACCATGTTTACGATTTTATTTTCGTAATTATACTTTTTAATTGTATAGTACAATAATAGTATTGTTATTTATTGTTTTATAAAGAGTATTTCTATACACTACAACATAGAAAGGGTGTGGGGGGGGGGAATTCGACTCTAGTAACGGAGCTCGGTTGCTTACGAGTGTCATTATTTACCCTCTTCTGAAACATAATAATAATAATCCATCACATATAACACAATGGTATGCAAAAAAAAAAAAATTTAATTTCGGCTGCGTAATAAGCTCCCGAAAAGCAATTAATCAAGTAGGTCAGTAGGTACGTTTAGAATATAGAAATAATAATATAATTCGTTGGAGTATGCTCACTTTTGTTTTGGAAGGTTTTCAGTGACGGTGCATTGTTCGTGTTGACAGCTGCGCCCGTACATTTGTTGGGCTTTACATTGAGAAACAAACTACTTCTGTCCAGTCTATTGTTATCGCCCCCGTTGTGTAAATTAATTTTTTTCAATTTCGGAATGTCAAACGGAAGCTCTTTGAGTTGTTCGCTTTTATTGGGGCCGCTACACGCCGCGGCGTTATCGTCGCACCGGTTTTTCGTGTCGGAAGAACTGTACGCGTCCGCGGCACTGCCTATGTCGAAGTCCAGCGACATGATCCTCGCGCAACTGTCCATTTGTCTTTTCCTGAGCTTCGGCATGTCGAACGGTAACGTAACGGCGACGTCGGAATCGGGATTCGCCTGCACTTGTTTTCTCCTCAACTTTGGCATGTCGAAGGGAAGTTCCGGCGGCTGATGATGTACGCCGGCGGTGGATGGCAGTGCCGCCGCGGCGGGCACTTCGGCGCGGAAGACTTCTGACTTTTGTTTGCGCCTCAGCTTGGGCATGTCGAACGGCACGTCCAACAGCTCTTGGTAGTTGTCTCCGCCGGGCTTCGAGCCCACGGATATGCCGCTGTCGGACCCGTGATGCTGTTGTTGGTCCCGGTTGAGCTTGATCAGACCCAACGACTGCGGCGGCTTGGTCTTGACCTGCTGCACGGTGGCGGCGGACGACCTCCGGCGTTCGTAGTCCAGCATCTCGGCACCGGCGTCTTGCGAAGACTTGTCCGAGATGGGCGACAGGACGTGCGGTTCCGGGAACCGTTTGTAGCACCGCGGGGACTCGGAACTGTGCGAGCTCATCGAATCGCTGGTGATCGACTCCAGGCTGAGGCTGCTGCTGGTGGCTACGCTGTCCGAGCTCCGGTACTTGTTGCAGGACTTGAACCGGCCGCCCGCCGCCGCGCTGATGCGTCTCCTGTGCGACTGCAGGAAACCGAACAGCCGGGTTTTGCACGACAGCTTCGCGGACGACGACGAGCGGACGACTCCGCGGCCGCCGCCGCCGGCGGTAGAGGAAACGGCGTCGTCATCGTCGTCGTCGTCGTCGTCGTCGTTGCACAGTTGCTGCAGATGGACGGAACTCGCGCTGGCCGACAGTTGCAGCTGGCTGGACAACCGGTGAGCAATAACCGCGTCGTGTTTGTCGGCCGACAGGAGGTCGTCGTCCGACTTGCTGATTTTCGAGTCGAACGCGGTCTCGTAGAACCGTCGAAATTTCTTAGACATCGCGGATCAGTTTCGGGACAGCGGCCGCCGTCGGCATCGTTGTATCAACGGTGCTCGCATACAACAACAATAATTGTTGTAACGATATTATCGAATAAGTATCGGAGAGCGCGGGGTTTTTTTTTTTTTGTCTGTCACGGTTTCGTTTCGTTCGTTCGTTTTTTTTTTTTTTTTTGTATAATATTTATTCACGAGACCGCGCCGGGAGGAGAGTCGTGGCGCGCGAACACCGCCGAGACCGTACTGCGTACCTATGCACAGTGAGTAATAACACCCGCCGGGATACGCGACGGTGCGGCGCGTCGCGCCTACGGGGTTGTTACTGCACCGACGCGCGCGCGTTATTATTATTATTATACATGTATATATAGGTAGGTGTACGTGGGAAGAAGCTCCAGCGGCGGGCGCGCGCGTCTCGCCAATCGATGCGCCGCCGCCGCCGCCGTGCCGCTACGACCACGCGCCGCGATGAGTCACGGTTTGAAAATTCGGCGCATTGATCCCGGCGGCGGCGGCGGCGGCGCGCGCGCTTACACGGCAATATCGTCGCGAGCTTCTCGCGAGACCGAAAATACGCAACACCGCCGCCGCGCCGGCGTTCCTGTCGTCAGCTCCTCGCCCCCGGGTCGACAGGATTTTTTGATTGCGCGTGGGCGGGACATAGAACAGAACCGCGGCGAGCAGGTACACAATAATATTATTGTGTATGTTACGGGCATGCTGGGATCACAGCATAGGAGGCACGGGCGTGCGTACGGACGGGAGGGGGTTGGCGGAGGGAGGTGCAAGGTATGCAATCGCACCCCCAGCGAGTTCAGTCAAAATTTTTTTTTTTTTTTTAACATTATAGACCGTTTAGGCCCGTCGCTGCAAACTCCTCCGCTCCTTTCTATTATATTATATGCACGGTTTAGGTGCCCATGCCAGTCTGGTCACGACTTCCGCGTGCCTCTATTTTCACTGCATCAAAGCGATCGAACCGCCGTCGCTTCGTCTTACGCCGCCTTCCCGTTCGAGTTGCTCGCAAGTACGACACTTGTAAACCTATACCGTCAAGTTTCGAAAATTTGTAAACCAAAACAATGATATATGTATAATGTATATAAATATGTTTTTTTTTTTTATTATTATTATAAGCTGAATTAAATTAAATTTAAATATTATACGACAATTGAATAATATTAAACAACTTCCTAATGTTTTATTTTTATTTTTCAGTGATTTATTACTTGTAGGGTTCGGACGTTTATGCACTTTAAATAACTGTAATATGTATGTATGCATTAGAAATCACACGTAGAAATCCGAGCAAATCTTCTGATAGAAAAGTTGCGCACAGATTAAAAAAAAAAAAAATTAAATTAAATTAAAACTAAACATCTTTGTAAAACTATAAGCTTCTTCGCTCCACCCAGAATCTAACATATCACTATTCAGTAAAACATGAATCAAATTTGTATCTGGGTCAACATTGAATTGGATAAACAGATAAAAATATGCAATTTAAAAAAACATCCGAACCTTAACGAGTTATTAGGTAGGTATTCATATGTAGTGATTTGATGGTTTGCACCCCCAGTGGAAATGTTCTACGCACGCCTATGGTAGGCATAAGGTACCTATACTCCGCCAAGTTACTCAAGCGAGTAGCAAAAATTTGTTGGTCCACAAAAATGTGGACATACCCATTATTAATTAGTATAGGTATAATGATTCCATTCCCGATTCTACTTATAGTAAAGGTTTTAGTAAAGTGCCACTAGAAAACTGTTTTATTTTCTCGGTCGAATTTGACTAGCTACCCTACACTATTATCTATTCTAGTACAAAACCGCAGTGCGCTTATAAGCTATAGCAATTAATAATGGGTATTAAACGTTGACGGAGGACGGACTCATTGTCGTGTGATTTGTGAACTTGGTCACGTCATTCTCTGCGAGTACTCCAAATATTTACCATCTCCATCTATTTCCTTAACCGAATTCTCTTTTTACTCTCATTTCATCTTCTGTTGAATCACTTGATTCTACAGTGGTTATCAAAATGCAGCTTTTCTACATACAAAAACCATTCTGTTTTTATTCATTTTTCAAGCAAATATACAAAAATACACTACTAAAACGACGACTACACCAGTCAATTTTACTGGACTGTCACTATGCGCAATTTAGTACTCGATTTAGCAATTAGCTATAGCGACTCGGCCGATTACTATCCTAATTCCTAGTGTAAACCCGGCTTAACCTATAAGCAGCTTACACGTTAATAAAATTATCAAATGGTTGACTGTGTCTATGCTAGTAAGTATAACGTAAGTACTGAAAATTCTCCTACCCACACATTTTTAGCTAGGTATTATACATATACAGTAGAGGGGTAGAGACTAGAGACGATGATGAACAATTTTAGAAAATAATATAGAAGACCACCCACTGTTCCCTACTGATTTGTTTTGATATCCAGAATAAAATTTAATTTTTTTAAAACCGTCCATATTTCGTATGGATAAGCTGGAAGTGGAAAGTGGAAACTTTGAAATTAAGTAAGGCACAGAGTGATTTAATTTATACACTGAAAAGAACGATACATCCGAAGATAAATACCTGAAATTTTAAAACAATTCTGATCGGAATAGTTTTAGTTGTGTATTTTTCACTTTTAACCAAAGTAACCCAGATATCATCAAAAAAAAAAAAAAAAAAAATGATTTATCTACAATTTATACTGTTGGGACTTGGGAATCTAGAAATTATTTTCAAATAAAGTATCGTGGGACGAAATCTTTTAACGTACTACCTACGTGAATAATTCAATGTATCACCAAAAATATTTTAAACAAAAATAATAATCACAATTTTATTATTGTATTAGTATTGTGAATTTCGAACATTTGTTAGATACGTTTCAATAAATTTTGATGGTGAAAATTCTCTAAGAAGACACGTTATTTTATTGTAAAAACCATTGTGTTGACAAAATCTATTCGGGTCATAGATTTCATTGAAAACCAAAAAAATGAAAAATGATTTGTTTTTAAGCAAGTACTTATTTTAATAACAATTTTAGGTAATACCATATTTAAAATATTTATTGAAGTTGTCAAAATTAAAGGCAAGTTATTTTATTTCAAATTATACCAAATATTTTGATATTTTTAATATTTATTACCTATTTTTCATGTTAAAAACTAAATTTAAAATATTAATAAGTATATAATATATTAGATATATAAACTTAATCAATATATATTATCTCGGCTGATCGGTCAAAAGGGATTAAGTAAAAAAAAAATCAGTTTACTAGAACAAAATTAGTAATTACACAATAACCACTAGCCGAAAATTTCAGTGAAGGGTCAAAATGGGTCAAGTCCAATTTTGTTATTATGGATTATGTGTAATTTGATTTTAATAAACTTTGACTTTTGTCTTAAAACCTCTTATGATCGAGCACACAATATTTATAGTGAGAAATTGGATATGTTTTACATTTTAATATTTTGATAGCTCAGAATTGATTTTTTAAACCAATTAACCAAAAAGGGGCCTTTTTTTTAAAAAAAATTTGGGGGTAGTAACAACTTTAACTAACAAAAAGTTTGGAGGTCGTGACAAAATGGGATGGTGCAGAAAATCCGAACATTTCAAATAAAATAACACCACAATAACAATTATACAAAAACAGATTTGAGATCTTAAAATAAATATATAAATTCATTAAAACAATTGTATGATTTTATTAATATAAAATATTAAATTTAAATTATAAAATTAAAACAAAAGTGGAACATTTATGAAAATTGGTACTCTTTAGAGTCTCAATTAGACTTCAAACTTTAGCCATTAAAGAATTAACTATACTCTGTCTAAATCAGGACTTGTAATTCCTCTAAGAGCTGCACAAAGCTAAAAAAACACTCTCATTCCACAAGAACATGTCCAAGTTCATATTGAAATTCAACCAAAATCATATATCACTTCAATCCACTTATAAAAAACTACTTACAAATAGGTATACTCCTAACTCGGGCCAAATAATAATACAGAAGACAGGCTAGTCTGTATTTTCTAACCAGTCAACTGGCACAGTCCACCCATGGAATAAGTTACATTTATAAAAACAATCAATTAGTAACTATAACAATTGTATAGAACAGAATCTATTTTGATTATATTTTCTTTTATCCCGAACATAGAGATTATTGTATTTCATTAGTGTTATATATCTTGTGTATATATCTATGTATATATTTTCAACAATACACTTTTAGCAGTTCCTTTTATACACAAAAAAAAAAAAAAAAAAAAACTCAAACTCAGAAATTCAATTTTTTTTTCATAAGCAGGTAAAATAATACAATTTTGTTTGAATTTCAATATAAACTTTACCATGTTATTGTGGAGAAGTGTTTTCTTTGGCTTTATGCACCTACAAATCTTCAAAATGAAACCAAGGAGATGAAATTATATATATGTATGGTACAAGTATCAAGGATGCACTTTTAGGTGATTTCAAACCCTCCCCTAACCATTTTTATGCTTAGATTTCATATTTTTACAGAAAATAGCACCTTACAAACAGTGATATATTACTAAAAAATCATAGGTATACACCTTTTTTACATAGACACATCATAAGTTGGTGAAATATCAAAATCCTATCTTAAAGCAAAAACTAATTTTTCTCACATTACTCAAAATAACTGATTTCCCAACATCTTTATTATTCAATTTATACAGTATTTACTTTAAGAAAATTATAAAATATTTTCTCAGTAGTACTTTTCTAAATAAAAATCATAAAAATTCAGTAAAAAATCTGAAAGTTTTAAATTTACCAAATGTTTGAAATCACAACATTAGCTTAAAAATATTTCGGTAAAACAATAGCATAGGTTTATCAATGACTTGTAAGCTTTATAATTCTTACCTACCTATAAATAGTACATATACATTTAATATCTTAAAAAAAAAACTTCAGTTTTAGCATAGAAAGAAAATTATTACAAAATTAGCTTGAAAATACCTAGTTAAAACAAATTTCAAATAATATTAATATATATCATATGTTATCATAGTAACTTGGCTATGTTCCATAGCTAATTGTAAATTTTCTGTCCCAAACAATCAATTTCCATTTTAATGTTACTATAAAACTAATCCATACCAAATCAACAATCATTGAATATTTGCAGTTTCCAAGTTTTATTAACATGAACACAAATAAATGTATTTATACTTAAACAAATTAAACATTATTTACAAGTAATTAACTACTTTAATTATATAACTTACAATTTACTTTTGGTTAAATAATTATTCAACTTGTGCAAATTATTACATTTCATACTTAAATTAATATTTGGTCTCATTATTTATATATACTCGCAGTAATTAATCAGATTTTAAAGAAACAGTGTACCCTGTAACATAATAAAACAAATATTATTATAACTAATGAAAAAAAAAATTAAAAAAAAAGATTTCCGTGTAAAAATTCACCTGAACTAGAATTATCACTTATCTCATCTTCCTGATCTGATCTGGTAGGAACTGCAGATGAACTAATATTTTGTTGACTATCAACATTTATATTGGCATTTGGGTGTTTTTCCATCCTTAACAAATTGTCGTTTTTATTAAACCAATAATTTACTTTAGTCTTATAGTCACAATCAGAATCATCATTAGCAGTGTCAATATCATCATTCGTATTGCCCCATTCTGATAAGTCATCTATATCCCATTGGCATAATAACAATGGAGCTAAGTGGTCCACATAAGAAGTCATCTCTTTTTTAGATATACTCCATAAGGTATTTTGTTTAACATCATGTTCATCATTTTTCTTTGGTTTTTCTAAATGCCATAGTTTACTCATATCAAACACATGTGAATAATTAAGATTTGGAATACTATGAGATTTTATTGTAACATTTTTTTTAAATTCAGCCACATCTAAGGGTGTGGTATCATTTATTTGTTGTACAAATAAATCTCCAACACAATTAATACTAAACAATCTCAAATCCCTGTCGTTTGTGCCAATAGCAGTGATACCAGTTAAGCACCGAGCAAATCTTTCTAATAGAATTGGATTTAAACAGTGCCCTTGTAATCGAACATTATGCAATGACTCTAATGGTTTAGGAATTGATGATACCATAGTTTTACATTCTAGAAAATCGTCTTGTATCGACGTGTAAGATAAATTAACAATACTCTCTCCAATGTGGGTTCCCAAAAACAATATTTCGTTTGGCTCTAACCTAAAAATGTATTTCAATTATTCAAAATAATCTTTATTTTTAAGCTTTAATACTACCTACCTACTTACCCATTTTCATAATTATGTGTCGTAATTAAAGATGGAGGATTTGAAAGCATGTGGTATGATTTATTTATAAAGCCAATCCTTCTATCTAATGTTAAAACTGTATGGTTTGTAGCAACATAAATGCTATGTTCATTCAAATTACTAATTTTTAACGCTGCTAATTCTTCACACACTTCTGTAATAGTATTTGGATCATAAACTGAACAATGTTTAGAAATATCAATCTAAAAATTATACATGTTTATATTCTAAATTATAAAATCTAGATTTATAAATTATATATTACTCGAGAATCTGTTAAGTATAATTTCTGTCTATTTATTATGGCCATCATATTATCTGATTGATTTTGAAAATAACTTATGCGCAGAAACGAATCAGACTGATCATACTCCACATCAAAATATTTATCCTGAATACAGATTCTTAAAATAATAATATAAAATACTTAAATGTTATTTTGCTTTGATTTTTCAAAATAAATTTACCCGTCTTTCCACTGTTTTAGAACATGTTTAACATCAGCAGTAAAAAAATTATTAGCTGTTATATCAGCATCTGTGTATGGTATATTATAGTTGTCATAAATTATTTTATTATCCAATAATATATCTGTTTCAGAATTATTCCGGAATATAAATAATTTTGCTTTTTGACGAACCATTAAATCTAAAAATTAAATGAAATCAAATACAAATACATTTTTAATACTAATTTAATTTTAAATCATCACTTGGGCACAAATAAGTTATATTTGCTAAAATCTTAGACATTATATAAATTAATACATATATGTATATATTTTTTCTATATTACCATTTGGATTTGAAAATTTAATATCAAAAATTGGACCTTCAAAAATATTGTCTTCTTTAGTTTCAACTGTACAGTATTTATTATTACTAATTGATATTATATCTAAAACAATAAATAATTCAAGCTAAAAAAATATTATACAATATTTATAATACAAATGCATGAACACACACACACACACCATGTAAATCTTAAAATATAAAACTAATAACAATTAGCTTTTCAACACCCAAATTTATTTTTTTTTTGGGGGTGCTTAACCAAACACAATTTGCATGTCCTAGGATATTAATACTTTTTCACCCATAGTTTTTATGTCATTACATGGTTCTAAAATTATTAATGATGACAAAAATAAAGTATATAGACATATACAATTCTTTGTTTCTATCTGTTATTACATTTTTATTTCATTGTGATTAACAAAGATTAATTTCTTGTTTTATTTTGAGAAATCAACATTCAGGGAGAGGGATAAGTTATTTTGTGTTTCATAATAATATATTCAAACTCTGGCTATATTATATTTTAAAATAGTAGAATATACAATTAATGTTTTATCGAAGCACGTTGAAAAAAAAAAAAAATTTGGATATCAAATGTTAACTGGTCATATTAAGTATTTACAGATGTTTGGACGTGACTGTAGTGTACTATACATATAAACCAACCCAAATTGTCAAGATTTACACCTCGAGCATAAGCCAAATACCATTTTTCATTGAATTGAAATTTGTCAATAGTATTTTTATAATACCAATTATATTCCTGAAATTATAATTAAATATTTCAAAAATTATTAAAAAAAAATGCATGTTTTAAATGTTTATAAATTATTATCATTCAAAAAAAACAAATATTTATGATAAGACTATACCTTGTTAAAAATATTTAATATATGTAAACTATACTTAACTGAGTTAAAATATTGATCAGGGTCTTCCATCAGTTTTGTAGTCAAATGAGCTACAAGTATTGGAATCTTTGTATCAGTACATTCGAGTATGTTTTTTTTCATGTTATTCAATTTCTTTGTATCAACTGAAAAATTTAAATAATTTTTGTTGTTTTAAGTTGTATACATTTATTAACTGTATAAAAATCATAAAAAAAAAAATAATACATTTTCTTCGGCAAGCTTTTAATAATTGCTCATATTGAAATTTCCATCGAGTTTTTAAGTTAACCAAATCCAAAACAGCATTTATTTCTATAAATATAAAAATAGTTGAATTATAAGCAATCGTACCCAAAGAACATAGATATTACTTAAATCAATTTCCGAAAATGGAATGTACGGCATTGGTAGATTGAACTGATTAGGTACAGAATAATACTGAACAGCATCATTAATGTTGTTGATCTTACTAATAAAATAAGTATTGAGGCCCGGCATACATTTGTGAGGTACACAATAAATACTTTTATTGGTTCCGTATAATTTTGAATTATCTGTATATCCATCAACTGGATGTGTCTTTATAGGATTACGAGAACGATTCATATTTCTAGAATGTATGTATCTACATATATATATTTTTATGTTTTAAAGTTCAATCATTATTAATTTTTTTAAGAATCGACAAAAAAATGAACACAAGCAGATTAATTACACAGAATAAATGAGATTCAAATAAGAACTTCAAATTCAAATTCAAATGAGCAAGCTTGAGTATGGCCGATGGGTACAGTAATTCAAAAATGATAAGAATGAATAATGATATGAAGAACCAGATAATAAAAATCACGGCTATAGATACGACAATAAATCTATAATATATTAGTTATTATTGCTCACACTGGATCGCACTGCAGAACTGCAGGTTTCAACGAGTTTTATGATAAGAACCTTTCCCGTTCCTATAGTCCCGCTAGAAATTCGAATGTTTATACCAAATTGTTTTATACCGGAATATTTAAGAAACTCGTTGACTTGTACCTAGTTGGTACTATAGCAATAGATAATAAACTAGATTGCTAACTGGTGATAACAGCTGATGCCAAAAAAAGCCATGTTGGTTGTAGGCTGAACGTGTTATCATACCACAAATATAGTAATAAATTAAATTTTTAACTATTTCATAAAAACATACTATAATGAAAAATAAACTATACATATAAATTACTAATAAAAATGATTGTATAAAAAATAAGATTATTTATAACTATTAATTAACAATAAACAATATTTGGTACTAACATGTAAAATAAAAAAATGAGTAAATGCATTTTAAATGCTATTTTTTAACCTTGTGTCTTGGCTTTTGTTTGCAAAAATGTAAGTAATATAAGTAAAATGCCACTAACTTGCCGTGTGCTTAGATATCATGTCATGTCAATAGTTATAGTCGTGATAAAGTGGTTTTTTTCAAGTATAAATATGCATTAGTAGTTTTCATCATAGTCATCTATACATACAATTTTACTGCAGTATAACAATTATTTTATAAGTAAAATTTTGCTCAGACTTTTAGTGATAGCAATGTTTCTGAAAGGAAATTTCATTGGGGAGATGGTTTAAAGGTCGTTTTTCCATTTTCCCTGGAGTTTTCTTAATAAATATGAAAACAAAAAAAAAACAAGAAAATGTAAGAAATATAGGTACAGCTAAAATAGTGTATTAGCTAAAAATAAATTACTACCGTTTTTTCTATGCATAACTTTTCTACCAGTAATTTTGCTCCAAATTTTAATGAAAGCAATGTTCCCCAAAAGGAAATTTCACTTGTACTTTAGAGAGGTCATTTTTTGATTTATACAAATTTTTTCAGCAAATGTGAGAAACATGAGGAAACCGAGGAAAATATAGGGATATTGGGAAAATCGGTACAACATTAAAGAAATAAATAGAGCCTATTTAATTAATTTACTATAATATGACATATATATTGACTATGAACTGAACTCCACTCAGAATAATTTTTTCGTAAGCAATGGTTTATCATTGCTTATAAATATGTATTAAATTCTTGTCTATATCTTACCTTCCCACCTATATCAGTGGCTGTACCCATCTCCATTATCTTACCTTTTTTTTAACATTATATCATTATTTTATATTTATTATTATTCCATTTTTAATTTAAAATTTTTTTTAATATTGTATCAATGCATCATCAAATTATTAGATCAATAAATAAACTCAATATCTTTTATATCGGTTTATTATATTATTATATTATTGATTATTTGTGATAAACACCTATGGTAAGCACCTAATGTTCTAATAGTAATGGTACGTATTTTCCATCAAATTATTTTATATTTATAATCGGATGTATTTTTTGTTATATGGATGGCGGGGCTATAACCACAAACCAGTACCAAAATGTATTCATGAATACTAAAATTAAAAGAAATTCATCTTATCCATTGCTCAATTTTCGGGGTTGTCTAAATATTATAATCAAATATTTAAGTTTATCTATAAATAAAATACATACATACATTTTGTTTACAAAATAAATAAAATTTGATAAAAATTTTAGGGCAAAAAACATTGCTATTTAGGTAATGAGTAAGAAATAAATAAAAATACACAATGCGAAGTCAATTAAAGAGTGCTAAACAACACATTAATTATTATTTAACTATTAGGAAAACACTTTTATCATATTTATAATACTGATTTTTTAAATACAATATTTGACTTTTCTACTTATAAATCACAATAATTGTATGTTATATTAACTATTACAAATTTAGCTTGTTGGTGTTAAACAATAATCATTTTTTTTAAAATATAAATCTAATCTATGGAATATTTAAAAGAAAATTAAATCCAATCATTTCTAGGAAAAAAAAATAGTTTAAGTTATTAAAAAAAAAAAACACACAATGTAAAATATATATACACTGGCTTAGAATACAATTTCATTTCAATTTATTAAATTGAATTATCGTTTTCTTCATTTGAGTTGCATTCTTTTTCTAGTTTGGACATTGCTTTTTTCAACTGATCAAGTATGTTTTGATCTGGGCTCCCTCTGGGTCGTGGACTTTTAGTTCCTGGTTCATCTGGTTTTTTTTCACTGCTACTTCCAACATTTTGATGACTATACAATCTCAATAAAGACCCAAAATATTTAATATGAGGATGAAGCACCTTCAATAGTGCTTGAGCTCCTTTTTGGCGCCCTTCTCTTTTATTTTTGCAAATAACAGTTGCCATATATTCTTTGGCTTTCATAGTAAGGCTATAAAAAATTTCAGAATCAGTATTGCTTTGCATTTTTTGCATATCAGTCTTGATAGTTACATCTTCACCAAAATTTCTTTTTACACAAACCAGTAACATATCATATGGCATTGATTCAGCAGCTTGAGCACAAAATTCTGGTATTCTGGGATCTTTGATTTTCAATTGGTCAAAGACTTTGCATCCGTTAAAAACATCACCACCTTGGGTTTCAGGTATTCCCTGTTTACAATTAATTTTTATTTGATCTTTGGTGGATGGCAGTAATATTTCCATTGTAGCTCTAGCAGAATCAAGTTTGGCTTGTTTTTTGCTGGAACCAATGCCAATACCATATTGTATGCCATCCAAAATAACAGTTGCTAAGTAAGGATATCTGGCATTCTCGAGTTCTTTAAAAGTATATAATGGCTGTGTTTTCAAAACACGTTGAATGTATTCATGTAAAATACTAATGTAACTCTTATTGTTTAAATTAATTATCCATTCTCCTGTCTCAGGTACAGCTGTATTTTCTATAACAGGGGGATCAACTGGAACTGCTATTAACGTTGATCTATCTTTAAACTTTGGAAGATCTCTACGTCTTCGATCAGCTTTTATCATTCGAATATATTCTCGACGCTTATCCCACGAACTGAATCGCATAAATTTAATATCTTTGAATTTAAATAATCTTTTACAATATGATTTATACTGTTCAGGAGTAATATCTTTTTTAAGATAATCCAATTTGTCATCATCTTCTTTTTTAGAATTCATTTTTTCCAATTTTAATTTATATTCCAAACAAGGTATATTCTCCACGGGAACATTGTGATTCTTAAGACTTTGAGTTCCAAGGTAATATGGCTTTGTAAACGAACAAACCTTCATATCTTTGTTAAAGTAAAGTGGCATACCACTCGCATGATTTATTTTTGTCCATCCTGTAGGTAAATTATTTTTGACAAACTTTTCATCTAATTCATTCAAAACAACAGTTTCATTTCCTCCGTACCCTGCTGAAATACTGTCAATCTGTTCGTCCTCATCACTAATGTCTGACAAATGGTATTCCACAGATTTTGAACGGGATACAATAGACTTCAATTGATCATCCGAAACAATTACATTGCCATTTTGCCCAGTTTCCAGATGATCAACCTGTTCATCTTCATCACTAGTATCTATTACATATTCAATTTTATCAATCTGTTCGTCTTCATCATCACTAATGCCAATAGGATATTCCATGGATTTTAAACGAGATGCAATAGATTCAAATTGACTAGCAAAATCAAATTCATTGTTTTTCTGTTCTTTTTGTATGTTATCAATCTGTTCCTCATCATCACTGTCTGTCGAATGGTATTCCATGGATTTTGAACAAGATGCAATACATTGTTCATGCGATTCAAGAACATTTGAAGTTGATTCAAACTCTGAATGTTCACCTTGGTCAAAACTAAATTCACTGTCATTAGACATCTTTCATCAATTGAACAGGCACACCGATTGCACTCCACACTAGACACTGTGGAACATAATATTATTTAATTATGTAATTAATAATATTATTAAATTTGCATAGGTACCTAGCTGTCTTTTATGATATAAAGTTGTATTATTGTATTAGTCGGTTATCTGTAACAGTAATCGGTTTACAGATGAAACTAGAAAAATCATAATTATATTATTATAAAATGTATTAATACAAAAGAAATGTAGATGTGGACTACATTTAGAATTTTATAAAGTTACTGTAGAAAAATTATTACTTTCGATCGAAAAATGAACCAACAGTGATTAATAATTTGTAATTAGTAGGTACATAATATATATACCAATTATTTGTAAACATATGAATATTGTTGTACTAAGACATGAAGATGATACAACAAAAGAGGATGAATCAGGATCAAATTATACAAACAATAAGTGATAAATAAAAAATAGAAATGCATATGAAGAATTTAAATAATAAAAATGAAACCTTGTATGAGGTATTACAAACAAAAATGTTAAGGAATAATAAATAAAATAATTTAGTTAAGGTTTCTGTACACCTTAACGAGGCCATTAAAAAGTTAGATGTTTTCAATGCATTTAACAATGCAATATCAGAACAATTTATGCTAATTAAGTTCACTACAATAAACTACTATCTACCCAATAAGAAAGTAATTAAGTAAAACAATTTTTTTCAACAACATCATAAAAGACCAACCACACCTATTCAGACTGACTGTAGATACTCTACAGGACATGATTTCAAACAAAATATTTAAAGTTGGTACCTACTTAAAGAAAAAGATATAGAACATTCATACACAAAGCTATAGCAAGGTTCCACTACAATTTATTCCCACTATACTTGAAACCTGACTGAAATACTTAATGTTAATAAACATGGAAATGTATTACTTACCGGTTTTTTTTTTTTTTAATGATAGATATTTGAGTTTTATATAAAATTATTTTTAATTTACATTACTACACATACATACATTTTATTATATAGATTATACCACTATTTAACAATAGGTTATGATTTGATTGTGACTGGACTTCAAATACGTATCGCACATCTACGCACCATTTGTAATTTAAAATGTTTAAATAAAATCAATAGAATAAGGGTGTGTTCGTGTAGCGCTTGGGAGGGGGACGCGTATAAAGCACGGACATGTTTTTTTTTAGAATGATATTTTATCAGAAAAATAAATAATTCTAAAAATATTTAAGTCGAACCTTATTTTAAAAGAAAAATATTTTATTCGAATAGTATTTGTATAGAAAAATATTTTGGTCGAAATTATTTTATGAGAAAATATATTGTGAAAGTAATATAAGGTACAAAAATATTTTATTAGAACCGCATTTCGGTAGAATATACCTATAAAGATGATAACACTGTTATCTCATATCACCAGTTAACCGCTGGGGTACCGGGGAAGAGTTACATAAAGTGAAGTATTTTATCTAAAATAATATTACAGTGGTGAATGATAAATTGCCCGAGTTTACTGGGGGAAGACCAATTTACTAACCCGGAATTTACTGCTCCGACCTGGCTGAAATTTAAAACAATCATCCATAGACGAGAATATTTTTTTTAAACAATATTTGATGTATTGGGGCCACTTAATAATGCTTTTCAAAAACGAGGTGTTTTTTTACTTACAACTATAGATTTATTGATTTCTGGCATTTATCAATTAAAATAGTTGAGAAATAACAACAATGAATTTAAACATATTATAACTGACGCTGAACAGTTTAAAATCGTTAAACAAACTGAATTTGAAGCATTAAAAGAAATTCGAAAAGGGAATCATTTCGTCAGTTTAATGAACAACCTAATGATGAGCGAATCTGAGATTCCTTAAATTAAATGAAAATAGATACATTTTGTACTGCTCTTGATATTACTATAACCAGATAACAAACACAATAAGAAGCTAATTGGTATTTTAAGAGATTTGTCACTTTTCTCTGAAAAACGCTTTATTGAACTAAATAAACACTGTAAAAAAATTCCTGTAGATGCATTTAAAATGTGTAGTAGTTATCGATTCTTATCAAGAGAAAATTTAAAAACTGAATATATTTAATTTGTCAAAAATTATTTTGATTTAATGAAAAGTATTGACATTCCTTCTATAATTAACTATGAAAATACCACAGAGTATGGTTCAGACTTGGATCATTTTACAAACTCAGGTTCAGAAAATGAAGCAGCACCCAACAACTCATAAAACTTTTCAAAATTCAGAATGCATCAATAATTTATTTAAAATAGTAGTAATACTACTCTATATAATAACTAGGTAGGTATAGTAAAAACATTCTGATCGCAGTTTGTCCCCACATCAAGGTTCTAACTTAATATTTGTTATCACATTGTTAATTATTAATTTTATCATCACGGCTATTTAAAATTCCATATTTACTTATTTAATTATTATTTCATTATTTGAATTTTACATTTGTTTAATACATTTATTTACTGTTTTTATTTTTTATAGACAATACCCATTGAAATTAATTATTCCATATTCTGAATTGTTTCATTTCTGTTATATAATTAATAACTATTAATTTAATATAAATTATAATATTATAGAAAAAATTATACTAGATATTAAATGATATGATTGAAACTAAAGGTAATTTGTAAGTAAACAAATTTAAATTAAAATTGCACATTACATATTTTAATATTTATATATTTTGTGGTATTGCCATCTTTATAGAATGTTTTGATAAAGAATTGGTTTAAGTGTCTTCAGTTGGTAGATATTCAATTTGTAAATTATGATCATACTCAAGAAACTAATACAAAATCTTTTTAAATTAATTTGAATGTTAGAAGTAATAATTAATTTTTTTATTTTAAAGGTTTATGGACAACAGCAACAACAATGATTTTTGGTTCAAATGCTGTATTCGAAAAAAACAATCAGAGAGCATTTATATGAAAATATATGTCAGATATATTGAAACAACAAAATTATAATTTTGGCGCTAGTCAAAGTGTCAAAAAGTGAAGACATCTGCTGACTTGTTTTCATCAGATATGTGACTCATCAAAGCGTTCTGGAAGTGAAGGATTATAAAATGACAGTACTTTGAGTTAATGAGAGATGTCCTATCTATATCAGTAAGGCTATTTCTCCTCCAAAATTACTACTTTCTAAGCATAAACATTCATATTTTGTCCAATAATTGTTTTAATTTAGATTACTAATTATTTTTTATTATTATTTTAAATAATTTTCTGAATCATCATTCTAGTTAGATTGTCAGTACAAAAACTAACACCTTTACAAGAAAATAACACAACCAAAAATATTCATCTGATATGATAAATTTGAAGATTTAAAAAACAAACAGTGTGATACAATAAATATAAATGAAAGTCAACTCAAAGATTGGTAAGTGGTATTTTTTTTATTTCATTGATTGAAATTTCTTATTGGGTGTATCTCTTTGAATTAGCTTTAACAAATAAGAAAAACAAGAAGAAAACATGATGATTATACAAGAGCAACTTCTAAGCAAGTTGAACGAAGTTAACAAAATAGAGTTGCCAAAGTAGAATGTTTTTAAAATCATACTTAATTAAATTAAATTAAATTTCTCTCACAAATTAATTTCCCATGTAAATTTATGTATTGATCTCTCCATTTTAGAAGCTCTTGAACATATGCAGCAGATAATTTTGGATTTTTTTTCTTACTTTTATTGAGTTGTATGAATGCTACTTCGACTGCACAGCCTTGTTTATGTAATTACTTCTGAAAGTCAAATACTCAACTGTACGTGTCTTCCATACTGTGTTTTCCTTGAATAAAACTGGTGTTGCATACCTTGTGAGTCGTGTGGTTTAATGTTCTTATCACAGAGTAATAATAATATTCTTATTACTCTATGGTTCTTATACAATCTCAATAATTACAAATTGTGACAAATTTATATACCTACCTATCTAACTGTTTATAAAAAAAATCTTAAAGCTCTTTCTTTGACATGAAAATTTGGACGGCTCAACACATATTTAACCACCCATGGGAGACGGTGGTACAAGAATCTATGAACAAGTACCCGAATCTAATGAACACAGCTGTTAAAAGCGTGGATGTTATTTATCGACAAGTAATAAATGGAGAACTGTATTCATATTGATTAATTACTACTAGATGGACGTTACCAAATTGGGCAAGTGCATTAATAGGACCAATGAGCACATTTTATGCCGATGAATATTCTAAAGTAAGTTGAGATCAACGGAAGTTAAAGTTGGATAGTCATAACTTATTGAGAAAATTCGTCGAAATTCGAGAAAAGCTCACATATGAGGCATATCCGGATGATCCACAAAAAACATGACTCAGGCAAACTACTTATGTAACTGTAAAAGGATTGCCATTTCAAAAAAAAAGGACTGATATACTTCGCATTTGGGTGCAGCCACTTCTGTAGGTGGGAAGTTGAGAAGGTAGGATGCAGACGAGAATTTAATGTATATCTCTAAGCAACAATAAACCATTGCTAATGCAAAAACGATTTTGAACAGAATTCAGTTGATAGGTCAACAATATAATAATATTTAGGTATGATATCATATTATAGTAAAATGATTAAAACAATGTGCGTTTCCATGAAAACAATTATTATTTAAAAAAGATTTTATAAAATAATAAAACTTAATAATAACAAAAAATAAATAAAAACTGTTGTTAATGAAAACCTTATTTTTAATCTTTCAATATTTTTAACCTAAAGAACCAGGTTTTCTAGAGTATCTTGAATATTTATGAGAATTTTAAAAAATGACCTTTTTAAAGTACCATTCAAAGAACATTTCCTTTTAGAAAATTTCTATACTTGATAATTGAAGTATGCTGGTAGAAAAAGTGTTATACATAAAAAAAAAAATAAACATCTTTGTAAAACATTGCATTCCTTGATTAGTGATTACATATTTGATTAAAGTTGTAACTGATGTACCAAATCTTGATATTTTACAGCAACCTCCAGTAGTGTAAGCAGGGGGGTAAGGGACTGACTGAAGCCCCCCTCCATTGTCTGTTTGTATATATATGGCTTAATGGAAGAAGGGCCAAAGCCATTTTATTTTTCAAAATGATTTTATGTTACCTACTTTATAAATATAAATAACAAGAAATGTTATTGAAAAAAAAAAAAATAGCAATTATTATAAACTCTTACAATAATTAAATATTTAAATATTTTTGAATAAAGAAAGTTTTAAGAACTCCCAAATTTACTTCCCATTCAATATTTTTTTCAATTTCTTATATTAAGGCCTATTGTAGTGTCCAAATTACTAAATAACAAAACTGAGAATGGGTTAAATAAAGTTGTCCTTAACTTAGGTCTCAGTAAGGATGTAGTTTATTTACGAGGATTTCATTTTTTTTTTTTCTGTGTAAAATGATAATTATGATTTGTTTCAATTTTTTTTAAAGGAACATTCCTAAACCTCCATAGGTTTAACCTCTACAATGTGAGTTGTATTAATTAAACCATTTGGTGATGCATTTAGTAATTGATTATTAGCAAGTCACAAACCAGTTGCGCCACCGAGTACAACCAACATGCATTAGATAAATTCTGTGTAAAAACAGTGAGGGTGCTTTGATTTATGCTTAACATGCTTAACTGCATTACATGTATTCTAACGACCTAGAAGGCATTTAAAAAGAAATGTGCATTTGGCAAAAGAAGACACACATTGATTGCAATGATCAATATGTTAACCACAGATGACACTACTATGAACTTAACCCTCTTAACCCATCTTAATATGTTTATTAGTGATATAAACTATTTTTTTTTACCTGTCTGGTAAAATATTCATATTGAAATAACCATTTCATGGAATGCAATTATTTTATCACTTAACACCACTGTGATACATTATACTGTGACTAGTTACTTGTTATCTATTTCATTGTTTAACACTTAACGTTATCTGCTAATCCAAGACCGTGACGCTATCTATTAACACATTAAGCATATTTTATCATTACATGAATTATCTATACTTAATCAATGAATGATGATATCACGGTTTCTTTTTCTTTCATGAAATTAATGGTAATTTTATGATAAAATTTAGCGCCAAAATTGCATTTTTGTTGATATAATATTATGTACATTATAATATTTATATGTAGAATTTGATAAACGAATAAGGATAAAGAATAAATGAATAGAATGGTGAAGTAAAGAGTTGTAATTGTAAGTATTATTTAATGTCATTTACTTATTAAAAATTATTTCATCTTTATATTATTTGTGTTTATTAATTAATTTTCCCAATTTTTATTAGATTTAAATTTGTAATATTTTAAAATGTGGAGCGATATAACAATTGGTTACAGCACCGCTGATGAGACGATTAATTTTGGTACTCGAGCTGTAGTAATCGGCGATAGCAGAATATTTGAAACAACTACTTTGGCAACAATAAAAAAAAAATGCAATACAAAATATGAAACCAAAGAAGAACTTAAGATCATTGCTTTATGTAGACCAGATTTAATGTACATTTCTTCAGGTCAATCATTCGCCTCATTCAATACCGATGTTACAAACATAATTCAGACATTTGAATTCCCTAATCAAATAGTAGACGTTAAAATCTCAAATGATGGATGTTATCTAATAGTGTTATTATATGATTGGACAATATATTGTTGTTCATTCAATAATCCTCAAATTTTATTTGTCAAGTATGAATATATCTTTTCTTACTATAAATGTTTTAAAAACTAAACTATTAAATAAGTGTATTTTCTATATTGTATACAATTGAAATATAAAGATTTAAAATCAATAATGGGCTAAGTGCCATTGTAATTCACGTTATAATCACACCAGTGGCTCCCGCACAAGGTTCTCACATCATTTGACTGGGCCTTGTAGTGTTACTTTTGTGGGTGTTGTACATAGCACTCTTTATTGGGGATGGCACATAGCTCAGATTTTCGGAACTAACTCAATTTTTTTTTGAGACAGCTTGTTGATTTCCAGTCTATATATGAAAATTAAAAAATATTTTGTTTAATATTTGTAAACTAAAGGCTAAAATACAAATACATATTGTTTATTTTTAAATGATATTTATAATATTATACTCTCAAATTTATAAATTATTCTATTATATGATGTACATTAATGATTAATGGAGGATTTTTTAAATAAATTAACAATAACAATCATTGACATTTGAAGTAATATAAAATTCAAAGTATTTTGTACAATTATTAAAAATATATAGTAGATACTTAAAAAATATACTTTGCAGTCAATACTAGTTGCTTCCATTTTTTCCTGTTATGTACAAGATTTAAATCTTCATTCCACTCTGGTCTCAGGTCCATTATGTCTCTTCTAACTACATTCAGTGACGTTTGCTTTGCCCGGTCATGAGGTCTTTTTTTATTCATGTTGTTCACAAGTATTGTTTTTGCTATACTATTTTCAATCTTCCATAAACTTAAAAATATTTAATTAAAATTGAAAGATCTATGATATAAGTTTACAGTAAAATTGTTTTTATTCTAGGAAAGTATTAAAAAATCCACGTTGTATGCCTTCTGAAATGGAAGTACCTGTAGGTATCTTTTTTTCCAATAAAGAAAACTGTTTCCATATTACAGTTGTTACATCATCTGGATTTATTAACAAGTTAGTTGTACATACTTTTTAAAGAATTTATTTTGAGTTTTAATAATTAATGTATTCATATATTTATTAAATTACATTATTTTAATTGTTTCAAGATTTATTTGTAATGATATCATGGAATTAACAAACCATGGTAATGATTTGAAATCTTTAGAAGACCTTATTACTTTAAATACCTATGATATTCATGAAAATGTAAGTTATGGTAATTAATTTTTTGAATGATATTAAATTAATTTTACTTTGTTCTTTCAGGTAAAAGCAGTTTGTGGAATGGTTGATGATATTTTAATCGCTGGTGACAGCATTTGTCTATATGAAGGAGAAAATATGAGGTCTAAAGAATTTCTTTTTCCGGACAACTGTAAAGTAAAAAAACTTGTATTTACCCATGATAAAAGGTAATTATTATCATTTTTTGTTTATGATTGATTAATAATTTTTAGATTTCGAGCGTAGCGAGGGGGCTATTGGTTTTACAATGCTATTTATTTTTTCTTCTTTTTTTTTCTAGTCTGTGGAAATGTTTTTTCCTAGTAAACTTGCTCTGAGTTTTTCATGTAGAATTTTTTCTGAAAGCTCAAATTGTCTAGATTGTACTTTTAAGAGGTCATTTTTTGATAATCGATGCCATTTTAAAAAAAATCACTTAAGTGAAAAAAAAACGTAGGAAAATGTACAATTTCATGATTTCATTATTTTATAAAGACATGGATGACGTTTTTATACCAGAAAAAATTATTTAATCAAAAAATCACAAGAAACCACTTTTGTTACCTTTTTGATTTAATTTCTTACGTTATTATTAATAAAACTGTTAAGTCACTTTTGAGCTTTTAAGGAATTTTAATTTTTGGAAGTTTTTTGCTGTAATTCTGTTATAAATACATGTAGAGACTTGAAAATTGATAATAATACTTATATTAGACTTACCTAGATGTGGTAAAATTTCCAAAATGATGGACAACTTTTTTTTTTTTAATAAATACTTCAAATTATTTATTACCAAACTGCATTCGGAATCGTCTTTGGTTGCATTGGTTGTTTACAGATATAAATGAAATAACCTTATGTAACCTATCTTCCCAACTTCACACCTACAACAGTGAATGCACCTGTCCCCAGTATCAGCTCTTTTGTTTTTAGTCTTGGATATAATTAAAAACACTATTTTATTCAAATTTGTTTTTTAATAGTAGCTCAGACCATTTTAAAATGACCCCGATCTTACTACACTTTGATTAAAATCCAATTTATACTATTTTTTTTTTCTATACTATAATTACTATATATTAATAATTTCTTATGTAACCTCATAATTCTATTGGTTATTTTAAAAGTTATTAACTTAATATCCTATATTAAATATTTTTTTTAGTTTTATCATCTGTCTCACTGATTCAAAAACTGTATTATTAATATGTGCATTTACATTCATACCAGTGAAAGAATGGAATGAAGTACCAATTTCTGATTTTACAATTATGCAAGAAATGGATACTATGAGTATTGTTTTGTTAACCGACGAAAAACAGCCTTCATTACTGCTAGTTTCAATGCCAGGTATTTAAAAGTCTGTATTAAATATATAATTATATAGATTAATATTTTTTTTAGGTTCTGCTCTCATAATGATGAGTATTTTTTTTTTTGTTTTGGAAAAAAAATTTATTTTGGGTTCTAATAATTGTATACTTTTTGAACTAAACTATACATATATTCTTTTTGTACATTAAACTTTATTGTTTATATGTATATTGTATATTATGTACTATAGTTATTTTATTCATAATAAAATGCTGCGACCATAATAGTTGCAAACAAATGATGATTTTCAAAGTTGCTATAAATATATTTATCTTTATTAAAGTCTCGTAGAAATCTAGCTATTGATGTTACACCTTGACCCTTTTTCTCTCCAATTTCAACAATACAAACAATTTTATATCTGCAATAAAAATTAATATTAATTTGCCAGATTTCACAAAATGGATTTTTAGTTTGTAAAAAAGTTCATAACTAATATTTACTAAGAATAAATAGATATTGTGTTATATGTACTACATGAATAAATCAGTTTTATACTTTGTTTTACGTGACTTATATTTTATTGAATAAACAAGTTACATTTAGGTGCCATAGTAACAATAAATAATAATAATTATAACAAAACATTATTTTTTAAATTAATTTAAAAATATAAATTTAAGTAACAATTTTACCTTTCAAAATCCATGTCACAAATATTATCTCTGATACTAAACGACATAGTTGCAGAGATTTTTTCTGCTTCATTTGGATCATATCTAGTTTCATTGTTCAAATGTTTTTCAATTTCATTTTTTATTACACTCATAACCTTGTTTTCGTTGAATGGATTTTTTGATTCCAATCTATATGTATTTTGATATTTTATGAGTTTATCTTGGGAAACTATTTCATTTTCAGTTTTATTAGTTAAAACATCATACACATCTTTTAATAATGTGTCCATGTTCTTTTATTAAAATATTCACACTGAGTTGTTATTGATTTTATATGTAGTGACTTTACTAAGTCTAAAAGTTTAATACCTAATACCAGATAAGAATTATAGCAATAATGATTTCTTATCTACATTTAAAAAATAACTAGTCTGTAGGGGTGTTTTGTAAATTGTTACTATGCATTTCATACAGAATAGTGTTAGTGAGTTGGTCACTATTGTAGGGGGGAAGTCGGGAAGATAGGATATAATACAAGGTAATTAGGTATAATTAATTTAGTTTGTATACTTTATGCTATGATAAACCATTGCAAAGGAAAAATCACTTGGTTGCTTGACTGCCCTCCACCACTCATCAGCTATTTGCTACTCAATGACCATCTACCACACCAATTGTTCGTTTTTGTTATTTTTCACTAAATTATAATTTACAACTTTCTAAAAAACAAAATAGAAATCCATTATTGTGTGAATGTTAACATGTTTTTTATAATTTTTTCCATTATTAAGAAATCACAAAGGAAAATCAAAAATTGACGTCTTCTTGCATTATTCAGACAAATTTGCTACTAAAATGAAACCTGAAGTTAATAATTTTACTTTTAAGATTTCTGGTTGAAAATTTGTTTTTAGATAGAAGAAAAAGCAGTGGCATTCATTCAAGGTGTGTAAGTTGTGTGTTAACGAATTAACGTAAATAAAATATGTAGGTGTGTTCAAATTTTATTATAAATAGAAATAGTCATTAAAATATATTCTGACGCTTCGCTGTGTGTAAGATTATACATTTCAATAAGAATATGCGACTTGTTTAAAGAATACAATCCCAAGATCCTGATCCTTTTTTGATCCTGGATCCTGGATTTTTGGGATTAAGTATTAATATAGTTAGAACATATTAACATAGATAAAACAATATATAATAACTATGAATACATATATTTTATATAATAGAATATTTTGTGAATATCAGTGAATGTATGGTTTTACCCGTTTATCTATTAGAAACATTAGGTGGTCCGATATTTCTCAGAGTTTACTTTCAAAATATTCCTTTCCATTAAAACATTTTTTTTTTGTATTAAATAATATTGAATTGTTAATATTGTATTAAATATATATATATATATATATATATATATATATATTTGTATTATAATAAAAAGAAAATTTATTTTCAAAATGTATGTATCATTTTTTTTTTAAATCTTTTTTATGTTTTTATCAATTTGAAATGTAATTCCAAGATTATCACGGGATTGGTTCCGAAAAATCCTGGGATTGTATTTTCTAAATGAGTAAAATAAGCGACATAATACATAGTTGTTGCATTGCAAGACTTTGTTTTTGTTTTTAATCACTATCTGCTATTGGTATTTGGTTTTGATAAAACATTTTCAATTTTCAGTTTGGACTTGGCAGTGGCATGCGCTATTGACCTATTATTTTTAATCTATATTATAATTAAATACTAAATAATAATTTGATATATTTTTATTTATTTTCATATGTATAATATACATAGAATTCATTTTATTTGTATGACTTTTATAAATAATTTTTTTTATACTGCAATTAAAATATAATACATATGTTTATTATTTTTTCTAATATTTTAAGATACTCATTATAATAATACCTTCAAATTGTATAACTAAAATATTTGACAGTATTTATTATTCAAATAATATATTTATTATCAATAAATAAAATATAATTTTTTTAAAAAAAAATGTTTAACGTCCAATTTAAAAAAACTAATGTATTACTAGTTTTATATACAGGTGTTGTTGTTATTACTTTTCAATGATTAAAATTGATAAAATATTTATAAATTGTTATTTTGATTGGATTTTCCAGTATTTTATAATTTTTTATTAAATATTATACATTTTTTTCAAAAATTATTTCTGCTTGTTGAAGTATATTTTGATGAAATTATACAACTTAAAAACATAAAATTATATTTTCATTTTAAATGCATAAAAATCTAGTTTCTACTTATAAATAATAAGGTTATACATACATGCTATTAAAATTAAAAAAAAAAAACATAAATTTCAATTAACTGGCTACTGAATTACACAGTTTACACAATAATCAAAATATTTAGTTAGGTGTATAAAATAATTTTCTTGACCACAATTTAATAAAGATTAGATTTTGAAAAACTATAATTTTCTACATTATTAGTTTAAAATTATTTATTAATTTCTGTTTTTATTTTTTTTTATTTTAGATTTTATTGTAACGTTAAAATATCCAACATCACCATTGACCTATCTCATTGATTATCCAAGCACATCTGATGGCCTATTATATCTAGAAGCTCACGGTGATGAAGATATAAATACATTTCATATTAAAATTATATCTGAAGTTCAACCTGACTTGCGTTTAGCTCGAATGTTAAGACGAGGCAAATATGATGAAGCAAGAAATTTTGCAGCTGTTTTCAATCTTGATCCACAAATGGTGTATAAGGAACAAGTAAAAGGACTTATGGGCAAGTTAGATATATGGCAACCTGGAACTAAAGGAATTGAAGAAATATTTGATGAAATGATTAATTACTTAGATAAAATTAAAGTAAATCACTTAAAACAAATATTCAAAAAAAAAAAAAATAATAATCTTTTATTAAAAAATACTTTTTTTTTAATTTTAGGATTATATGTTTGTTGGTAATTGTGCTCTCAATACAATTGTTCCTAATTTTACACTATATAGGAAATTGTTAAGATATGCACTTTTGAGAGTTAAGTCTTCACCACAAACACTACAAGACAAATCAATTTTCTTACTTGATCAATTGCAATCTACACTTCATAAATTTGATACATTTTGTCTTTTGTATGATGATTCTGATAGCATAACAACTTGGTCTATTGAAAATACAGAACTATGGCTTCGATTTTATAAACAAAACGAAAATCTTATATGTTTGGATCTCATACAAAAAGTATATATTACAATTCAGTAATTTTAGTTTATATTTAATTATTTAAAATTGTGTATGATGTAGCTATTCAATGTTGAAGCTAGAAAAATTGTTTAAATTTACTAGACATAACATTTTATCAAAATAACCAAGTTTAATTATATAATTTTATATTTTTATTTTTTCTAATAGAATAAGTTAAATGACGCACTAATTGTTTGGAGTCGCCATATTGCTGACATTAAAAAGTGTATTAATGAAGATTTTATAATTGAATATTTTTCAAGTATACCATTCTCTGTGGATATTGATGAATTGAAATTATGGACTATGAGTTTTGCTTCAACAACACTATTTATGTTTTATGATGAAACTGTGGATTCTATGGTTTCTTATGTTGATAGTAAAATTAGGTATGTGTAAAATGTATTATTTATACATATTGCAATTAAATTTTATTCTGAAATTCATAATTTATTGTTTTTTATTTAGATGGAATGAGTTATACTTTGAATTAGAATGGATCAATCCTAGTTTAGAAATTTGTCGTTATTTTTTGAATATCATCAATCAAATTGTTGCATCTCCTCTTTGTTTAAGTATTTCAAGACCACCAGCATCTCAAGAGAAATTAATATTATTAATCAAATACTTAACTGAATTGAAAGAATTAAATGATAATTTTGGTATTAAAATTTCTCTGGATGATTATGCGCTATCTCACGAGGACAACAATTATTTGGAATTATCATTCTTAATGTTAGATCAAATACAGTTGAATCAATTTCCAAGTTTTATTTCAATGTTTTGGTCAACCTTTACCCTTCAGCGATTCCTAAATTCTGATGATATTTTATCTGCATATATAAAAGTAAAAAATATATTTGAATTTGTTTGTATTATTTTGTATTAAATAATAATTATTTTTCTATTTATATTTTAGAATGTAGTAAGTCAAGTTGATTGTTGGTGGTCATGGGAAGAAAAAGCAATTTTGTTACTTAATTTCATATCCAATAAAGAAGTAATATTTTTACCGAAAACAAATACATTATACATAAGTATTTAAAATATTTTTTTTAGATCAAATCAGATTCAGTTTTAAGCATTTTAAAAGCTGCTAGTATACCGTGGTCAGAACATATGATCAAACTTTGTGATGAAACACTGCAAACCGATTTAAACACAACAACTCTTAAAGATATAGAAGAAGTGAAGAGTTTACTTACCAGTAAATTGATATTAAAAAGTTATAATCTTTCATTTACAAATATTACACCAAGTATAGTATGTATATTGATAATATATTCAAATGATAAATAAAATATAAATGTTAATTATAATTAATTAATTTCAGATAATTATTGCAGTTCAAAATATTTGTGCTCAAAATCGGTCATCTGTATTAGAAGACCTAGTTAAATTAATTAGTACACAGTCTGAAGCTGTTCAACAAGAAGCATATGAAATTTATCTTCAGCGTTTGATTGAATTTGGGTACTAATTTTATTTTATTTCATTCAATTCAATTCAAATTTTTGTTGTTTGTTTAGCCTTACAGATAAAGCAATTGAATCACTAACAAATTCTCAGATAATTCCTAGTTCAATGGTACAGAGAATATGTACAACAATTTGGATTACATATAATAGTTTGAGAAATCAACCTCTTTTTATTGAAGAAGCATCCAATTATTTTATAATATTAAAATGTTTAGCGAAAAGTCTTACCATTGATATTCGACCAGAGTGTCAACGTACTACAAATATTCTAATTAATATTTATTACTTAAAGGTTTGTTATACTATAAATTTGACATTCTCCAATTTATATTATTGTATTGTTTTTGTAGAATGAATTTCAAATTGAATGTGCTTTGTCTGAATACAATTATGAAGAAAAACTCTTAATCAAATGTGTTAAATTAATTCTTAAAGGTAATTTAAAATATGTTAAAATTGCATAGATTAATACATTTCAATAATTACTGATTTTTCAATGATAATTATAGATGAATATTTCAATAATAACAAGAGTACTGTTATACAAGCTAAATTATCAAGATTATCAAATTTATTATTTGAATCTTTTGAAAATGTTATAATTCAATTTGTAAAAGAATCAGCTTTGCAGAACAATTATAAAAACTTATGTATATATGGTCAATTTATAAATACATTTGAAATTATTAGTCCTCAGCATGCAATTAAATTGCTAGGCCTAGGAGAACTTTTGGTATCTAGATATGATCCAATTTCCCAAGCTGAATTTAAAATACATCTGTGGACACTTATTCGACACATTTCACAATTAGCCACTATTAATATTCAATCAAGTAATCTTATTATTGTTTTTTTATAATACTTATTTTATATTTGATAATTAATATGTATTATTAATAATGGTTTTTAATTTAGATTTGTTAACAAGGGCTGTGGAATTGAGACAGTGGGTCGAACCATTTTACTTGACATGTGAAGGTGTTATGAATAATGATACTATAGATCTTGGATTAGCTTATTCTTGGAGGAATGCAATTATTGACAAAAATTCTGTACACACAGAGCTTTATAGACAATTTGAACTTTATAGTTCATTCTTAAGTAATATTTAATAGTAGTACATAGTTACTTACAAATATTATTATGCTAATAAAACATCTTAAATATAATTTTTATCATTCTAGATTTATATAATTCTGAATCTTCACTACATTGCTATAAAAAAATGGAAATTAAAGATTCATTTGAAAATACAGTAATTATAACTAAATATTTTTTTTTTTAATATATCTAATAAAAATTTACATATTGAAAATATTTTAGACATCACCAGATACAATAATGTCTGCATTAGAATATTTTCAAGGTCAGAATCTTATAGGTCTTCATATAACTGTAACACAAGTCATGTGTTTGTACCGTACTATTCTTCAAAATCAACAAACATTGGTAAATTATTAAGAAAACAAAACTATATTATAATAATTAAGAGTTTAATAATAATATGCTTGTATATTTCAGGAACTTGAATTAACTAACAAAGGAAATGATCTGATAAGAAATAATGTAAGACAAATATTAAAAAGTGTCATATATTCTCGAAATGTAGACATGGATCTAGGTTTAGGCCTTTTAAATACACTCAAGCCATATGATGCTGTAAATTGGCTGGAAGTGGCTCTTAATAAGTATGCATTAATACTATTGATCATATAATTTCAATTTTTTTTTTTTTTTTTTTGATTTCAAATAATATTTTTTTTTAAATTCATAGTGTGGGAATGAACTATCAAAAATTAACAAATATCACTGATTTGGGATTAGTTTATGTAAGATTAAATCATGATACTGCTGGTAGTTTATTTGAAACTCTTCAATCTACTAAAAATAAATGTATTTGGGGTAAAAAACTTATGAAGTATGGATTTGCCTTTAAAGGTATTCAAATTAAATTTGATATAATATAGTAAATAGTTCATAGAAACATAATTGTATTAATAATATGATTATTGTGATGATATTATATGATATTACTATGCATTTAATTGTACATTTTTTAAATTTCAGATGCGTTTTATAGTTCTGAATTAGATCAACGACATCTATTACAGAAAATAATAAGAGCTCCTGATATTACATTAAATGTTTTAGTAGACTATTGCAAAGATACAAATTTTGATTTGCAACAAACTATTAAATTATTTTTAGAAAGTTGCTTAACTCAGTGGGAACCATATACACCCGATGAAAAAGAAGAAAAAACATTTGGTAAATATATTATAGAAATTAATTTGATACACAGTACATACAATTAATAAAAATAATAAAATCAAATACTTACCTAGTTTTTTTTTATAATTTTAGATTGGATAGTTAAAATAATTGAAGCTAAAGATACTCTACTCAAGAAATGTGAAGACATTTTTAATATTATCACAGATACAACTGATATATTAGATTATCTTTGGAATTATGTTTGGGATCAAGTAAAACAACTTCTAATTTTGTCCTTTTTTTTTCATTTTTAATAAATTATATTCGACCAGTAATAATTTGTTAAGTAATAGTCAATTCCCACCTAATGTTATATAGTATAAACTATATTATTATATAATATAATATACCCATAATACTACATTGTGTAAAAATAATCCACTTAGAAATATTCAAAATATTTAGCTATGGAATAAATTGTATATGTTGCATTCACTTGATAAAATTATGTATAATAACATGACATTTTTTTTTTTTTTTAAATTTATAATAAACACTAAATATTTTATTTCATAAAGAGGGTAGTAATTTGATTAAAAAAAAAAATCATAACACAATATCAAATTTTAGTATCTATTTCATAAATATATATCCACTTCAAAGCCATTTTTAAATATTCACTAAACGGAAATAAATGATTTTCGTTCATGAACTGGATAACTTTTCATGAAATGCACAATTTCATCAAATGAATGCAACGTATACATTTATAATGTGTATATATGTTTTAAATGTAATATTTTTGTAAATTTAGGTGAATATTTACAATTATGAAGTTTTTTTGGTTATTGTGAGTTTAATTGAAAAATATGAAACAAATTCTGGTTTAAAATTTAATGTTCAAAAAGAGATTTTGTTATTCTTAATACAATACAAAAGAATTAGTGTACCTGAAGAACACGAACAAGAAATATGGTTTGCCATGTTTCAAGAATCACCATCATTACCTCCTATTTCTAAATACCGATTACCATATGTTCCACTAACAAATAAAAAACGAAAATTTGGACAACGTGAATTGCATGTTTGGAAAATTATAAAACCAGAATTGACATTTTCTACATATAATAAATGGTTTTCAATAATTGAAGCTATTGGAATGGATAAGGATACGTTGTGTATTTTTACTGTAAAAAATATGGTAAGAATAACATAATAAAAAATAAATAATGAATTACTAAATTTTTAATGTTTTAGATTAATGAGGTTGCCATCAAGAATAAAAACACTACAGAATGGTATTTACATATGCGCTTAGAATCGTTATTAAAGGATATTCAAATTGTATTAAGTAATGTGAAAAACTTAGAAGTGGTTGCTGCCTCACTTTATTTTGTTGTTAATAGTTTACCTCTAGGTATTGATTATATTTATAATTAAATGATAATATAAATGTAAAATTATTTTATGTAACATGTAAATTATTTTTAGGTGCTGATCAATTGGCAGCAGCTAAAATTTGTCATTCTCAAGCTCAAGAATGGGTTAAATTAGAAAATTCAGAAAACGCCAAGTCTGGTATTACAAAAGTATGGAATTCAAATAATATAAGTAAATAATCCAAACAAAAAATTACTGTTTTTTTTTTAATTTAAGGTTATTACAAAATATGTCTTGACAACAACTAAACATATATTACACATGTATGGATTTGGCAAACCAAATTATTTACAATTAGCATTGCAACCAAATGAATTAATCCGAGAACTTTATAATGATCCCATAATATTAAAAAGACACACGGGTGAAATCAAATCATTTCCTGGTAAACCTTAGTATTATTAATATTGAGTCTATCAAGTATTATTGTACTTAGGTATAATTTATTGATTTTTATAAATATTGTATAATGCATTTTGTAGATATTAATGGGGCAGTAGACGCAATAGTAGAGGTCCATGGTAAAGGAGGCTTAGCACTTAAAGTAGACCTTCTAAAAGAATGGTTACAACCTTCGTCATTAGGATCACTTAGTTCTCCTAATAAAAGTTCAATAATGTCAATAACCAGTTCATTTTATGGAATTCAAGAAAATCCAACAATCAGTGAAGGTGTTTTAAGGTAAACATTATTTAAATTTTAATTAAGCTGTAAAATAATAATTAATTTAAACAAAGTATTAATCATAACATTATGTTTAGGGCGTGCTACATATTAGAAAATGATACACCTGCATATAATTTACATAATTTCCTTATTTGTCAAGCTTACAATGAGGATGACAGTGATTCTATGTGTCCAACAAGTGTGCGACTAAAAGCATTGCAATGTTTGTGTTTAGCTAAAACTAAAAATATAGAAGAAATTACATGTCGTACAAAAGAAATGATGAAGTAAGGAAAATGTATTTTTATTTAATATTTTATTACAATTGGTTTGTTGTATACTATTAGAAACAATTTGGTTGAATTATCAATAATTACTGAATTGGAAACTCTTGGAATCGATTTTTCTCCAGTCAAATATCGTGGATGTGATAAATCTAAATTAGTCCAATCATTGTTGTCAAGAAGATCGCTGAGTGCAACTAAATTAGCTTCACATTTATTTGTTCTATATTCAGATGCTATGAATCCCTCTGCTTGGGATAAACTACTAACTGGACTAATTAGTTTTACAATAATTAATGAATTAGAAAAAGTACTTATCCATTTGATGGATAAATGGCATCAATTGACATTTGAAATAGTAGAAAAAGCATGGAATGTTTTAATTAACTCATCTTTTAATAGTGGTATATTTTAACATTTTTCAGTATTAATAATAATATAGGATTATGTTCTACAGTTAATTTTTTTTTCAGCTAAAGATTCTTATGAAGTTATACGTTGTGTTAAATTAGTGTTCAGTTGTCCAGTCATAGCTAGTGTCGATCTGAAACAAATTATCAAACACTGTGAACAATACCAACTTGATCATTATGTGGAAAAATTAAAACACTTAAGTTAAGATTTTTTTTTATTTAAATTTTTGAGAATTTATATCTATACATTAAAAAAATAATATTTTTAAAACAATTTTTTTATAATTTATTCAAAACTTTATCCAATTTTTATATTTTTTCAATAAAATCTTTATAACTAAAAATATAATATATACAAATTATGATAATACATATTTATATTATTGTTCAACAATTTTTTTCAATTCTGCTTCTCTTCGCTCCTGAAAAATTTTCTTGAGATCTGCTATTTTTTGTTGGGCTTCTGGTTTTTCAGGTGGAAACATCTCTCTTTTAAATTGTATAACTTTTTCTTCATAATTTTCGGGCAAATTAAAATAATGAAACAACAAGACAGGAAAAGTCATGTAAATACCCATTCGGAAAACCTCTAATTGCCATTTACCCATATCTAAATTAAAAATAAACACTCATTTATCAAATGTTATTATTTTTATTATCATACATATACAAATATATTTATATAAAATATGTATGCATAAATATGAATTTGATGATTTACCTACATAATAGTAGTGCACAGAAGTTTAAATAATCCAGGAATAAAAGTTGTATTTATTTTTAAAATCTATAAAAAATGTTTATATTTAAATTAAATATTTTATTTCATTAAATTTTTAAGAAAAACAAATTTTATATTGTAATTTGTTGGGTAATCTCTCAGTTGTATTTAGCAAATACTTTCATATAAGTAAATAAAAATTAATTTTATTTATTTTTAATTTTACATACCTTAAATTAAAGCAAACTTTTGCTTCTTTAAATATTACTATAATAACAATTTTATTTTATTGTATTTTTATTTAAATTTGTTTCCTAGTTTTTTACATTTTGCAAATTTTACATATAAAATATAAAAATATGAGTATAGCGTGTTGTTTGAAATGGATATATAGTCATAGAAAAATATGGCATTTAAAGAAACTATAAAAAAAATTAAAACTTGAATGGTTTGAACAACCAATATACTAAAACCACTCTACATAAAGATATTTTTTACTATAGCATGTTGTGGTCAAACAATCAATAGACTTTATAATTAAGAATATGAAAATGTTTTTGTTATAGGTATTTAAAAATAATGTAATAAATAATAATAATAAAAACAACAATTAAAATCAATTAGGAGGATTTAAAAGAAAATTAATCATGACAGAAAAAATTGAAATTTGAAGAAAGCTTAATGTACCAAAGACATAATTTAAATAAATCACCAAAAGAAATAATTAGTTTTATGATACTAGCACAGATTAAACGAAAACAAGCTTTTATTTATTATTTAATTGAGTATTACAGAATTATTTTGTTATTGTCTTACCTAAATTATTTATAGTATGTTAAGCGTTCACAATAAAAATTTGGATACACAGAAGAGAAATGAAGTAGGTGTAGGTAGCAATAAATTGTGTAGTTTTGCAGTAAATTAACAAAATATAAAAAATTATTGTTATCTTTTATCTCTGTTTTTTTTTTATCAATAATTGATAAACAACTTGATAAATACCAAAAAATAAATTACGAAATAAGGAATCATTGGCCTGGTTGCTTGTCGAACAAGTCGCTGTAGTGGATTTTGGCTGAAACGTTTTCAAAGGATTAATTTGTACAATCATTTACAATGCTATTCATGATTCAAATATCAAATAAATATACAAAACACAAATTTAAATTTCGCACTAATAATCTATGATTATTATTGCAACACGGTTATACCACTAAAATTGTACTGGACAGTGGAATTCACCTATTTATCGCTACATCTATGGTTAAAATGTATAATTTAATTCATTTTTTTTTGTCATTAAAAAAAATGAATCACAAATTCATAAAAAAATTACCAAAAATCTAATCAAAAATCCTACATTATGATAACAAGGAATAAAAAATTATAATGATTATATGACATTCACTATCTTACTATCATTATATACCATGATGATCACGATTATGGATACCATGAAGATTATTGTAGAATATTCTGGGCTTTATGATAGATACCACAGCTATATAGATAGATGATATCATGGCCGTGATATATACAAGGTGGATTATATCCCATAGTCATATTAATATTTCTTATAATAATCATTTTTAAATAATATGTCTATTATATACCCACCTTAATACTATAAAAGTATAATAATAAAGTCATAATATTTATGTATATATTATCTATGGTTGATGATTTTTATTTTGCGATAAATAAAATGCAGATAATAGGTGTAACCAACATAGTCTTTAATTTAAACAAATTGTTAATAAATGAAAAAAGAAATTACATATTTAATTTGTTTACTTATATTGATATAATTCAACATAACTAGTAAATGTTACAAATAATAATGTCTTCGTTTGAAGACACACAATTTTGGTAAATATTGTTGGTCACACTCTTATTATAGTAAAGTGACATCAACATAACCTTAAATTAATAAATCGCTTCTTTTGATCTTCGAATGGCACAAGTTTCTTTTCTGTATTCACTAATCGCTATTAGTTAGCTTTAAATTTAAGTATAATATTAATTTCAAGTTTTGAATATCTATTGTAAGTAATTGAATTATATTAAATCAAATTTAATTTAAATTAATTAAAATTAACAGCTAATAAAAATTAATATGATAATTTCATAATTTTATATTATATATTTACACTATCAGCCATGTGGCGATTTTGCTATTTTATTGTTTAATAAATTAATATATTTAATATTAAATATATGGGAATTATGAATTTTTATTTCTTTAGAACAACATGGCTCCAAGGAAAGGGAAAGTTCAAAAAGAAGAACCAGTAGTTCAATTAGGACCCCAAATTCAAGAGGGTGAATTAGTTTATGGCGTAGCTCACATTTTCGCTAGCTTCAACGATACATTTGTTCATGTAACAGATTTGTCAGGAAGGTAACTTTGTTTATCAATATATTTCAGTTAAAACATTTGACTATTTCTAACACAATGTTTGATAAGTATTTTATATTTAATTATATACCTATAGGTAACTTCTGTTTACACTGCAACTTCACATAATTTTATTATTATTTCTTATTATTTGAAACAAATAATTTTTGTCTGGTGATTTAGTATAATATTAAATACTTATTTAAAAACAAAATTGTAAATTATGGACATTTTACAAAGTAACTTAAGTGTAATATAACATATATTTTTTAAATTAAAAACCTAATACAATAATTTTTTAAAAAATGTATGTTTATTTTACTGAATGTATGTTTACCTAATGTTATATCTTTTAAGTTGGAATATTTTTCAATATTTATTTTTATGTTTTTTCAGGGAAACCATTGCTAGAGTAACTGGTGGCATGAAAGTAAAAGCTGACAGAGATGAAGCTTCTCCTTATGCTGCTATGTTGGCTGCTCAAGTACGTTTAAACATGTTTCTTTAATTTCCTGACTATTTGGTGAGACTATTCTTTACTCTATATTGATGTTGATTTTGTTTTATCAACAAAATCTACAGAAATACAAAGAATAATCTCACCTAATAGTCAGAAAATGATAATAGGAATTGAAAATGTTAAAGTACCGATACTATTTAAATTTTAAATTAAATTTTTGGTGTTCTTAATATACTGTCATCCCTATTTTTATAGTAAAAATTACTTAAGAAGACTACACAGAACTCGTATAATTTTGGTTTTAGAGTAAAAACACTTATTATAATATCAAGAGAGAAAAATACTCTCAAGATCAAGAAGTTGCATTATAATTGAATATAATAGTCAATTTACTACTTTTAAAATAATTTGTTTTCAAAAAAACGCAACGTCTTGATTTCTGATATATTGTTCTACATTAATTTCATAATATGTACTTTTACTCTAAAACCAAAACTAATTAGGTTCTGTGTAATTATGTTTTTACTATCATGTGTTTGTAAGACTGAAACAACAAATGCATGTGTATACCATCCTCTTAAGCAATCATTATATAATGTTTTGGGAGTTTTTTTTATGGAACAATTTTCAGAATTATGTGTACCAACTTATACAATCATAATATCAAAATCGTAGAATTTTTTACTTATATTTTAGTATGCCAGGTATTCATTTATATTTTTTTTATTTCAGGATGTTGCTGAAAAATGTAAACTTTTGGGAATTACAGCCTTACATATTAAATTGAGGGCTACAGGTGGAAATAAGACGAAAACTCCTGGACCAGGAGCACAATCTGCATTGCGTGCATTAGCACGTTCAAGTATGAAAATTGGCAGAATTGAAGATGTAACACCAATTCCTTCAGATTCTACGCGTAGGAAGGGTGGTCGTAGAGGTAGACGTTTGTAGTTTACTAATTTTTGTTTGTATTACATCTGGTGTATTTCCACAAATATAAAATTGGATTTCTCTTTATACACTTGCCTTATTTATTATTTAAAAGTATTCAATTTTAAAAATTTTTATTCAAATTATTCTACACAATGGATGCTTAGAAATGTTTATAATACATTTTACTGAATACAGCTTTAGTTTATGGTTATATTTTAAAATATAATAACACTAACTGAAGTTTATGTGACATCAAAGTTAATTTGTTGTTTTTTATATCCATTAGTTAGACAATATGTTGTTTATCATTGTATAATTGGGAATTATTTTCTAGGTATTCTAAATAATTTTCATACCTATAAGTATTATATTAAATAAAATTTGAGAAATGCTTTGTGTGATTAAATTGGTTACAATTTTTTGTAGAGTATTTATTAATCTAAACTGGCAAAATATTTGTTGGTTTGATGCAAAAATAACCACCAGTTAATTCTAACACACTTAACGGCACTTGTAGGAATATTAATATTTATATTAATAATAAATGTAATTAGCAGGTTTCGTATTTTATAGCACTGCATATATTTGAAATATGCTTTATAATATGGGCTAATAAATCTTAAAATAACAACTATAATATATCTTAAAAATGTTAAAATAAGCTATAGTATACCATAAAAACATGAAAAATGTATTTTTTTTTTCATTGTGAACTAGCAATTACCTCTGAGGATTTCAAGTGAATTTTATATCTGTTTTTTCTTATCTTTATAGAATCGTTATATGGTAATTTATTACCCTTCCCTACTCCTCTGGTTTAAACTTTAAAATTATAACTCAAAAGGTAAATCTGGTATTAGTGTCATGCATATCAAAATTTCTAAAAAAATATTCTTTATTCAAATCTGTTCAAAAGGGGGGGGGGGTTCCTGTTTTAAAATCAAAAGTTTGCACTTATTTAAGTTATGTAAAGTAGAGTTTAATAATTAAAAATAATTTTAAAAAAAAAACTTAAATGATCCCATAAAGATTAGAAAAAATAGATATAAAATTTACTTGAAATCCTCAGAGGTAATTGCTAGTTCACGATGAAAAATATAAATATATATTTTATTATGCAAATAAGGAAAAAATAGCAATATACAATTTATATTTGGAGTTCCCAGCGCCTAAAACAAATGTAAAGCTGACTGCTATTTTTACCTTTATCCTATAACAATTAACTAATACTATATGATCCAGGCCTTTCTAATAAGTTTTAATATTAAGTTAATTCAATTGGTTTTTAATAAATTCATAATTATGAATTTTATTTCCAGATTAAAAATTTAAAAAATTGAATTTTTAGTTGATTCCTATTATATAATGCTTATTTTTGGCAATTAATTATTTATCTCGAAGAATGAATCTATGAAAATAATTAACTGGGTCCTCTGAAATCTTAGAATTATAGATTTATGTAAGTTATAAGATCACTAAAACTAAATTATGCTTTTATTGTTGTATTAAGTAATTAGTAACAAAATTGTTACTTGTTTAAAAAAATGTAAGGCTCGGGACTTTATTATGCACTTAAAATCTACAAAAAATAACCCTTTAAAACATAATTACAAAACAAATAGTAGTATTTTTTTAAGTCCTTTAACAACTCATACCTTATAAAATACAATTTCTGAACACTACAAAAAGTTTTTAAATAAAATTGTAGGTATTCTAAAAAAAATTGTGTTAATCATTTGTAGTGTTAGAAAATTACATTTAATGTTTAAAGTTGTTATGGTCATAGGGGGGGGGGGGGTTAGAATTTTAAACTACTAGATCCTTGTGTCATTTTAATTTTAAAAAATATTAGGATTCTTTTGATGTTTTTAAGTGCTTTTTTAATGAATTTTAAGTATATAAAATCCCAATCCCTAGTAATAAGTAAAAACCATAGAAATTAGGCCTCATAAAGAGTTTAAAATTAAATTTTATTATTTTTCAAAAATAACTTGTTCAAGAGGCCAATACTGCTATTAGGATGCATGAAATATTGTTTCTTTAATAATTTAATTACAGTTCACAAGTATTATTATATCTATCAATGTAGTGCCTTAGCCATGAGAGCACGCACTCCCGCCTACAAAATCTTTTTTTTTAATGCTTTAGTACAGTTTACATAAATTTATTATTTGTGGTATTATTATAAGTATTATACATTTTTTCATATTAATATGTATACTATTATATTCTCTTAAACTTCTTCTCAAACTTAGTTTTAACTTATCATTGCAAATTTAAGGGGGTATAAATAATAAGTTATAAGAGAGTAATAAAATAACAGGTGATCAGTATTCTAGTTTAACAAAAACAAACAAAAAATTAAATGCCCTCCCTAAAACAATGTTTTGGTTACTGAATATTAGGTTAATATTAGTTGGAGAAACTACTAGTATTTATTTTAGAAGTTCGTTATATTGTAGAAACAATGAGGTAAGTTTTATTATTTTTCCTAAGATTTATAAATTATATGCAAAAGTTTATATACCTATACAATTTAAAAATAATGATTATTTTATTTTAATTATCTTTACAACTATCAACAATTCTCTAAGTATTCGTCTAATTTATATGTGCTTACTTTGCAACTAAAATAATTATGTTTATTTAATAAGGTAATGACAATAACCAATTAGTTAGCTATTTAATTATTTGTTAGCCTGCTTACAAATATAATTATCTAATGTTCATATTATTTATGCTGAATATGTTTTAGATTAGACTAACACATAAACAGTAGGTGTGTTTCGCTGGCCACGAGTTAATTACTGTAATGTGGTTCCTCTTTCTAGTAAACAGTTAAACACATTTTGTACTTGTGTATTTCGAGTTAACAGTTGTAGTTACACATACAATGGAAAATACTTATCATTTCATTAATTGGCTGTCAAAAAAATTTGATTGCAAAGTTCCAGTGAAATTTTTAGGAAATCAGATTGATTGTAAAACTTTTCTTGGGTCATACGACTTACACTCATATGGTAGAATTTCCATTATGGGAATCATATACTGTACTTTATGATCCATTCTTTGACATTAGTTTTAGCACAAAAATTCTCATTCCGAATTATTTAACTAGATATTATATTTAAATTTTTCAGGTGACATAAATTGTATCATTACCATAATATTGTTATTAATATACATAACGCTCATGATTAAAGAAATCTTTAAATTGTGGTTACATCTTAGACCCATCATACAAATGTACTAAAATAGTAAATGTAAAAATACAAATATTTCAATAACCAAATTAATATAAGATTAGTTTTCCAAGAGGCGCGGGTACAGTTATTTCTGTATGAATGATGAATCTGATGAATGATAAATCCCCTCAGTTTTCCGCACCTCCGGGAATATCGCCTCACCTACAATATTGTTATAGGCACGGTCTTCCAAGATCGTGGTTATAGGAGTGGCTTATCCATTTCTTTATGATCCGTGTTCAGAATTGTCTACTAACCAGCTGAATATATGACTACAATAGCCAAAACACCAATGTGTTATTAAAAATTAGTATCCAGTTTGTATGTTAATAATTGTAACCTTGAATGATAGTTGACGATGACGATCGTACGGAACACGGGTACCTACACTTATTCCACTTGTACCTAGATGTAATATACTAATTAGTATATTATATACGTCGTATAACGATGACACTCGACGTTCATTTACATTAATGTAGGTATATGATTATTGACATCATCAAGATCAATATGTGTACTTGTAGTATATTTTAGGTTTTCTGTCACCATTTATTTATTGATAAAATATAGTTGATAGTCTTGATACTCGAGCCAGCTTTATCTAGGTTTTTATTATCGTGAATTTGGAAATTGTATTTTTAAATTTTTTCATTGTACCATTGATGTTTTTGACGGCGAGTGGGATAATCTGTGTAAAATGTAAAAAAATTGACTTCTATCAACTGTTTACGTCAACTAATAAAGGACTTAATATAAAATTAATATCTCAACATTTATTTGGTTTTTGGTAATTTATTATTTACTATCTTTGCATTATTTAAACACTATTTAAACGTATAAAAGTAAACAGATATTTTGTCATAAAGCCGTAGAAGCTACTAACTATTCTAATATGTTATCTCTATTTTACGATTAGGTATATTATTACTGTAAATTGCATTTATATTATTTATTGAACGTACATAATTTTTTTTTTTATAAATGAAAATTGATATCCTCATCCATAGAGACAGAAGAGTAAAACATAATAAAAATACGAATACTAGATAGTACTATCTGGTGCTGGCATATCTATTTTATCATGAAATAAATATAAACAATAAACATGCATAGACACTGAGATATGGCATATTATTAGTATGTATTTGAGCCATTTGAGGTTATGTACGTTTCAGTTTCCAAGTTTGTGCAGTTGCAGCTGAACGCACCCTACATCCATTATTTTGTCCTTGACGTAAAAAAAAATACCTACTGTTGTTGTTCTACTGCCTTCTTTTCCGCTCAGTGCGATGGATGTTAATGTTATGTCAAACGAAAGCTATTTTTTTTTCTCGAAAGTTCAACAATTTCGTGATTTTTTTTAACATTGACCGGAATATTTATCCTCGTTGAGTGACATATAAACTTAATTATACGATCGTAGTGTATCCACGAACAAATGTGCACGACGATAAACCTGTTATCATTTCACGACAAACCTAAGTTATCGGTAAGTCTAGTCTGTAATATTGTTTTCGTATAGTTACTTAGCTATTTTTAAAACATTTGTATTAATTTACTACATGGTCAGCGGCCAGTAACACTAACATTTTATTATTGAGTTGTTTTAACTCCAGTGATAAAGTATTTCGAGTATTTAAGTGGGCCTAGTAAATATTCAAAATACCGATAAACCAGCTGATCAGTAGTCATGAAGTCACTGGCTACAATTGTGAGCTAATGAAAGTTTTTTTTTGAAAGACGATGCTTTTGTTGTGTATTTTTTGAAATATTGTATACCTTTTAAGCTGTTGTACTGTCAATAAAGTTGGGGATAATATAATTATCCCATTTATTATATTTAATGGTATGTATGCTTGGGGAATAGAAATTAAAAATATCTAAGTATAGAGAGCAATAAAATCTAGGTAGGTACCTACTACCTAGATACTTGCCATGAATAATTTATTAATTTCACTTGAGTTTTCCGCAACAAGTTCTCTCACTAGTTTAGTATATAAACATAAATAAATTATATACTTGTATTAATTTATAAAACCAGCTATTAGCATAAAGTAGGTAGGTACATTTTAAAATTTCACTTTTTTGTACAATCCCTGTATAATTTTGTCTAAATTAATTTTTGATAAACTATAACTCAATAAAAAATAAAGATTAATAATAGTACCTATTAATCTATTTGAAAAATATTAAATTAATATTGCCTACCTACCTATATGATAAACTATATTATACATTTTTATTTCACACATAGTATGTATGACATTTTAATTAGATACTTAGATATATTTTATTTTTGGAGAGATAAATTACTAACCAAATTAAAAATAGTTAAATACCTACAGTTTAATTATTTGAATTTATATTTTTTTTTTTATAGGAAAGTAAAAATAATCCTTTATAATATTATGATGTACCTACGTACTATACATTTTTTATTGAAAATACTAAAATAATAATTATTTCAAACAACAGTTGTATTTGTTGTTAAGTTTTTATATATACCTATTGGTATTGGTATTTGGAATAAAAATCTCCAACCCATTTTTTTTTTTTTTTTTTTTGGATCTTATTTAAAACTTGTTTAAAACAGCTAACCTAAGAGTTACGCAGTTCAGTGGATAATTATTAACTTAGATATGAATATTATTGTTATGCTTAGTATCTGAATTAATATAATGGTCGTTTAAGTGTCATAAGTTATAATTAAAATTAAATTGAGCACTACCTACTATCTAGTTAAAAATATGGTTTTGTTATGTAGGTAGTTAAGATAGATAATAATGGATTTTTTTTTTTTTACAGGACATCAATCGTTTAAATGTGTTACATAAAAAAAGAAGTGTAGCATTTAAAGAAAAAGTACTGTAGATACAGTTTCTTACAAAATTCCCATCAATTAAAATGGCTGCTGGATCTCCACAGGATTTAGATGGATTTTTACCTTTATTATCAACTTCTGATATACGAATGAAAGTTACCGTTGGTGGTAAACTATTTACTTATTTAGAAGAACCATGTAACTCTGTAGAATGTTCTGACATTGGGATGTTTATTGATGGCATTGTTCAATGGTTATCAAATAGTAATCCTAAAGTTACTCAATATGGAATTGAAATAATTACACAACTGATAACTAGAATGAGAACAGATTTTAGACCGTATATTTCTACTGTATTACCTTTAGCTGTAGATCGACTTGGTGATAGTAAAGAATCAATAAAAGTGAAGGCACTTTTTCTTATTATGAAATTAATGGAATGTGATACAATTAGCCCTCAAGCATTATTTGACAAAATATCGGCAAATGCGTTTTATCATAAAAATAGTAATGTTAAAGAAGGAGCTATGAAATTATTGTTGTCAACTGTTGAAGAATTTGGTACAAATTGTATTACCATATCAAAAATTGTACCTATGATTGTAAAACTTTTAAGTGACCCAAATGTTCAAGTAAGACATAAAGCATTCGAAACACTTATTGATTTATATAAACATGTAGGGGAAAAGTTACGTGTTGATATACAAAAAAAGTATACAATTCCTCAAGGCAAAATGACAGACTTAATGAATAAATTTGACGAAGCTAAAGCAGCTGGTGATTTATTACCAACAGCTTTTGTTGGTCTTAGTTTAGCTGATGATGATGAGACTGATCGTGCTTGTATGTCAGCACCTAGACGCATTCCTGGTAGTGTTAAAAGGCCAGGTTCATTTCATCCTCCAAATACTGCAACCCCATTACAACGAAGTGGTTCTGTACGAAAACCTTGTTCAGCTTCATCCACTTCTTCTCATGCAGGTGCTGTTGATGAAGATACATTTATTCGATCCTTTGAAGATGTTCCTACAATCCAGATTTTTAGTGTACGGGATTTAGATGACACTATGAAAAAATTACATGAATCCATTCAAGATGGAAACGAACAATGGAATAAAAGAGTTGAATCATTGAAGAGGGTCAGATCACTTGTATTAACTGGAGCAACAAAATATGAAGAGTTTTTTAATAATTTGAGGTATTTAGAACATTCCTTTCAAACGTCTGTCAAAGACTTGCGATCTCAGGTTGTTAGAGAAACATGTATTACTATAGCATTTTTATCTCAGCGTTTGGGTATTAAATTTAATCACTTTGCAGAGTCTATTTTTAGCAATTTAATTGACCTCATACCAAATTCAGCCAAAGTAACTGCTTCTTCAGGATTAGTTGCTATTAGATTTATTTTAGAACATACTCATGCTCCTCGAATAATTCCTATTCTTGCAACTAGTCTAGGATCAAAATCAAAAGATATCCGCCGTGCTTGTTGTGAATTCTTTGATCAAATTCTACGGACATGGCCAGTTCAAGCATTGGAAAGACATATAACAATACTTCAGGATTCCATTAAAAAAGGTATAGCAGATGCCGATTCAGATGCTCGAGTTTTGTCACGAAAAGCTTATTGGGGATTTTGTGAAAATTTTCCTGACCAAGGTGAAATATTATTAAATAAGCTGGAACCTGCATATCGTAAAGTATTACTTACGAATACTGGATCAAGTTCGTGTTTACCAAAGTCTGTAATGGCAGAAAGTGCAAAATTACCTTCACGTCGACCAGTTACCCCACAAAGTAGTATTTCAATGAGATCGAGTAGCGCCATCGATTTGCAAGCTGCTCAAAGAGCTAAAGCTCGTGCTCAATATGCAGCTCTTGCTAGACAAAAAGTTAATCCTATGGTTTCCCCACAATCTGTTTCTAAGAAACCCAATGAAGATATGCACCAAGTTGATAGAATTGGAAGGTCAAGAGGTCGAGTATCGATATCACAACCAACTAGTCGTTCAGGATCACCGTCTTCAAGATTTACATTTGGTCAACCAAAATCTAGAAGAGGTAGTTCTGGTATACCTAGATCTCAAGATACTAGCAGGGAAGCTAGCCCTAATAGGTATAGTTCCCTTGGATCACATTCAAGTAGTAGACGTCCACCTATTTTGCCAACATCTAGACCAATAATGGCACAGAAAATATTAATGCAAAGTCGAGAAGCTGAATCTGCTTTGGCTGATGCACTAGGTAGTACTACTAGTCATAAATCTCCAAGAAAGATATTGGGAAGGTCATTGGATGATCATAGTGATGAGAGTGAGACATCTAGTATTTGTTCTGAGCGATCATTTGATTCCCATAAGCGGCCATCAGATTCATATTATTGGAATGGTTCACAACATCGCTTACATAAAGAAATTTGGGAGAACTCTAGTTTAGACATTGAAGATATAATATTAAACTGTGAAAGTTCAAACTGGAATAACCGTAAGGAAGGCTTAGTCAGTTTACAAAGATATTTGCAACAAGGACATATTATTAATGAAGTATTATTAAGAAGATTAACAGATGTGTTTACTAAAATGTTTATGGATTCGCAAACTAAAGTCATAAGTCTTTTTTTGGATGCTCTTAATGAGCTAATTGTTACTCATAGTCAACACTTAGAACATTGGCTGTATATTCTTTTAGCTAAGTTATTCAACAAAGGAGGTTCTGATATACTTGGTTCTGTGCATTCAAAAATATTAAAAACAATGGAGATAGTAAGATTGTCATTTCCTTGTGATTCTCAGCTTACTGCTGTATTTAAATTTCTCACAGATCCTACACAAACACCTAATGCTAAAATGAAAATATTTGCCATGAGTTATATATCAAAATTAGCTGTTACTACAGATCCGGGGTCTGCATTTCCTTCTTCTTTAGATGGTAAAAAAGATTATGCGACTTTAGCATTAACAAAAATGATTGGATGGACTATGGGTAATAACATAAAACAAGGTCCCGAATTAAGACGTGCCGCTCAGGAAGCTATACTAGCTCTTTATAGTTTAAATGCATCTCAAATCACATTGAGGTTGTCTCAGTTACCAGAAGAGTATCAAGAAGCAGTTTCTGGTCTCATTAAAAATAGAGTGAGAAGAAATAGTGTTGATCAATTAATGTCTCCAAAATATAACCGACAGTCACCTACAAATCTTGCTTCACCACCATTACAACCTGATTCTACTGATGCTTTCAATTCAGAAGAGATATATAAGTCATTAAAACAAACTACTGCTGAAATACAAAAGTATAGTTTAGAATGCCATTATACTGGAGAGAGAGATGCTACTTCCTATGATTCCGGAATTAGTCAAATGTCTGCACGAACTGAAACAGATAATCATAATTTTAATGGTTATAAAAATGGTCATACTACTGCAGATGGAATAATAAAAATAGTTGATGAATTAGATAAGGATACTTTACAGCTTGATGATAAACAATCAAATTTAAATCGTCTGAAAGAATTAATTAGAGATGGGCCTTCTGATGTTCTTATAAAAAATTTCAAAAAAATTATCAAAGTAATTTTAAAATTATTAATGGATAGTGTATCAAATGTGCGAGAACAAGCTATAATTGTAATTACATTTCTGGTTCAAAAACCAGAAATGATTTCCTGTTTTTCCAATTTCACTGAATTGATTATATTAAAAGTATTAAATATGTGTTGTGATCCATGTAAACCAGTTGTTAAAGTTGCAGAAGAGTGTTCGTTTGCTTTAAGTGTATCATTACAACCAGAAACAGTAGTCAGAGTAATCACCCCACTGATATCAGCAAAAGAATTTCCAGTCAATTTGATGGCAATCAAAATGATGACTAAATTGGTCGATATGTATGGTAGCCCTCCTGTAGCTGCTCAAATGAAAGAAATAATGCCTGGTCTACTACAAGGCTACGATAATCCTGATAGTGCTGTCCGAAAATCAGCTGTCTTTTGTATGGTTTCATTGCATAAAGTATTTGGGGAACAAGAATTTGCACCTCACATATCGAGTCTAAATGGTGCCAAGTTAAAGCTGTTGAATTTATATATTGAACGTGCTCAACAGTCTTCTCCAACATCACCCAAGACCAATTCGTAAAATAATTTTATTAATATAATCGTTATCGAACAAAAAACAAGTCCAATGAAGGTATTCCATTAAAAGTTTTAAATACTCGTATGTTATATTCAAGTCGCCTATTAACTTGTACATACATTTTGGGATGCTCAAAAAGATATATTAATACTTTAGTCATTTTTAACTGTCACCTTTTAAGACAAACACATAACCTAAATGTTTCACATTATCATATTATATATTTTTTAATTACTAATATAAGTGTAATAAAAGTCAGTTATTGTATACAAATTACAATAACAAATTTTTATATGCCAACCCTAACAATCTCGTAAGTAAAAACAATTAAGAGATTGCTTATTAACCAAAAATATATAACTATTTTTATTCGGTTGTAAAATAATGTTTTGTAACTGTATAGGTTAGTTGCTAATATTGCTATTGGTTAAATTATTTTTGACTTGTTAAGATACTATTGTAAACTTTTTTTTTTAGAGTAGTTCTTGAACATCTATTTTAATTAAAGTACTGATTTCCATTAATCGTTTTTTTTTTTTTTTTGTAATTCTTTTCTTTAAGTTTAAAGATATTTTGTTGTCATAAATGATATTATGTTTTGTCCGTATCGTCACATCAACAAGTATTATTTCATTAGTTAATAAATCTATTTATTCAATTATATTTTTTAACATTTTATAATAAGCTTACATTTTTTAGTCACAAAAGTTTAAAGTTTAAATTATGCTTTATAATTTGTATTCATACATTTTTATTTAATTGTTGTGCCACTATTGTATTCAATGATTTTGTTGAAAAAAAAAGGAGTTGTGATAATTATTTTAATATAGTTCAGCTATTTTATATTTCCATTTTATCCAATGAAAAATAAATTAAAGAACAATAAAATAAAACAATACACATGAGCTTAATATAAATACAATAATATACACAAAATTTATCTTTCACAATTTATGTACATCATTTGTTAATTGTTTTGTTTATATTTGTTCATATTTATTTATTCAGATTATTTTTAACCAAAAATTGTTTCATCTGTATTGTTTTATTATTAAAATAAGAAATAATTGTTATTTCGTTTTTTATACGGTTTGTAGTTTAAGTAAGTTATAATTAATAAATAAAATGTTATGAATGTAAAATGTATTGACACTAGTGGCACGCTAATTTTTGTGAAAAATACTTATGAATTATTAAATTTAAAAAAAATATTGTCATGTTCAATTTTCTACAAATTTTTGTTTAGTTTCTTCTACTTGTGAATCTAGTAGTATACATGCATTATACTTCCATTATAATTTTGTGATTTTATTTTTATGGTAACTATTGTTTTAATGTTATTTTAATTTTTGTACAAAAGCCATAATAAAATTAAAACCAAATAAATGTGTTTTTATTTTTTTTTACAATATCATTAACACAGTGCCAAGTTGTATACATCTCATTCTCAACTTATTATGTAATGCATTACATAGTTTATGGTTAAAAATGAATTATTGTTAATTACAGTTATTATTTTGGAACTGTCCGAAATATTTTTTACCCAACTATCTCAAAATGTTGAAGTATATAAATTATTCATCACCACTGACTTTATAATAGTGAATACTTATTTTTAATATTTGTATAAATGATTAAAATACTGTTTTTGAATATCTAAATAACTAGTAATTGTTTAATTATTAGGTACTTGTATACAGTTAATATAAAAAGTTAATTTTTCATGGTAGGTACTTGTTACTTAATCAATTTAAAATGTTATCAAATTATATTATTATGTATAAGTTTAAAAATGTTTTTTTTAAAACTTATTTGTATCATACAAATGTATAACGATAAAACAATTTTTTTTTTTTAAATTGTCTTACTGAGTTATGTGATCATATGGTTAAGTTAGCTTACAGAGGTGCATCCCTGGTTTTAGCACCTAAACGTCCTAATGGGATATTTGGGAAGTGAATGACAAGGTAGATTATTTTATATTATAGGTTGTGGAAATGGTTTTGTGTTCGTTAAGGAATTAAAAATTTTCTTTTCTATAGTAAATTGTTTATATTTTTTTTATTGTGTTTTTATATGGTCTTAGATCGTGATATATACTGTTTCTACTTTTCTAGTACAATAAAATATCGGGAAAAAGCTCTTGTTCCAAAAATCATCAGAACAAGTATCTTGTGGGAAAAATGGTCAATAGAAGAAATATATTATTTTGGAACAAGTAGGTATGAATGGGAAAATATGTTTTATGGGAACAATGGAATTGGAATAAATATTATTTTAAATACAACTTCAAGAGAACAAATAGGTATTCATAGTACTTTTGATGTTTTAATATAAATGTTTTCAAAATCACAAAATTATAGTTGTTCCAAATCATTGCCGTCAGTGTAAATATATTAATCTACCCGGGTATATTCATGGAGTGGTATTAATTTGAGTTGTTATTAAAATATTAATTTTAATATAAATACCTACACCATAACAATATTTCTGTACTTACAAAGTGAATTTCATTTATTTGTTATACTTAGTAGGATCAATTAGTTTATCTCGTTTTTTACTAATTCATGGTTGCTACAATTTTAAAGTTCATCAATTCCCTGATTCTGAGTTAGAAATAAAAGATGAAATATCCAAATTCCATAACTGCTATTGAAACATAGATACATTGTGATGTGTTTTATTTAAACGGCCAAACATTAAAATTTTACTGCAATTTTTTCAACAATTACCATAACATCACCAACAATTATCCAAAAGATCATTTTTCAAAATTATAAAATTTGAATAAATCTTCTATTTAACTATTAATCATACACATAGGGTGAGTAATGAGCATATTGCTGTGTCATATACATTTTAATCAGAGTTCAAATTGGAAAAATAAAAAAGGAACTATATGACTTATTGTATAATATAGTTTATTAAACATTAGATTATTTATTATAATATACATTTTCTTTTGATATTTTAATATTAATATTTACAATAATTATAACACATTTTAATATTCTAACATTTATATTTACAATTGAAGTGATTCATCGTCGTCATCCTCGCTTTCGCTGCTGTCTTCCGGGTTAATTGTCAAAACTATTGGCTCTAAAATCTGGTCCCTGAATCTTTCTTTAATAAAGTCTTTATCTTGAAGACGTTCGCATTGATCAACACATTGTTTCCAATTGTCTAAAGTAATGGATTCTATGCCAATATTTACCATGATTTCAACCTCTGAGATTTTAAAACTGCATTTTTTATTTGCAATTTCACCTTTAACTTGGGCCCATATTAATTCTATCGGGTTGTATTGACGATGATATGGGGGTAGACGTATGACTTCATGCCCCATTTGCGAAGCAATTTCATCAACTTCATATTTTTTGTTTTTTGATTTTAAAAGTTTTACCCGTTCTCGCAGCTCACTGAGTGTTTCAAATGAAGCGAATTCCACACCATTTTCTGTAAGCCACGTTTGAAAAGTAGCTTTATTGTCATTTAATTTAGGATAATTTTGAACGAGAACAGAATGGTAATTGCAGTTGTCCATTACAATGACACAAGGTTCTTTCAAGTTTTGCATCATTTCAATGAACCATTTTTTAAAAATTGTAGAGTTCATCTGAGTATGAAAATCAATATTTGCCCCTGATTTACATTGGAATATTAATTTTGCTCCTTTTACAAACCCAAATGCACTCGACCCAGCATGACAAATTATAATTCTACTGCCCTTTCCAGTTGGTACTTTTAATTCTTCTATATTCTTTGAGTTTTGCCAAATTGTTCCACGTGAATGATTTTGATTCACCCACGTTTCGCTTAGATATATGACCGGACGAGTATCATTATTTTGCCTTAAGTCGTGCATTTTCCTTAAAAACTTGACACGCATGGCAACAATATCGTTTCGTTCCATAAGAAAACGACGGCCATCGTTACATTTTTTGTACTTAAAATGTAAGGATTTAAGAATGCGCCACATGGAAATCCTAGATCCCTTATAACTGTTGATTTTTTGTTGATAAGCAGTTAAAACTTTTTGTGATGTGGGAAACTGACCTTTATCATAAAATTCGTGCACCGTTCTTCGAACAATATCTGCGTTAAAATTATCAATATTAGATGCATATTTCATTCGTTTGTATGATTTTCGAGGAGATGTAAATGACGGACCAGCCACGGGTTCTGCAGTAATCGATTTGGCCCCTTCAGAAGTTATCCGTTTCACTGTACCGACACTAATACCACATGCTTTTGCAGTCATTTCCTGACTTTTTCGAAAAAATGTAGCTATAACGGGGTTATTTTTGTCATTTGCTAATTTTTTAAAAAAATTATACACATTAAAAATTGTGTGTTTGGTCTGAGAATGTACGTCAGGGCGAATGGACATTTTGTTCAAAAATTTTTTCGCGCTTTTTCTCGGATACGTAGGTATGCAATGCAACCACAAACACAATAAAAACTCACTGATAAGTCGTACTAAAGTTATAAAGTTGTCTATAAAAACAATCGTCTAGATAACTCGAACGAATTAACATACCAACAAAATAATGTGGTTATTATCGTTATCAACAGTAATACGTTCACCAATCACCATGCGACTGTGTGCTTATCATGGATTAGTATCTATATGGTACCTATATGGTGGTTATAAAATGTTTGGCAGTGGAAAGTAAAATTCATATTAACAGGGCCAGCTGTTCGATGGTTGATTGCCGCGTCAATTTTAAATTACCGTGCTTTTTTAATCATATGTTTAGGAAACCCTCATAAAAATCTGCTACCCGAAGCGCTACTGCGGAGTCGCTAGTTTCGTGAAACGTACTGTAGTTTGCTAAGTAGTTGCTAATACAGTTTTTACTCTTTTGGTGTGTGTTGGGCACTTGGTCTATAGTTGGCAGTTGGACCAAGGTGGATATTCATATTAATATGTGTATGGTTAAAATCATCATAGAACCCAAAATTAATTAGTTAATCAGTTAAAATTAATTAGAAACCTATTGGCCAATATAAATATTTTATAACAAACTACTCGAAAGTAAAAATAATTTAAAACTTACATACCTACATTAATATCGACAGAATTGGATCAGTAAAGGTGAAAATAAATGTTTATAAATAGAAAACCTATAAATTTTCCGGTTGCCGAGTTGTCACGGCTTTTGGCGACAAGAACTTGAGTCAAGAAACCGTCTCGTAGAATATGAATGTATTAAAATTTTGAACAAATGTGATTTGGAAATTGGAATAAGAAACCTAATATAGTTAGAAACTAATACGAGTTGGAATAAATGTCTCTTCAGCAGTGCCGAATTAAGAAATTTAGCGCCTTTAGGCCTCGTATAAAATGGCGCCCTTATTATATTTATTGTCATTGTGAGTCTAAGTAAAATTACTGGTAGAAACGTTGTGCATAGGAAAAAAAAATAAACATCATTGTAAAACCAATACATTTCTCGCTCCGCTCAGAACCAAAAATCTCTTGTATTCTTTTTTTTAACATGGATTTTACATTGAAAATTGTATAAAAACAAACTACAAGTTATAAGTACAATAAAAATAAGTGTTTAATAACTAAGAATTATACTAATTACTTATAGTAATTGCATTTACATAAAATACTAATTTCAATTAATTTTTTTTTTTGATTTTCTGATCACGAATTCAGTTACTATATAAGAATAGTCCAAGCTTTGAAGAAGTTCATTTTCTATATTTAATAGAGATAATGCATTCAATCAATTTGATGTTGTAAACCTCGTATAATCATAAAACATGATTAGATAAAACGATGAAAATAATTATTTACGGTTTCTTATGTAATATAGGCCACTGGCAGCCGCAGACTTCAGACACCATCTATGAAGATATAACTCAACTAAAATCCAATGAAACTACGGGTGTTCATTGTTTGTTTTTAATGGAAGAAGAAAAATATTTGCGTTCCTTATAAAACTTGAAATTATGGCGGCCCTAGGCCCTGGCCTGCTGGCCTATTCGTTAATCCGCACGAACAAAATGTAAAATGTGGAACAAAAGCATTGTGGAAAAAGTATTTAGTGGAACAAAATGTGGTGATCCTAAAAGATCATGCTTTCTAGATTTGAAATCCTAATCATAATGATCTGATAACCTAAAAATGTAATATACATTATTGATAACTGGAAATGCCAAGTGGATACTGTATTACTGTATTACTATATGTCTGTGTATGATATTGATTTTACCCTATTCTGGTTATACTTTTATGTTGTACTTTAACATTTAAATTTAAGTATTTTGTTTATTGTATTAGTTTCATATATTTGTGTGAAAATGTCTCTGCTGGTAGAACTAGACGAATCCGAGTTATTGAACGCAAAGAATTCGTGGATTTCTAAGTCCTGCCTAAAAGACCCCAATCAAGTTTATAGCCAACCAGTGTAAGTATAATATTATTTAATTATTTTGTATCTACTTAAAAATTAATTTTTTATTTTTATATGAAAAACTGATGTACCTACCTATGTATGGTAAATTAAATTAAGTATAATTACTTCAGGTACTTCAGGTATCATCAATTATATTTATTTACAAATTCTAAATTGTTATTTAATATCTCATATGTAAGTAATTTCTTTATAATATGTGAATTGGTTTGAAAAATTAATCCAATACAATACAATATTTTACAAATACCTATTAAATTATTGTTTTTTTTTTTGTATTTACTTTTTAAATATATATGTATTGTTTTATATAGATTACCAGTTAAAGGCGAAAAGAACATTTTAATAACATCAGCACTTCCTTATGTGAATAACGTTCCACATCTTGGAAACATCATTGGTTGTGTATTATCTGCCGATGTTTTTGCAAGGTAATTTATTGAATATTATCACCAAGTGTTTATTATATAATTGTAATTAAGTATGTATTTAAAATTCCATTAAGTTAACCTATTTCAATATTTTTAAATTTATGTACATTATATTCACGTATTTTAATTTTTAAATATTTTCTTTATGTTCATAATATTCATAATATACACTTATGTGTATTAATTCATTTTTAAAACTGAGTTAGTATAAGCTATAATAAATAAATGTTAAAGCAAAAGGTGATTTAATATATTTACTGTATGCAACGATAAATTAAATCTCAAACAAAAAAAAAAAAACAATTTTGAGCGAAGTAGTATTAGTCATGTTTTTCCCCTTTTACTCAGGTAATCTAGAAATCAATACAAATTAAACAACAAAATTTTCTTTTTTCTCAATCATTAAGAAAATTAAAAGGAAACAAAAAAGGGTGTCTCCAATGGAACAATCTAAAGAAATATTACATCTGCTGCATTTAATGATAAAAACAAGATTTCAGGTAGAAAAGTTGTTTGAAGACTGAAAAATAAAATAAAAACTGATCAGAATCTCAAATAATTCATTAGATTAAATTTAAATTTATTGTTAAAAAAGATAAACTAATAAATTGGGTATTTTCATTTTATTCAATAGATATTGTCGACTGCGTGGCTGGAACACGCTTTACATTAGTGGAACTGATGAATATGGTACAGCAACTGAAACAAAAGCTTTAGAAGAAAAGTTAACACCACAACAGATCTGTGATAAATATTTTAAAACTCATAGTGAAATTTATAAATGGTTTAATATTAATTTTGATCATTTTGGTAGAACCACATCATCAAAACAAACTGAGTAAAACATAGTTATATAATTCTAGTACAATATAATTCAAATTAGGTTTCAACTTAATTAATTGTTTTATGTTTAATTTAGAATTGTTCAAGAAATATTTAAGGAAGTACATGAAAATGGCTACACTACTACTGCGTCTATGGAACAACTTTTATGTGAGAATTGTGATCGGTCTGTATTAATAATACATTTGTATAATTATATCCTCGTTCATAATTTTAATAGTATTTTTTACATTTCAGATTTTTAGCTGATCGATTTGTAGAAGGAACGTGTCCTCTGTGTAGTTATGAAGATGCAAGAGGTGATCAATGTGATGGTTGTGGCCATTTAATCAATGCTACGGAGCTTATAAAACCTAGGTGCAAAGTTTGTCAAAAATCACCTGTAATACGTAATTCTCAGCAACTCTTTTTGAATTTACCCAAAGTTGAAGCCAAGTTGAACAATTGGGCTGAAAAGTCTGGTGATGATTGGTCTTATAATGCTAAAGTGATAACTAAGTCTTGGATGAAAGATGGCTTGAAAGAAAGATGTATCACGAGGGACTTGAAATGGGGAATTCCTGTCCCACTCGAAGATTTCAAAACAAAAGTGTGTCTTTAAAATATAATAATATGTTCCCTATTTAATATAAATTTAATATGACGGAATTTGTAGGTGTTTTATGTTTGGTTTGATGCACCAATAGGTTATATGAGTATGAGTGCTGTTTACACATCAGAGTGGCGCAAGTGGTGGCAACCAGAAAATGATACTAAAATTACTTACTATCAGTTTATGGCAAAAGATAATGTACCTTTTCATTCTGTTATGTTTCCTGCATGTCTATTTGCTACTGAACGCAACTATACAATGGTTAACCATATAATGGCAACAGGTTTATATATTTTTAATGTTAAATTTAAGATAATTTACTAATGTTTGTGTATATTTTATTTATTAGAGTATTTAAATTATGAAGATGGTAAATTTTCTAAATCTCGTGGGATTGGTGTTTTTGGAAATGATGCTCAAGATACTGGATTGCCTGCTGATGTTTTTAGATTTTATTTACTGTTTGTCCGTCCAGAATCTCAAGACAGTTCTTTTAGCTGGGCTGATCTAGCCACTAAAAATAATTCCGAGTTATTGAACAATCTTGGTAACTTTTGCAATAGGTAAGTAAATTTCAATTTAGTATACATACACACACAAGTATTTTTACTTAAATATTAAAATTATAATTTAAATAATGTATGCAACTAATAATATTAATTTTAAAAAACCAAATTCAGGGCATTATCATTCTTAGAAAAGTTTTTTGATTGTATCATTCCTGAAATTCAATTAGAAAAAGATGAACTCACTTTATTAGCTCTAGTAACATCAGATCTTCAAGATTATACAAGTGCATTGGATAAAGCTAAACTTCGAGATGGTTTACGACTCGTACTTTCAATTTCTCGTTATGGTAATCAATACATGCAGTCACAAAAGCCGTGGGTTTTAATTAAAGGATCAAATGAAGAAAGGTAATAAAAGAAAAAAAATATTTAATTGTTTATATTATAATATTATTTACATTTTTTTTTTTCATGGTCCTTAGAATTAGAGCAGGTACCGTTATTGGGCTGAGTTGTAATTTGGTTTGTTTACTTGCTATTATGTTACAACCTTATATGCCAGAAACTGCAAATATAATTGGAAAACAGTTAAATGTTGATATTTCGACATTTTTATTAAATAACTTTGTGTCAACTTTCTTACCACCGAAACATAAAATTGGAAAAGTATAGTTACCATTATTTGTTAATCAATGGTTATTAATTATGTATTATAATTGATTTACTGTTTTATTATTAGCCTGCTCCAATATTTGAGAAAATTGATCAATCGGTTGTAAATCAATTGAAGAGTCGTTTTGCTGGTAAACAGAAAACACCAGAAAAAGAATTGACAGTTGTTGATGGCTTAGATCTTAAAGAAATTAAAAGTATAGAACAAATGGAAGAAGCTATTTCGAAACAAGTATTCATTAATTTGTTTTAAATATAGTTTAAGACAGTGGTGTCACAATCTTAAAATAATTTAGAAACAAATAATTTTTTTATAACCACTACCCAATCCAATTCAGCTATTTGTACAATACCTGTAGTTGTTATAATTGCTATATATACGTTTAGTAATGTGTCTCTCTTAATCATTCAAATTTCACAAAAAACCATTGTTCACTACGCTACTAGTTTAAAATTAAGATGATAATTTTTAAAAAAACAAAATGAATATTCCATTTTGATTTTTTATTAGTTTTTATTTGGTCTTTTGTGAATCATAATGTTTCAAAACGTATTTAACTAAATCAGAATTGTATTTTATTAGCATTGATTTATCATAGCATATATATATAAATTAAATTACTCAACTTATCCTCCCTCCCCAACTTACTCCAACCTACAACAGTGACACACTCATTAGCAGTATTAGTTTTATTTTTTAAAATAATTGTAGGGTGAATTAGTACGTTCATTGAAACAAGGAGGCGCCCAAAAAAGTGAATGGGAACCTTATGTCAAAGCATTATTGGAAATGAAGAAAAGTTTAGAACAAATGAAAATAATATCTACTCCAGTTTCTACAGATGACTTAGAAGAAGAAATTTCCAAACAAGTAAGTTAAATAAATACATTATTTATAATTTGGCCAAGTTTCAATTTAAAAAAAAAAAATAATCAATTTTGAAGACTAAAATTTTCTAATTTTTGTAACTTAATTTATGTCATATATTTTAATCTGATTTTAAATTTTGCATTCTGACAGTTAACTATAATAAATTAATAACAATACATTATTAATTATTTTAATTATTTTGTCATAATATGTTCATTGATTTATCAGAACTTATATAGTTATATATTATAATATTTTATTATAAACACTAAACAGGGCATTAAAGTACGAACATTAAAAGAAGCAAAAGTTGAAAAAAGTAAATTACAACCAGAAATTGATTTATTGCTACAATTAAAATCAAAACTTTCAATAGCCAAAGGTTTACCAGCTGATGACGAAAAAAAGAAGAAACAAAAACAAAGCAAAACATAATTCTAATATACTGTTATTTTAGAGTTTTGTTCCTTTTTGTTCTTATTATTTAATTATAATAATTTATAATAAACAAATAAACAATTACTTTAGCTCTGTTACTTAAAAATATATTTATTTTTAAAGCTATTTGAAAATATTACTATTAATGAATTTAAGTATTAAAATTGTTTCCTTTCCTTGAAATATAATTAATTTTATTGTGCTATTTGTGCTGTTTAGATTTTATTTTTTATAATATTTGACTATTTGAGTTACACATATCAAATATTAAAATTTTATTGACCAAGTAATTCTAGTACCACTTTATTAAATAACTTTAATTTTGAATTATCTATTTTATATTATAAAGATTAGTGTTATTACTATTTGTATGAAATATATAATAATATTATGTAGTTGAACAATTTAAAAACAAAAGAAAATTGCTTCATAGATTATTCGTATGTTCAGGTATTTGATCATTAAACAATTCAGTTAAAATGTATTTGTACGATGAATTTATTCAGTAGGTAGGTATAAAAAAAAACTAATAAATTAAGTATCTACTTTAATGTCATCTAACTACTGTAGATTGTTTTTAAATCTACTAACCAAGGATTATAAAGAATTTGTAGTGGCCACATAGACAAATATTGAGAGCTTGTTAGAACATCTTGTTAACAAAAGTACCCTACCCCACTCACCCTTTTAGATTTTAAGGAGAAATGTCTTGGTTTTAGTATGATGTGTGATGTTTTTTTTTATTTCAAATTTGTAGAATTTTCCTTGGAAATAGATTTAATATGTACCTATCAGTACATATTAAATCATTGCTATTACGGTTAAAAATAAAATAACATATTATTATGTAGCCATTACTCCAAATCATAAATAAGGTCGAAAATACATTTCTTTTAAAATATTATTTTGTACTTAAGATATATTTTAAATTCCATTTTCAATTTAATCGATGTTTATGAAATATTAAAAAATATGCTTTAGAAAATTATACGCTCGGATAAATCTTCGCTTTCTCCTCCCCCCCCTCTAAATCCGGCCCTGTTCAAAAGAACTTTTTATTATCAAACTTTGTGTAGTTGATGCATTGAGAAAGTAATTTTTTGATTTTCTTTAAAATTTTCTTAATGGGTTTATTTAGTTTAGATTTTGCTGATTCAGATTTTTCAAAAAAAAAAAAACACTTCTATCTGGTACCATTCGGTAGGATAAAAGTGGAAAAAAAGCTGGGAAGAAACTTCTTGACTTAGATATAATGGGTAGAACCCACGGCGTTAACAAAAGGTGTTGGAGGAAGTTATTTAGCTACACTTAATAGTAAATCAGTTGTATATAGGTTATAAACTCCTAAGTCATTACTTATAAATTGTAATAATATCGTGCCGAATAAACTGATCAACATATTTTAGGATATCTACATTTTTTTTTACGTGTGTAATCGTAAACGTACCTACCTAGTTAAATTAACTGTGGTAAATTGTTATCACGTAAAGTCAAATACACTGTCTTATAATGTATGGCATAGGATAATTCCATTTATATTAAAATTAAAACACAACAAATTGTAAAAAAAATTGTACTTTTATTAAACTATAAAAATTGTACGTAAAATCATAAATATTTAGGTAGATAATCCATACAAATAATTAATTTGAAGTTGGAATATTAAACAAAAAATAAAATTATAGTTAGGTGTAGTATATTTTGTAGGTTCGTATAACTTTAAAATAAAATTCGGACATGTATAAAATCATTAAATTAAAAGTAGATATGTACATCAGTTATAAAATTTAAAAGTTTAGTTGTGTAAAAAATATAAGTAATTTGTGCAGTAGATATTCAACTTCTAGAATGTTCTTGTAGTGTTCTTAATTCATTCAATTTATCAATAGTCATTATTAATTTTCGCCGTGGACCAAATAAACTGAAAAATAATAACAATCGAGCAAATTACCAACCAAAAGTATCTATAACAAACAATGCGAATTACAACAAAAACATTAAATATAGTAAATAAATTTTTTTAAAAAAAAATGTATGCATAAAAATAAAATAAATAAATGAATGAATGCGTCGCCTGGAGTATTATGATAAGTGTGTTATACGACCGGTTTCGAATTAAAAACACATCTGGTACATCGCAGTCAAAACGTAAAACGCAACTAGAATATATATTTATGTTTATTTACGAGTATTAACCATTTCAATAATTTTGTTTGTTTTTACTTTATTATTTTATCAAAAATATTAAAGTTCTTCTGTTTAACTAGACACGGTTTACAATCAAACGTATTCTACGCATTAGATACACTTTGGTAATAGGGGTGTTAAGCATAGCCTAAATAGCCCAAATATTTTGTTGGGTTGTTAACACCTCATAATATCGATTATGTATAGGTACTTAGTATTTACTTTTTAAGGAATTGGATACTTTGCGGGGTTTAGATGAGTATTTTTGTGATGGGGCTAAATGCCCGGGTGTAGTCAATTGGCACCAAAATTGATCCTAAACATATACAACGTTTGTAATCTGCACCAATATATTAACCGCGCTTGTAATTTGCACCAAAAAGTGAAGACGTGTGATTTGCACCATCTCAGGTTGAAAGAAATAGGAATTGTAATTTGCACCAAAATTCAAATCGATTGTTCTTTCGATAGTATCTACGTACAAGTTTCGATATCAGAGTGTAATATTAAATTGAGAAGCAAAATACTCAGTTTCGATTTTGAGTGGTTATTACGCTTACATATTTACACTGTTTTACGGTACGTCATACGTCAGTATTGACTTAAAAGCTACTTTATAACAATAATATATGACAGATATAGTACATAATATTATAATAATAATCATTAACTACAATTGACAATATATTTTAGGCAAAAATATAATTGAGTATTTTTGTACTACAAATGAATAGTCGGAAAGACTTGGATTAGTATTTGGTCGGAATAATAAATTATGCGATTACGTCGGATAATCGAACGTCAAATTTTGTTTAAATGTTTACCAGATAAGATGGCGAGTAGTCAGGAATCCCGAAAATAAAATATACATATTTTATCATTTTAATTGAAAAAATGAAATAATAAAAAAATTTATGAAAGTTTGAAAATATCAAGCAAATAATGTAATAATAATGTTTTATAAAACGAATGTTTATTAATAAATTCATTATTTAGAAATAGAATAATATTGTAAAGATAAGCTTATCTTAAAGAAAACAATAATTTTTGGATTTTTAAAAATAGTAGTATAGGTCAGCTAAAAGTGACTATACCACTGTGAGCCAATCTAATAGGCACTTGACAATTGAATACTCGATAATCGACTACACATATACTCATTTTGGTGCAAATTACAAACTCCCAAATGCCCAAGTCCCTCAAGCTCTCCTCTGAGGACAGGAGGTGTTAGGTTACTGCGGATTGGACGTACAGCCTATTTCAGAATTAGATACTTATATTAAAATTGATATAAAATAATTATAAGCAATGTTAAATTTTAAAATCGAAAAGAGATTCGCGAATCCCTATTAGGGTTTCCTTAACTTTTTATGCAAATTGTACCTATTTACATGATACTCGTATTAGGTAGGTAAATAGGTACCTACCTAAATTAATACTGTTATACGTTTTTGTATACCTACCTGGTTTAAATGTTGGTACGTTTATTGTAATAATTTGAAGTAATAGTTTAAAACAATTTAAACTGTAAAAATCGACCATAGAAATCAGCAAAGCCAATCATATTTTTTTAAAGCATCATAAAAATCATAAAAATAAAATACTATATGGATTCTAATCATTTTCTACAGTTTAAAATTGAAAAAAATTACCATAAGCGTAGGCATAGCGGTCGTCGATTGATTGTTGGATTGTGGACGGCTACATCAAGCCGATTATCCGAAAATGCGAATTTCGGATTTCAAACCGAAAATTCCGAAAATTCTAATTTTAAATTTCAAAAGTCGATTTTTTTTTTTTTTAATCTATTATATATATTTTTGTACACATTCCTCGCTTCGTAATCTAAAATATGTGTTAAATGATTTTATAAGCAAAATATGTTTACAGCATATTTGCCAGCGGTCACCTTTATTTTATCTTATTTATTTAATAATTTCACGTAGTGTGATTATAATGAATTATTATCAGATAATTCATATAATATTAATTTATGATTTTGATTAGTTTTTAAATTGAATAAAAAAAAAATGCCTAAACGAATCCAAAATCAAATTTTTAAAATCTAAAACTCGGATTTTAAATAAATTTTCGATTTCGAATTCCGAAAATCCGGACTTTCCCAATCACTGCTACAAGCCACACAATAGGGTGTTACCGAGAAACCGACTCAACGGCCATCCGGCCACAATTCGATGGCCGACGCCTCCGGATATTTACAAATTGTTTTTTTTTTCGAATGTAAACCGTCGAAATCCATTTTATTTTTGTTTATTTGTAATATTTAATGTTTAAGATTTAGACAAATAACTTTGATCAGTTTTATGATTTGAATCGTGATTTTGTGGTAGGTTTCCGTATATACCCCGTCTGAATATTATTATAAATTATAATATATATTTACATAACATACTAACTTTATTCCGATATTTTTCAAATCTTGTTCGGATAATTTCAAAAAATCATCATATCGAATATTTTGTTTGTCGAATATAGGCCAGTATTTTTCTAACGACAACTGTTTTAGTAGTTTTTCCATATGGTAATCTGTATTAGGTACACATAATTAAATTATATTAAAAGTAAATTAAAAAACGCTGAAACGCTGTGTACATAATTAAAAATCACATAATAGGTATATGTGGGTGAATGCAAAAATTAAATATACTTGGGTGATCATCGTTTTGTTGCCGGTCAGTTGGGATGGCCGTTTCGTATTTATTTTTCCATTCATTCAGATTGCCATCTTCTTGTCTATTACCATATTCGGACAGTATTTTCATTATTCTTATAAATCCTTTGGCAATAGCCGTCATAGTCATAGTCTTGCCGAATTTATCACTATAAAAATATAAATCGTATGCGAAATCATTGCCATAAAATTCATATAGATATTTTAGTGTTACCTATACGGTTTCATTATGTTTTTTTTTATATTTTCGATGCTCATAAAAAAAAAAAAAAAAAAATTGTATAATTTATCTATCGACGGGTATATATGTATAGGTATATAGGTATTATATATTATACAGTGTCCCACGAAGACATTATACCCATTGTAAGATCTCCGGGGATAATAAAGATAATCGATTTCTACAAAGGACTACAAGTGGTATTTATATTTCAATACATTTTTATGTTTTCGTAGAAAATCTTAAAAAAATAAATTTTTATTTCATTAATTTTGAAAAAATTAAAGATGGCCATTTTATGTTTCATTGTATTTTCATGTTGGCGATAAAATAAATTAATTCCGCTCATCTTTAAAACATTTTAAAACAATGTAATTTGTCCATTTAACAAATTAATACATAATAATTATAATAATATTGTTAATGCTCGATCTTTATATTGATTTTATAACTCGCAGAGTGAGTATATCGATATAGTACGAATTCGTTTCGAGGTTCGATAAAACAAGAATTAATACGTATGCCTATAGTTTTTGAATATTATTTTTTATTATTATATATTATATTTTTGAATAAATATTCTACGTTCGAAACAACTGATACCATAATTTCCAAGCGGGGAGAATGAACTTCTACTCTATATACCTGTAACCAATGATAAACTATTGATAACGAAGATGGATTTGGAACGAAGTTTGGTTACCACATGTTTTGAAAGGCCGTAATATTTACGATTTTCGTCAAAGTTTGAATTTAAAACATTTATAAGAAAAAAAAAATACTACATTACACTAATTTTTTTTTTCAACCACTAAGTATGACTTATAATGATCCTCTTGTCAAATTTTCAAGCATTTCTGTTTAGTCTAACAATTTTTTCTAGAGTCTATTAAAAGCTAAATAATGACTCAAATATTTTAAAAATTTTACCACGTTTAGAAATAGCAAATATAATTTATCTGTCAAATTTTCTAGTCTACGAGTAACTGAATTATATTAAAAAAACAAAATTTAAAATAAAAGAATTGTTTTTGTAGATTTTCTCGTCCTTTTTACGTATTTTTTGGTTTTGTACAATTATTAAAAAAACTACAAAGAAAATCAAAAAACCGACTTTCTTATTCACAAACTATACCAAAAATTTAATTAAAAGGTCTTTTGTTTTTTTTTATTGGAGCAATATTTTATGTAGAAATATAAATCGTAAAAAATTAAAATAAAGGAGTCTTAGTGCCGTAAACTGATCAGTTTTAATTTTTAGTCATTTTCCGGTTTTATCAATTATTACAAAAACTACAAGAAAAATCAAAAACGAATTATTATACTAGATTCATGGACTAGATTTAAAACGCAAAAAAAAAGGTCTCTTGTCGTTTTCCTATTGGAGCAATATTTATGGTACAAAACATTAGCCGTAAAAATGTTAAATATCTAATAAAATCGTTGTGTCGTAATTTGAAAAAAAAAAAACATATTTTTCGTCCTTTTTTGGTTTTTTCCAATTATAAGTTAGTGGCTATACATTATAAGTAGGCCTGGGTTTTCGATGCATTTTGCATTTTTTTTCTAAAGGTTGCTGTGCGATGCTCGTCTGGTCACAAATCTATTTACATCATGTGTTTTTAAATGAGAACAAAAGAAGTTTATTTTGAATTTTTAGCAATATTTAGTTTTTAGGTTATTCTCTTAATTTTTTAGGACATTTTTAGAATTTTTGGATATAAAATATGAATTTTAAATTTTATTTTAAGATTTTTATTCACAGACAAGGATTTTTGTATAAATTTAACAAACCGTAAAGTGGTACTCGTAATCCCTGTTATATTATTGGCGGACAGTAGTTGGACTTAGTAGTCTTGGTAGTTGGTATATCTATAATATATAAATACACAGTTATCTATACAAAATATTATGCCCAAGTGATAACTGATAAGTCCACCGTGTAACAAAATAATAAATACAAATATCACGAACACGATTTATCAGTTAAAAAAATCTAAAATTCACTTGTCATTTTGTAGAATATATTATATTTCATGTACATTTATAGTAGGTATACTGTATAGATTGTATAAATATATATATGATTAAAAATCCATTTCATACGCTTAAAGTCTACTTATTATAATCTCTTTTTAGTTTTTATTATGAATATATTTTATAATTCCTGTGAGAGATGTTTTCGGCTATAGAGCAGGTTTACCTACCTGTCACTATAGGTTTATCATACATTAATATATTATTAGGAATATATAGATTCTAGTGCCTCGTTCTCTTACTGGCTTTACTGGTCTATGCATATTATGTTAATAGTATGGCTGAAATAAAATTGTCTATTACACAACTTGTCATTTATTTAAGGATTTAGATTAGAAAAAGAAAAAATGTAGGTGGTACTTATCTATAGGTATCTATAGTTAATCAGAACTTTGAAAATAAATTATTGAATTATATTTTGCCTAAACCCAATATTATTTATTAATTTATTTACCTATATCAGTAAAAACTAAAATATAGGTACCTAGTTCGATTGATATACGATAAATGTCATACATCTAATAAAATAAACTATAATAAATCGATATTATAAAAATATATTAGATTTTTGTGCATTTAATAAATAATATTTTAGTGTCAAGTACAAGTATGGGTATATATTTTTTCACTATACACTAGAAATGTGCTTATATTGATGGTTCAACCGTTATATGGGTATATCCGCATCAGATATTAAGTTTTTGAAAAAATCACGCCTAAGCATTACAAGTAGAAAAATAACCCTTTGGTGTAATATTTTATTTGTTCTTTGGTAAATGGTAAAATTATTATACACTAACATTACGTTACAATTTGCTTGCTTTTCAATAAAATACTCCAAAATGTTTTCTTGATTGTATAGTACCGCATAAAACATCGCTGTTCTACCTAGTTTGTCGGCCATCTCCAAAACTGTAGTCTAAAAATAAATTCAAACATATTATTATTCGTAAAATATTTGAATTTGAATTTTAAAAACCTATAGTAATGTTTTATTTGTTAAACCACAAAACGAGTTAGCGTGTATATTACTGGTACCTATATTATTTTATTATGGCTATACAAAGACAACATGCCATCATTCCGTCTATATTCACTCATTATACATAGTTTGGAGTCATTATGATGCTGTATGAAAATACTTTTGGATGCAATTATACATCGGTCTGCGGCGTCTGTTCAATTATCGATGGCAAAAATGTGACTGAGGGTAAATTTGTCTCTGGGTATCGCTGCAGCGTTTGTGTGTATTATATGTCTAGCTCAAACATACTACATACCAATGTGAAAAAAAAAAAAATCAGCTCAATTGTTGAATCATTAGAAGTTGTAACCTGTTAATCCCCACTCCGTGGCTTGGAAAAATATATGAAATCAATACTACACTGGTTCCTGGAGATGTCCATTAGACGGCAGTTATACACGTCGAATCGTCTAATGAATATATAGACGTTAGTCACGAAAGAAAAATATCATGAGAGTAGGTGTAAAAAAGATTATGGATAAGTTTATATGCGGAGTGGGGAAAATAGTTTCACGAATACATTATATTGTGTGGCAGAGGCCTCAACTATGATGCGGGACAAGGGTCTCGCTAAAAAATTAATGTAAATATACGCAAAAGAATGCAGATACGAACAAGATAATATATGGCTTATAATAATATAATGCATTATATTATTATAGTATTATGAGACCCGTGGGTCTTAGAAGAAGTTGAAGTGTAACTTGACAATGGTAAGACTGACAAAACGCAATAGGCATGCGAGTTATATAGTGTTAAACGTGAAAGCGAACGGAGATCGTAATTTGAATGCATTTTTCATCTTATGGGTATACGCATAATCAATGTATCAAATCATTTAAATAGAACGACACCTTAAAGTAATACAAAATACACGCACTGCAGTACCAACGCACTATAATAATTTGTGAATAAATAAATAAATCTTAAATATTATTATAACTTTCATTTTGTTACACGATTTACAATAATCTATTGTAAATTACATTACAGTTTTAATGTTATACAACTATAGGTACTCGTTTAACAAATTGGAAAAAATTAGTCGGGAATGCCTGTAAAACAAATTGTTTTTTTTTTTTTTAACTTTATAATTTAACACGATCTTAGTTTAATAAGGGATTAATAACGCAATGACGAAAAATATTTTTCATTTACAAAAAATTGAATATACTTTATTCTTATAAAGAATGTTCAATTCTTTAGAGGCCAGTGACGTAAACACAGGGGGTCTAGATGTCCAATCCCACTCCTTGGCTTTTTTTTCTAGTACCAGTTATATTGTTTTGACGAAAATTGAATGATTACTTTTTTTTACATTGTTTACAACAATCTTAGATCATAATTTATGGTCAAAGACAACAACAATCGTATGAATAAATTAAATAGATAATAGTTTATAAAAGTGTATTGATAAATCCGGAATACAGAGTCAGATATGACTAATCTAATTTGATTAGTTCTGTATAGGACCAAGGAAATTACGTAGTTTTATTTTTATAATGTGTTTGTCCATACTTTGCCGTTTTTGTGTGCTGTACTAAAATAGCTTACATAATACACAATACACATACAAAATATAAATATGTGTAATAAAAAACTCGTATCTGATGAAATGATTTATACTGTTTTTATTTTTTTAATTTCGGCAGCTCACTAAGGGATTATTTTAACTCAAATGTTTACGATTTTTGTTAATATTATTTTTATCAATAATTATCATTTTCCGGAAGACTTTCCGATGATATATTTTGGAAGTTAATAAAATAATAGCTTTCGGAACAGAAATTAAATATACTAACCTGTAAGTACCCGCAAGATTAGGTTTGTGTAATTTTTAATTTTTATCGGTCGGTTTCATCAGGGTCGGAACTAGGGCTGGCGAGAGGAGATAATTTGTCGGTAATATTTAGGAAAGATCTCTTTTTTTTATTTTTCACAGATAAAATTTAATCAATTTTAATTAGTTAGATTATTTTTTAATTGGCCGTAAAGAACTATACCTATACAGGATCAATAATATCTATAATACTTAAATGTGCCTGCTGTTTAAAATAAACTGGTAACGAAAAAAAACCATGCAATTAATACTATCTAATTATTATAAATTAATCGATATAATATATATATATATATTTAATCTAATCGAAAAAAACATTAGAATATTAATATCTTATTATTTTGACGTGTTGTCCTAAATACCTTCCTACCTACCTATATATAGCCATTTGCAGCATAGTTGATTTTTTTTTTTTTCTATTAATAATACTGTATAATATATTGTACTAAGGTCCAGATATAGGCACTAAAAAGTAAAAGCTACAGTATACTGCATTATCAAACATTACGGTTTTCTTTTGTCTATCGGTTGTATGGGTTTCATTTATGTGTATATATATATATATACAATAACATATAATACAGTATGGGTATTCATCCTACATGTGTCTTAACGTAGTACGGGGTATACGTGTATAATACACCTACACGGAGATTTATCTCGTACATTAGTTACGAAATGTACTAAACAAAACGTTAACACGTACTGCGGGTTCTCCATAAACTGTCAGTCGATCATCAGTGGAATTTTATAAATAAATAAGTAGGTATTTTTTTTTTTCTCAGTTCCGTTTTATTTGATCATAAATAGATTATAATATTACTGAATTGAGTTAAAAAAAAAGGGTCGATTCAAATTAAATTTCAAATATTATATTCAATTAATTGTTAATGTTGTTACCAAAAAAAAAAAAAGCTAATTTATACTGCTGACAGTTGATGGAAGGCAGGATACATCTTGTTATTTAACTTATATCTGTACAAAACGATAAATTACTGCTAACGAAATACGATTCTAAGCGAAGTTTGGTTATACATGGTTTGAAATTTCATAATTTTTACGGTTTTCGTTAAAATTTGAATTTTTAAATGCACATTAAAAAAAAAAAAAAATCAACTACATTAGGTTCTACTTTTTTTTTGACCATTATAAAATAAAACTTTAATGAACTCCGTGTTAAATGTTCAAAAGCGTTTCTGTTCGCCAAAACACTTATGTCCACATAAAACGAAATAAAAACAGAAAAACTTCAAAATGTTAAATGCCTAAAAAACAACTCAAAAATGACCAGAATGTTTTGAACATTCTTGAACTAGGTTTATAAAAGGCTAATATAAGTATTTTTTCAAAATTTCAAGTTTCTACGATTCTTATTAACCATTATTACGTGTATTTTCCCGTTTATCTAACATTTTTTCCCGACTGTTTTGCTCAATTATCAAGAAAATCGAAAGAAAAATTAAAAATAACACGCCCGACGCACCAATATGAACTAAAAATTAGTTTTCACAAAATACGCCGCCACATCTGAAAATCAAAGCATGAATTGTTGGGAAAATTGTTTAGACAGAAAAAAAAAATAATCATCGGTTATCACGGTAAAACTAATACATTTACAATTTTCGTGTATTATATTAGGTACGTAATAAAAACGATTCGCGTAATATTATAATCTACGTGTTTAAATAATATTATCTACAAAATATTAAGTACTTAAATATGCACTACTATATTATACGCAATTTAAATTAAACCCACATAATTATTCACTGAAAATATATAACGTTTAATTGATAGTTCTTCATAAATTATTCACTGTACCTATACCTAATCTTTATAATTTCGTGTATATTTCTTATTATAAAAAAGGCATTAAGGTTTTTATTTTATTTTTTTTTAAATGCAATTTTAATCAATCGATCAAAAGATAACCAAATAAACATCTTGGGTTTTTAAAAACTACCTTGAGTCAACACAACATAACCTCCGGTGAACACCGGGGGGTCACAAATAAATATGACTTGTATAGCCGAGACGCACGATACAAATTATCATATTATTTTTCATTAGTTTAAAATTATAGTGAATAAAATCGGTTATGCATTTTTTGTTGCCTATGTGTTTGATATCAGGGTAGCTATGATAATTTATATTAATAACCGAGTGAAGTACGTCTTCGTTTTAGGATTTTTACGAGTGTCAACATTATACATATATTCTCTTATTGTTACAAAAAACAAACAATCAAACGGAAAATTTATATATAAAGAGGGGTAAAAAGCAAACGTAAACTTTTTCAACGCTCATATAAAAATTTAGAATTTAATTGAACATCGTCATTTAAATTTAATGATTTATTTAAATCATTTTTTTAATTGCAAAATATTCAAATATTGGCTCTATTCAGGCGATTTTCCACACAGCGAAACATTAGCGAAACGTTCTGGTGTTCATTTTTCTTTTAAATTTTTATTTTATTCAAATCCATTACTTCATCTATTTCATAAAAAATGAAAATGGTTTTTTATTTTTATTTTCAACGTATCTAAGAAAATATTATTGGTATTATTATTGTTTTTTTTATTTTTTTTTTTATAGTGATTTAATTTATATAATATTTCGAATATATTTAAATTTTATAATACCTACTTGTTGTACCCGCACGGCCCCGCCCGTACAAAATTATTGCCCGTGGTTGTAACACCTTACCCTCCACCTTTCTTCTATCCGCTACGTTTTTTTCCATCTACCGGGATGACTTATCTGTTTGTTCGTCAACTAGTTTAGTTATACACAATATAGTAATTTTTAATTTAATTTAAATATAATTTTTAAGTGTTTGTTATCTTATCTTTTTTGTACAATCTATCTCTATATTTTACTGGAAAATTTGATTTTAGTAGTCTAGTGACAGGACTTTAATGCTCTTTATTTATATATTCTCAAAGTATATAAAATAGCTGTTTTATACTCAACTCGAATAGGTGATGGAAACCAGAAATATACAAATGATAGTCGATTTTCGTATTCTAAAAATCAAAAATTAAGTTATGATTAAATTTCGTGACAAAAAGTGTAGCCTTTGTAGTCTTATTCACTAGTCAGGATGTAAGTTATCTTATTTCCACATTTTACCAATTTTAGCCGTGACCCGTAAAAAAGAATTAACAAAATACAGCCAGTGACTTTTTCGCGTTTGTAACTAGTGAATGATTAGGTTAGGTTACGATAAATAGCATTTATGCTATTAAATGCATTTAAATGCTATTTATCGTGTGAATTATTATTCACATATTAGGCATCCTTCGTTACATCAAAAAAATGTAAATCATACTAGAAATGCCATTATTGGTGGCAATATGTGGGCTCAAAATGTATTACATAATATACTTTTCTTTAAAAAAGTATACAAGGATTTAATGACTTTTATAAATATACATATATATATATTTTTTTTATCTCACTTATTGACCTTCCCACTTGGACACCGACTATATAATATACACTCGTACCTACTCGTTCTATAGATATAGTTGAGTTTTGTTTTATTTTTTATATCTACAAACGTGCTAAATATAATTATAGAGCCTGAATGAAATATCTTATTGATAGCCGGAGTCGTATTCTGCAGATTTCTGGCTCAAATGTCATTACAATAAAATATTCCACTACATAAATTATTACGCGAATAAAATACAACGAAGCTATACATATATATGTATACATTACACATTATATGAAGTTCGTGCATGAATGAGGTCCGTTGTTGTTAGCGGAACAAATAATACCATTTTATAATTTATTCGTGTGGTTGCATTCTTAACCGGGCTATTTTAAAGAAATATGACTTAAACAGTTAAACACTCCATTACCTTTCCGTACCTATGTAAACCATAATTTTATATAATAATATAAATATCCGTGTTATAATTGTGCGTAATGTTGCGAAATCGTTTTTTTTTTTAAGCTCTACCTTTAAAACTTAAATGTTACGGTTGGTAAGTGTACACCGATCTCGATAAATTAATAAATACGCTTATTAACACTATCATTTTTAATATTAGTTAAAATGATTAATATGATTCTCGCGTATATATATAAAATAATATGTAGGTATTAGTGAAAATATAAAAGAATTCATGTTGTATTTTAGTTTTTCACATTAAAATGTCATTATTTTCGCGTTGAAAATTAAATCTATCAAGTAATATAAATACTTATACGAAGATCACATTGCAGGATGAGCATGTTAAGTTTTTTTATTTCCATGGACGTATACCTATTTAAGAATTTAAATGTTTTATGTCAAAAATAATCGGTTTAAAATTAAAATACATCAAATACAATTAGGTACTAATATTATTAGTTTAAATTGCCTTATTATACCTATATGTTCGAGATGACATTATTTCCGAGACGGAATACTATTGTAATTAAATAAATGGATAAATAATTTATACTGGCCGTCATTTATGAAAAAATCGAAAACGATTTTAATACCGATAATGCAAAATGGTTAAAGTAAAAGGAAAATCAATAATCCAATATTATTGTACTTATTTGTTTGACAACAAACGTTGTTTTATTATATTATTGAATTGTAATTGTAAAAAATATAAAAATATTATCTACTTCTACGTGAATAACATTTATCACAACATATAAATATAAATTTAATAAATAAATAGATTTAATTTAAATAAGGCACTACAAAAATTTAAACTAAAAATTGAAGACATTTGTAATCGATTTATAATAATATTTAAACGAAGAATAGATGTATAAATTAAAGTCTGTTAATTATAATTGTTTGGTAGGTTACATTAATATAATACTTTAAAACATGAAGTATGACTTAATACATAAAATGATAACATGGGTAATATTGTAAAATTTGACATGTTAGCTATTAAAACTTCACAATATACCTCGGGAACGGAAACTATATTATATTTTGGGTATAGCAAGAAATGTATTAGTTAAATTACCATGTGTTGTTTTTTTTTTTTTTTTGAATAGGTTAACACAAGTTTCCTAATGAAAATCTTTCTTTAATTTTGATTTTTCAGTAAAACATATTTTATAAAAGAAAATGTTGTCTAGTTGGTGCATGAAGTAGTGATTTTATGATTTTTCTTGTAGGTAGTTTACTTGCTGTTAGTTTTCTGTAATTCGATTAAAAATAATAGTAGAGACTTGATATTTTCACAAAATATTTATCATTAGCCTTTTATCAAATTTTCAAAACATTTAGGCGATTTGGTTCAGCCAAAATATTAGACAATTTAACACGATATTAGTCATTAGTTGGACTTAGTCAAAAAAGTTTTTAGTTAAAATTTTAATGATCTTCTTAAAAATCAAGGTATTTCAAAATACGTTTAATTGAACTCAGCTCAGAATCGTTATTCGTTAGCAATGATTTAGCGTTGCGTACTAGCGTATAGATATAAATTAAATTATATTCTATGTATCCTACCATTTCAATTTCCCACTTACAACAGTATCACACCCGTCCGTAATATCAGCTCTGTTATTATTTAAAACCGTGTAATCTATTTTCATGCCGTCTAAGAAAATATAAATGCCATGTTCATATTGTTCAAAATGTATACATTTTTTAATGCATAGGTGTGTACTTAAATCCAAGATTATGAATGACCAGTAAATTAGTTTTTGTTATCGAATTTTAAATTTTTTAAGTTTAACAAGTTATAAGCAAATTATAAAATTTTATTCTTTTTAAATATAATACATAATATCATAAATTAATAAACAGTTTATCCTTAACATTTTTTTTTTTTACTCACATGAAATGTTTTCTTAACTATAGATGTGTTACCGGACATAGTAGCGATCATTAGCGGTGTTTGCTTATCATTGTTGATCGCGAATAATGTTGTTGGATCTATATTTATTATGCGGTCAACTAGATTTTCATGTCCATAATAGCAAGCGTACATCAGACCAGTCCATCCTTTTTTATTCGCTTTGTTTAAATTTGTGCTAAAAAAATAAATACTTTGAATAGATAACTAAAATAAATTATTAAATTACTTGCATTATGTCATTAGGATAATATTAGGTAATTATTATTTCAGAACAATTATCAATTTTCTATGATTTTATTACGTAAAAAAAAATAATTTTGTATAATATGTACTTGAGTACACACAAATATAATATAGTATTCTTTTATAAAAATATTTTTAAAGACAATTTTGAAGTATTAGGAAAAATATGTTCTGTTCAAACTTCGAGTACCTATATATTTTAAATGTTTTAAATACAAAGCGTATTATTTCATATACTATGATAATTTATAATTAATTCAGAGTGTAGCCCACAAATTAGAAAAGTACAAAAATGTCTAGTTGTAAACGCTATGGGAGTGTTTTATGTTTAAGGAGGGATGGCTTTAGGCTTGGCGGTAGTATATAATTTGTTGTCATAACATTTTTTCGAATATCCATCGCGTATACATGTAACATGTATTAAATTACTATTATTTGAATTAACTGTAACAATTATGTTGTCATTCAAGAAAAAGTGCTACAGAAAAACTCAATAAACTATAATTATATTTATATTTTTTTTTATCTAACAGAATCTACCCACGTACTTGAGATACATAAAAAAGAACACTGAATAAAAATTATTGTATTATAATAGCAACACATATTAATCGAAGTACGCATAATAGTATATAATATGTCAAAATGTCTTCAAATTTATAGACTACATATTTTCAGCACCTGCAAGTTGTAGATATTTTATAATTTAAATTATATATTTACATTTAATTGTTATACTATTTTGCAATAAATTTAATTGCCGAAGTAAATTATTTTACCAAAGTAAAAATAAATACCTATAACCTATCATTTTAACATTAAAATAGAGAAAAAAGGGACAGTTAAATTAATATCTGTACGCAACGATAAATCATATTGCTAACGAAAATCGATTCTGAGCGAAGTTCGGTTTAACATGTTTTGAAAAACTGATTTCATCAATTGAATAAATTGATTGAATAAATATTATAAACTTGTAACTAAAAATTAAATTTCAATTCTCCATATTTTTTAATCCAAAAAAGTTATGTCTACATAAATCGGAAAGTAGTATGAATGCTGTAATTCAAGTCAAAATTTTATTCAAAATCACATTACGATCAATTTAATTTTTTTTTACACCTATAAGTATAAGTATAGTTGAAGAACTTTGTATTAAATTTTCAAGCATTTTGAGAAAAAAAAATATTATACAATTAACAACTAAAAAACTCAATAATTTTAAATATACATTAAGATTATCTTTAACCGAATTACACGGAAAAAATAAAATTTAAAATTATAAAAATCCTTATAGATTATTGCGTTTTTTACTCGTATAAGAAAATCAAAAATACATTTCTCAATATACCAATTGGATAAATTTTTCTACAAGGAATAAAAGTTGTATCTAGACACAAAAAAATATTTTAAAAAATGCATAATAGTATAACTATAACATAGTAAAACTAATACATTCCTTTGATAGGCTCAGACTGTATACAAAATAAGTAAATAAGTAAATAAGAAAATAAGTAGTAGGTAATCCAATAATTGTTAATTACTTTATAATAATTATTTTAAACTTAAATGGTTTATTAGTTTATTAAAACAACAATTCCTATAGAAACTTATTACAATTAAAATTTAAACATTCGCTCGTTTAGGTTTTAGTTTTTTGTTCAAGTTTTTAATTTCTTAATATATATATGAATAAATAATGGCAGGTACCTACTTAGGAAATTGGAAAACTTACTAAGAATGTAATTTTTTGAAATTCCTGTACTATTTCTGAATTTTTTTATTCATCTAGAAGTTATCGTACAATATTTTTTGAATAAGTATCTAATGTTCATTTCTCTAAAAAGTATTTATAAAAAAAAAATAAAATAAAACTTATTAATATAGCATTATTGGTATAGGTACATAATTTGTAAAACTAATAGCGATCTTTAGCTCTGTTTACAATTGACGTAATGATAAATACGAGTAATTTCTTTACCATTTTTTAGAAGTTTAATTAAATTATCTAAAATACAATATTATCAAAACGTAATGATAACACCAGTTATAATGAAAAATAGTTAAAATAGAATTGAAAAATTAGATTACGTTCTATTGAATATATTCTATTATATATGGTTTTGAAAAGTTGTAATGAAGGTATTTAATGACCATAGATATAACGCCTCTAGGCTTCCAAGAAAAAAAATCGGTAAATCAATGGTCATGTTTGGCAATGCCTCGTGGCGACAATACCAAATGCAGTTTATTATTTTAGAGAAGAATTTTTTTTTTTTTCCCTTAGTAAATGTTTCTCTTTCAAATATTTTAGTTAGGTACAGGTACAGGTTAAGCAAAAAAAAATAGGTTGTTAATACTACGAATTCAAAATGAAAATTAGAACATATCACGATGTATACTTTCAATATAATTAGTCGCGGTTATAATTGAAGTTCAATGGGTTGCCAAATTGTTTAAAATGTCAACATTCCCTTTGAAAAAAACAGAAAAATGTACGATAACTATAACGATGACGATTTCATTATTTACGAATTTTTTTTTTTTTTTCGTAATTCCATTAAAAATAGAGACCTACAATTTTCACAGAATACTTATACTATCATTTATCATTAATCATTTCTAGACACACTAAAATGTTCCAAGCGTTCTGATGATTTTTGAGTAATTTATAAGCATTTACTATTTTTGAGTTTAATTTAGTTTTTATTTGGTTTAGTGTAGATTAAATTGTTTGGCCGAACAGAGGTGCTTAAAAATTTAATACTTAGTTCATTATAAAATATAAGTTGTACTAAGTGATAGTAAAAAAAAAAAAAAAGTTGTTCGTAATTTAGCAGTTTTTTATAAGCGTTTTAAGATCAAACCAAACTTTGTTTAGAATCGTTAGAAATGGTTTATCGTTGCATACAGATATAAATTTAATAAATCTATGTATCCTATCTTCCCAACTTCCATTCTAAAACAATGGTACACTCGTCAGCATTATCGGCTATTTTTTTCTACTTAAAATAAATAAATAAATAATATATTTTATTTAAATCGTATACAACTTATTAAATAATAATATTATTATTTTAGTGTAATTAATAGTTGAAATATATTCAATATCATATTAATATACAATATAATAATATTAATATCAATGTTCATACCTATATTCATGTTTTTATAATTGTATAAAGGTAAAAAAATAAAAACAAAATTGCATGTAAGCCATAGCCCAAGATGGAAGGGATGGTCATCCTATTACCCCTCCCCCCATTAAATAGTCTATAGTCTATACCCTCAGCTTGTTCCGGCCGGCTTACTAATAATATTATTCTAATATTGTTTTAAATTTATTTTTACTCCCTCTAGATATTGGTAAAAGATCAGCGTTCTGTCTAGCTTAGTTCATAGGTATCTCCTTCTATATTAACTCTCTGAGAAACTAAATTGAGTTTTCTGTTTGTTTCTCTGTTATTTAAGTGAAACACACCGAAAGTAGTTTTGTTATGGTTGAGTATTAGATACCACGTTTAAAAGTATTTTTGAACACTGGATAGATTTTCGTTCAGTATCTCCTCCAGTTATTCAAAAGTTTCAGCCTGAGCTATTAATCTCACTGCATCGTCTCACTGCATTCAAAAATTTACCTGATGTTGTGTTCATTAAAAAACACTGAGGAGAGTACGACAGATCATTGAGGAAGTCCGTTTTGAAGATACTTGAACCTACTCTCATTCTCGTTTGGATGTACTATGATTTACCGGTCAGAGAGTATATTGACGATAAGTCGTATAGATGTTTTACATTTTAATATTTTAGCTAATTTTAAGAGTAGGCTACGTTTCTAAACCTTGTCATACGCGTAGGTTAGGTCAAGAAAAACCACCCCAGATTTCATTTTATTCGGAAAACTTTTCTCTATATGTGTAACCATTGACAAAACTTGCTCATAGCAGTTTCTTCCCCGTCTTAAAAATTTTCCTGAAAACTAGATTTTTATCTAGGCATAAATGGTTTGTCGATGATTGGTATTGAAATTCCAACGTTTACGACGATAGGTACTGGCTTCTTGAAAAAAGTACTAGGATTTCTCGGCTAACGCTTAGTGGTGGGCCTTAAAATTCTAATTTAAAACTTTATATAAGTTAATAAGTAAAAATATGTTTCGTTTATAAATTTTGGGTAAACTATATAAATTATATAATATTTGTATCAATAAAATTTTCAACTATGGTTTTTAATAAAAAATATAATATTTAGATCGTTAACTTCGTTTTAATAATTATCGGAGTTAAAATATTATAATTTAATTTACCTATCAAAATGTACGCCTATATTAATATCATAATATCTATACACAGATCATTCCAACTCGTAAACTTCGGTTAAACTATTTTTATCGATAACATATTATACATATTATGGTTAGAACCTGAAGATTTCTGAATTATGCGTTTAATGTGAACATGTTATTATATATTATTTTAGCTGCAAGATCTAATCTCTACACAACACTAATCGTTATGACGTTATAAACATTATTAAATTATGATAATCACGCCTACACCATCCATACTAGTATTCATGTAATTGGTTTTATTGTCACAAAAAAAAAAAAAAAAAGATACAGTATCAAAAACCGATACATATTCGTGTTATAAATAACTATATATAATGTGTGTATTTGTGTGTGTGTGTGTGTGTGTGTGTGTGTACGCAAAATTGTAAGTTGTATAAGCCCACAGGCGAAACAAGCGAGTAAAAAATAAAAAAGATGTATAAAATAAAATTTACCACTAAAACCCAGGGGGCATCTCTGCTTGCCCTCTCCCCTGCATTTTAGACGACTGCCCTTGGACGTTGGAATGCAGTGGGAGATTAATCGGAACGCAGAACCCAACTGTACAAAATGCGGCTAAATGCAAAATTAAAGAAAATAAAAATTCTAGAAAATAATTACAATTATAATATTATTATGTTTCGTATGACTAACAAATTATGAAAAGAATTTCGTTCTCGAATTGTATGTATTTATTGTATACAATATATGTATTGTATAGGTGTATAAAAATAAAAAAAAGTTCCTTTTAAAATTATTATTTTACTTTTGATCGTTGCTCGGAAAAAAAAGATATGAACGCAAAAAAAAAAAGTACCTATTTTTAAACGATTTTGCAGATAAATATATTGTAATTTATTTAATTATTAAGAAATACATAGTATCATGTTTACAGTATGGGTACCTAATAGGTAATAATAAGTAATTGTTATATTCTTAATCGAGTTCAGAAATAATAATGTAAATTTTACCTTTTAAAAAATAATTTGTTGTTATAACTGGCTATTGAAGGTTTTTCACTTCCATAAACAGGATGACAGATCAATGACACATCGTTAACAATGAAAGGAAAATAATGGAATTATACCTACCTATTTGGTAATAAGTAATAGTCATTTATAAAAAAAATTATGTACCACATACATGATGCAATTAGTACCTACTTACATTTTATGATATGGTAGAAATTCTATTGTAATTATTGTTATTATAATAAAAAAAATGTTTTTAAATTTATTTTACCTGAATAAAATATTACTTATATTGTTTTATATTGCTAAAGTTGTACTTAAAATAATTTGGTAGTTTTTATAGAATTTAAGACGATACCCAGTGGATAAATTAATTTAAATTCTATTGGGACTAATTCAATAAAACAATAAAATACCTAAATAGGAATTTCATATTTCTAATTTACAAAAGTATTCGTTAGAATCAAATAATAATAATATAAAACATATTTAAACTTTAAAATACCTAGATAAAAACGTGTTATCTATTTTTTGCTTGTTTATTGGAACATGTTATTTTCTATAAACATTTCATTTGTATAATATACTTCAAACTTTTAAAATTATTCACCAATTAGTTTAATTAATTGGTTATACAGTAAAGAAACTGTTACAAAAGGTTTGGGCAAACGAAACATTGCACATAAGCAAAATTTAGTATGCATCAGTAGCGCACGCATGATTATTTTTAGGGGGGGGGGGGTTTGTTTATAATAATTTCCAAGAGAGGAGATAGAAAATATTACAAGTACACTACTATCACTATTATTACTGAATAAATGATTTTTGATGACATTTTTTTTTTCTGTGGTATAAGATATTATGTTGTTCAATGTAAAACTTGATTTAAAAAAACGTAGTGAAGGAAGTCATTTCGGAGGGGGTTTTGACCGTCTAACCCCTTCTCTATGTGCTTTACTGGTATATACTATAATTAAAAACGTGGAAAATATTTAGGGTTTCAAAAAGTTATTATACTGGAATATTTTTCAAAAATATTTTATTATCATCATATTATACAGCTTAAAACCGCAATCGCAAACTTTTTCCATTATTCTTTATCATACGCTAAAATTCTCTGAACTCTTTCTTGTAGTGTTTTTAAAAGCTTCATGATAGAGTCTGCTTAGAGGTCCTTTACATCATTTCTACCGCCAGTATTTGATTTTTCTGTCAAACATAATTAGACTCTGGTAGTCTGGTGGTTTCCTTTGGTAGTTACCAACTTTCATACCCATATGTTAAAATCCTAAGGTAGCTCAGTAGTTGGTGTACAAGGTTATATTTGATTCGTAGGATAGATTTCTTGATTTAAATAGATTTAGTAGACGCATGCATAATATTTGTACTATTTATGTTTATTCGAGGATTTAAATAAAAAATAGACGAAGTAAATCTATTAATCAAATTCTATGTATACTGTTTAAATCTAGTTTAACGTGGTCTGTTATTTATCCGAGTTTCGTACCAAGTATAAAAATGTAATTTGCTAATTTTGTCCCGGGTTTTTCAAATTATATACTAATTCCGTCCCGATTATATTTGGTAAGTTTAATCTTTAATCAAATCGGTTGAACTTAAAACCAAGGTTTACATAAAATGTACGACTACGATAGCAAAATCAATAACAATATAGGTCTTATTATTATTTGGAAATAAAGATAATACTAATTTCATAAACTCTTCAGTCGTTAATTATACGTGTTCTTAATGGTAAAATAATAATTCATATTAGAAATGGATAGTATATTATGTATGTGTATATATACCTAATGAAAAAAAGGTAAAATTTTAATCGTATATCAAAGAAATAAAAGAGCTGATACTGGGGATACTGATACCGGGAGCGGTCACTGTTGTAGGTGGGAAGTTGGGAAGGTAGGATACATAAGGTTAATTCATTTATATCTGTAAGCAAAGATAAACCATTGCTGACGAAAAACGATTCCGAACATAGTTCGGTAATACATAATTTGAATTGCCGTAAATTTTTTTTTTTTTGCGATTTTCGTTTAAATTTGATTTCAAAACACTTATTAAAAAAAATATATGAATACAGTGCAGGTAAAATATCATGAAAAAATTAGTAAGAAAAATATCCTATAAATTAAATGCAAAATTACAAATGTTTAAAACTATTTTTAAAAAATATTTATTTCACGACTATTCAATATTTAATGAATTTTTTTAATATTCGTGGTGCATAAATTTTAATTTAATATTGTATTGATAATAACAATATTTATATGAATCATTAAAGAATAAAGAATAATGAATCTTTATTATTATGAATATATTTATACATGATTAAATTATGACGGTGGCCTAAATTATGAAAATGTACTTATACCATATAGTAAATCTTCTTTTTATTAAGAACGGAATAGGTATAAAAAATGTTAATCCGCAATTTTCAATCGTGGATATTCATGTCAACTTATAGACACCTAACCTATAGGTTTTGGTCCTACCCTTACATTACCGAATATGAACATATTATTTCATGATCAATGTCTTTGACTTTGATGTAACATAAAAGCGATTTTCAAATACCGAATTATTTTGAAGCGTTCGAAATAAAATATTAATTTTCTATCGTATTAGTTTTACACCCATGAATGGCATTTGTATTTAAAATGTGACTTAGCAACATACTATAACAGGTATATCATTTGCGCATCATTATTGTTCTTTTCGATTTATTTTTCCGGAAGACACTTGAGGACCGTTAAATCGTACGCACCAATACAATATTTAACAATAGAAAGACTGAAAGGGATTAGGATTAGGTACCAAAAAGCGCAAATTGTTTCCCAACTTTCAGTTTAAAATCCGACCACGACCGATACGTCCGTTGAAAACGTAACCTAAGTTTATTTGATTGTAAAGAAAATATTTTCGAATATTGTGACGGTATTTCTGTTTTAAAATTATATATATATACGGATAACGGACGAGTTATAACAACGGTCGATCCGCACACATTTGATTTGATTATCAGCCGGATATTATCAAATGATATGACTAACTCTCGATTAAATTCGACGACAATATAAGCAGTCGACGTTATGCTTTAAAACTGTTTGATATTGACTTGTGTGTATTTTTTTTTTTCCTATTGTTCGATACTATATTGATGCGCAAACGATGAACGAGATTTTCAAACGGGTAAACAAATGATGCGCTAATGCCGATTAACAGGGGAGTAAATTAATGTTGTTACAATGTAACATACTAATGTTATATTATTTCGATTGTTTATAGACCATTAGAGTCTTAGGATTTCGGAACTCCGGAAACAATGTAAAATATAAATAGATCACACTTAAATTTTTCATGGTATTTGAGTTCGATGACTTTTGCAAGCTCAGAGAGCTTGGCGGCTTTGATATGCAATGAAGTATTTTAAAATGTCAGCCGCCCCTAAAATTATGGACAATTTCCGCCTATGTATGGAAAGCACGAGAAAATTTGTTTGCAGCTTTTATAGGAAGACTCGAATAGAAAAAAAAAAAAAAAGTCCGGGATCCGTAGCAATATAAATAATATTGTTTTGTATTCGATTATTATTTCATACTGTGTTTAGCTGGGACATTCATGAATAATAAGTTACCGTATGGTATCTATAGGTACCAATTTATACGGAAGTGCTTTTATTGGATTCGTTTGAATTCACATTATAATCAGGCGCGTGTACAAGGGGAAAGAGGGAGTTAAAGGTTCAACAGTATAATAATTTTGACGTTATAGTATCGCAAAACATGTACTGTAGATACGTATATTATGTATATAATACATACGGTGGGTATAGCGTATACGTTTATTAGGTACTGTTATTATACCGACGGAAAATAACATTCCTATAGGCTATAAGTAAAACATGATACGCGCGGTACTTTGCTTCTATTCCGCGAGGGGTATAATCAAACAAATAATGGTCAACGGTCGTGGTTTCGGACGTTTAATACCGAGCGATGGTTACGTTTTTTTTTTTTTTCTCAATATTTAAATGGTACGTCCGAGCAGCATTACATTATATTATTATTATACGTACGTATCACGGCGCGCCGCGCGGTATCGTATTATCACAACCGATCGAAATGTACTATTATTCATGTACACGTACCCACCTACCTACCTACCTACCTACCTACCTACCTACCTACCTATAAAAATACGCTATCTACCTGTAGCGTATTTTTGACGATGGCGATCGCCGTAGCCGCGCGCTGCAGATCGTAATAAAGATTAATACTTTTAAATGGTAGAGAATTATCGACTGAAATTTTGAATAATAAAAAACAAAAACAAAAATTACAGGTACCATATTTTATTACGTGCATACCGCGCGCGCGTATTATTATAATCGTAGTCGAAAACAATATTCCGTTACGATAATATACGCGCGCGCGCCACGGTTGTACGTGTACGCGGACCCGCCGACGAGCCGAGACCGCGCCGCGATTAAAAATAATATTCGTCATTACCCACCTGAGCAAGTCGGTCACCTTCGGGTGATTCAGCGTGCACGCCGTGTACAGGTCCATAATAATATATTGTCGCGGCGGCGGCGGCGTCCGAAAAAACCGGGGTGGTAAACACGCGGACAAGACGCGGTGGAAAAAAAAAAAAAAACCGTAAAAACGCCACTACAGACCGCTTACTTTATCGCACGACGGGCGCGCGCGCGCGCGTTTCGTTCGTCAAACGGCCGGTGGGTTCGGGGGGGGGGGGGGCGTGGCGGACGGGAAACGTCGCGTAAGATTTTAAAATTCACGCGGAGAAAAAAAAAAAAATGGAAAAAAAAAAAACCAAAACAAAGCACAAGTCGTTCGCCGAGGAGTGGCCCCGCGCACGGAGAATATTATTTCGGGGGCGCGTGTCGGTCGTTACAAGCGCACTGCGTCTCGGTGCCGGTCGTCCGCGGCGGTGTGTGCGCGGTTCGCGTCGCGATTCGGCCGCGGACGCTATCAATCAACGCGATAATAATATTATTATTATTATTATTGTTTCGCGTCCAGCGGTTTTAATGTCTTATCGTTTTTCACCGACCACGACGACGGCGACGGCGTTCCGATATACCCACCCGTGTTATACAGGCATAACGCGCGTCTCTGTATAATAACGCTGTGTGCCGGACAATCGGTATTTTCTCCGTTCCAACGATTTATTTCTGTCCGCGGCGCGGCGCGTTTTTTCGTGTTTGGTTTATTTCCCCTGCCCTCCGCGTTTCTTAAGGCCGTCCGATCGCCGGTCGTGTCACGCTAATTACCGGGCTCTCTTTTCCGCTACGTCGCCCGGTCGCCGCGGCTGCGGCGGCGGCGGCGGCGGCGGCGTGCTCCGGGCCATCCGATAATTAGGAGCGATCGCCATGCGGAAAATTTTCGTTAATTTCAGATACATTTTTCCATTCTTCTCTCTCTCTCTCTCTCTCTCTCCGTGTGTCCATTATAATAATATGCGTATTGAATAATAATAATAATAATAATATTGTTATTATAAACGTCGCGCACGACTCGTTTGTTTTTTTTTTTTTTCTTCGATTTTTATACATATTATATTATTTATACACCCCGTATAATATATTACCTACGTAGCCATAATAATAATAATAATAATAATAATAATAATAATACGCGTACCCATATAATAAAATATATGTATACGGGCACGATATTATTATAATAATATGACAGCTTCGGTGTGCAGACTGCACATGCACACGGAGGAAACGAGACCGAGTCGGTTTACTGCGCTTATAGGCAATAATAATAATAATATTATCGTATACGAATTTACGCCGCGTAATATACATACACGTGTATAGCGACGCTGTCGGATGCTGTACGGAAAAAGAAAAAAAAAAATTTTATATTGTATTTCCCTCCGCTGCCGGTGCTGCCGTAAAAATATTCCCCGCGCGTTCGTTTCAGTGTAACACAGACATTCTGACCACCTCGAGGTCTTGAGAATGTTTTTGGGGGGTAGAAGTATTATGTTATAGAATAATGCGTCGCGCACAGAGGGGATCGCGTTTGACCCATACCGAAAGGTTCGTGTCTGTGACGAATTCGGATTTTCAATAGTTACGGGTCTTTCTTCCTTTATATATATTTTTTTCTTTCTTTTTGTCACGGGATATTGTGTGCGTCTGAGAATGAATTTTTATTCCGATTTTCGAGACGGTCTCTCGGTGCCGACCGAAGAAAAAAATAAATAAATAAAGGTTTCGAATTTAAAATGTAAATTCGTAAAATAATAATATCATATTGTATATTATATTATACGATACAATACAACTGTGAAAAACGTATTTAGGTTATGTGTTTGTAGCTGCAGGTTATAGCGTACACAATATACACTGCAGGTGTGTTATAATATTATCACAATATTATCAAAAATATTGTTATATTTATTATGTTAAAAATATAACATAACGTCGACCGAGTTACTGAGTGTAACAGGTGCGTTTACAAAAAAAAAAATGTTTCGGGGGAGAGGTTAAGACCGTACACTTTCATACTCTTATAACAAAGAAGTTTGCGTACTTTCGATTATTTATTTTTCATCAAAAAAAAAATCAGTATTTTATAATATTCATTTTTAGCCTTTTAAAGGTACCCTGTAAACTATATAACTACATACCTATAACTTTATACCCAAATTTCACATTCAATATTCCTATAGCGAATACAGCCTAAATGACAGCGCAATTCGTATTATTGTGATGATAATGCGGACCACGTAATATCTATTTTCTAAAAGCGGGAAAACCACAAAAATTAGAAATGACAATAATGACAATATATATACACCTACTATATAGTAATAAAATTAAAATAAAACTACCGTTTCACACATTTTCTTATAGGAAACAATTAAAAATTATACCGTTCGAATTATATTCATATCACTGTGCATAATATATTCCTAAAAGGTAATATTATCACTTAAATTTTATAATAACCATTCCGCAATAACATTGAATCGGATATTCTTTATACTTTAGAGGCAATCTACACATTAACGATAAAAAATTTATGAAATAATTGATAGATCAGACAGGTAATAGCTAATAATCGTGGAATGAAATCAAGGTACCTTAATCAATTAATTAATTGAGTCAAAAGAACTTTTTTTGTTTAATGCCAAATATTTTAATTTGAAAGCTCTAATGAACACATTTTTAATAATAAGTATCTATTATTTTGAATTATCATATTCGATTTATGAAAAGATTGAAAAACTAACTTAAGAACACAATAAGCGAAGTAAGTGAGTAAAATAATAGATATTATGTGCTTAACTTTATGAAACACATATAATCGTCTCAGTGAATTAACATTACTAACACTTCATAAAGAAGTTCGGCCTGTTGATGTCTTTGATACAATGACACAAACGTAAACAAATAATAGACATTATTTTAAAATAAATACGTTTTGTTAAAAATTATGAAGTATTGTAATTAAAATTCAATGTATATCTACTTATTCTATTGTTATTTAAATTTTTTATTTTCAGTAATACGGGCTGAACCCAATTACACAGAATTAACAATAACATATAATAACATATAAAATATAAAAACAGCAAATAATTATAATATAACAAAATACTAAATTATTCAGATATAGTACTTATATATTTTATTATAAGTTATTGTGGGGGTGTGGGAAATGTAGCCTCTACGGCTCACTTTGTAAATAATTTGTATGTTCCCCTCCCCCAATAGAAATTCCTGAAAACACCGACATTGGGTATTATTACAATTATTGCAAACGCAACTTGGACCTATTGCCGACAAATCGGAGACAAAATTCGGACATGCCATGACACGAGAAAATCACGAATATTTAGTATTGTTATTGCTTTGATTATAATATTAATATTTAGTACAAATTAATGGTACCTACTATTGTTGATACCTATAGGTGAAATTAAAGTTTACAAAAATGATTTTAATTTCTAACAGAAGAAATAATTTTTTGATATACAAAAGTAATCATTCTTAAAACATCAATGATTTCAAATTAAAATTTTCAATATTGAAAATTGTTATAAAAATTTATTGGGTAGTATTTAGATAGGTTTTTAGTTAAATTTTAAATGCTCTTAAATAAATGTATAGCCATATCGGTACTTGCAGACGGTAGTAACACACCTTACTTATATAGTGTTTCGTTTTGATAAATTTACATAAAGTTGCATATCATTTTAAATGTTCTGATGATAATAATTATTAAGTACCTATAAAAATATTCGTATAAAAACAAAACTAAAAAAAAAAAACACATTTTCATACGTTTCATTTAAATTTTAGAAATTAAAAATTCAGGAATTTCTACGGTGTTGAACAATTGCTCAAGGCACTACTAGCTAAGGTCGTGTTTTCGTCAGAGTTTTTATTGGACATAAGTATACCTCCATTTTATTTAATGATTTTAATGTATTTCCAAAACATATATTTTAAAAATACACGCGGAAACTGATACAGGCCTAAAATTTTACAACGTGAATAATTATAATTATGACCAAAACTACGTGTGTGGACTTATTTGCATTATACCCACGAACCAATATATTTTTTTTTAGGCGGAAATTTGTTTTGGAAAATGTTTACCAATAAAAATCGAAGTAAACCTACGTCAATAATTTATTTTGGTTTTTTGTTAGACGTAATTTTATAAAAATTGCTGATCATTGATTTATCATAATAACATGGCAATAATTAACGCAAATATAATATACAATGTTTTTCACTTAAATGGTAGGTATATCACTATTTCAGCCGGATGGACTTAGATCGAAATGTGAGTTTTTCAGAAAGATCAAGGAGGAGGGGAGGGAGTAACAATTTGCACATATTCAAACTTTTTACACTTATTGTACGTGCGTACGCAGTATATCATACATTTTTTTAAATGGAAACTATTATTTGAATTTTTCTAGTTATAATTTTGCAAATAACTTTGACTTGTAGAATGTATTCTTATCTCAAAATCTGCTTCCTTAAACCACCTAAAGCTTAAAAATGTGTATATTTTTTTTTGATTTTTTAAAAAATTGAAAACTCTTGTTATTATGTAGTTATTATGTATTATATTATATATGTATGAAATTAATTTTTTAAAAACACACAAATGAAGGTAAAATAAAAAAAAAGAGCTGATACTGGAGATGGGTGTGCCACTGTTGTAGGTGGGAAGTTGAAAAGGGAGGATACGTACAATTATTTAATTTACACCTGTATGCAAAGATAAACCATTGCTAACGAAAAAAAATTCGGAGTTTGGCTAATACATGGTTTGAAGGCCGTAATATTTACTATTTTTGTAAAAACTTTTATTAAAAAAAAAAAAAAAAAATATTAAATAACACTCAAATATTTTTTTGTTGACCACTAAATACGACTTAAAATGAATCTTTGAATCCACTTTCAAATTTTCAAAGATTTCTCAATTTAATTTTCTCAATTAAAATTTCTCAGTTTAATTTAACAGATTATATACACAGAGTGCTTATCAAATAAAAATTACGTGAAATACTTGCAAAATTAGAACGTATATAAACTGATTAAAAAATGCTCAAATGTTTTGAAAAAACAAATATAAGTTTCCTGTCAAAATTTCT